GATCTTTTCAGGACATTTCTCCATCCTGTCTCACTCAGTGGTAGGGTAACCCCTGGCACTGGTGAATCATCTCCTCAGGATTATGTCCAAGGAGTGGAAATTCTGAGTCAAAGAGTTAGCACAGCTGTAGGGATATTGACTCCTCTTCTCAAACAGCATCCCAGAGAGATTATTAAAAATTGGTTTACAATCCCACCAACACTACTCACCAGTTGTGAGCATTGTTAACTTGCTTTCATCTTTGCCAAAAGATAAGTGGAAACGATCTCATTGTTGTTCATTTTTGCAATTGTTTGATGAAAAGGGAAGTTATCTCTTCATTTATTTGCTGTTCTTCTTTTCCTGAACTAATTATTTTTATCCTATACCTTTTTCATGAGGCCTTGTCTAAACCTTAGTATGGATATCTTCAAAGGATTAAAGATGGTGACCCCAGGTGGCTTCTACAGTTGCCTTGACAAAGACTTGGGCAGAAAAACAGGGAGTTTGGGCTGGAATCTATTCATAAGTGTAATCACCATGCTTTCTAGTTTCTGTATTTCATGCTTTTACATCTTGGGGCCTTACTGATCATGGAGGGACTGCCCCTTCCAGGGCTCAATAATTACTAGAGATCAAAAACGACTTATCTGTGAATGTGCCCTTCCGACTGCAAATCAATCAGTCCAGAGCACATACCCCCAACCCTTGGCCTCTTTTATGGGGCTTTTACACTCAGGGTCACTACTCGCTGCTTTAAATCACCCTAAGGGACCAGGTACCAGACAACTAGAGACAACTCTATGGCCCAGAGGTCTCTGAAATTATTCAAACTAAGCCAATCCTAAATCTGCTCACCCTGCCTCTCCCATTCCTTCCGGCAGAAACTACAATAAAGGCTCTTTCCTGCCTTTTCCCTTGCTCTCTTTACTTCCTGACCGACCCTGGTGCTTCCCAGCGGCTCTTCCTCTACTTTCAACCCCTCTACCCAGTGTGGTGTGTTTCCTTCTCTTGGGATCTGTGAGTATAAAAAATTGTCAATGGCCATAGTTTCCTGCTCTGTTGCTCATCAAGTTCACCAAAGACATCTACATTACCAAATTCAGTCAATATTTTTCTCTTTATCTTACCTCTAGGACAGTGCGCAATAAATATTTGTTTTTGAACGAACCTTAATCTCTCAGCACTTCCTTCCTTCTTGAAACACTCTTCTTTCTTTTTTTTTTTAATTTTTATTTATTTATTTTTTTGATACAGAGTCTTGCTGTGTTGCCCAGGCTGGAGTGCAGTGGTTCAGTCTTGGCTCACTGCAACTTCCACCTCCCAAGTCCAAGTGATTCTCCTGCCTCAGCCTCCCGAGTAGCTGGGATTACAGGTGCACACAACTAGGCCCAGCTAATTTTTGTATTTTTAGTAGAGACAGAGTTTCACCACATTGGCCAGACTGGTCTCGAACTCCCGACCTCAGGTGATCTGCCTGCCTCGGCCTCCAAAAGCGCTGGGATTGCAGGTGTGAGCCACCACGCCCAGCCTGAAACACTCTTCTCTCTTAACTTTCAAACATGGGTAGGAGACTCGATCTTAGTAATGCTGAGAACAGTCACCTGCTGAGCACTTCTCTTGGGTCAGACACTGTGCTCGGCGCTTTTGCCTCCATTGTCTCAAACAACGAAACACAGCAACCCACATCACAGGGAAGAAGACAGGTTCAGAGAGGCGGAGTAACTCCCCCAAGATTACACAGCTAGCCATGCTAAGTCCAGATGAAAACTCAAATCTCACTTGGATTTACCTGCATTCCTGAGTAAAGAACATTCCTTGCTCAGTCATGACAGGGTCTTAGAGGGTTAAGTGGTATTAGGTAGTTTTGGAAAGAGTGAAACTAAGGGGTGGAGAGTTTTGAAAAATTGATCAAACAGAACATAAAGAATTAGAATGAGAGGTTGGTGTGTTTCAGAAAGGGGCAAAAATGAGCCAAGGGAGAAGATCCTCCAACAGAGGGGTATCACCTGTCCTACCTACCTCTCTGAGCACACACCTCCTGAGGCTCCAGTTATGCCTGGGGGACCTGCAGGTGGCATACACATTCTCTGGCTCGTGGCCTGTCAGGGGCTCTATGCCACATGATCTGGTCTAGGCAGCCCCCCTGTAACTCTCCTTCAACTGGCAGCCACATGGCCTCAAGGCCGAGGCAGGTGAGCCTCACACCGTGTCCTGAATACTAACATCTGCTCCTGTTGGGGAATTTGGCTCAGGTGAGTTCCAGAGCCGCAGGCTGTTCCCTGCTTCCTCTGGTTGTGGACAGGCCAGGTTCGGGGTGAGGGGTATGGGAGCTGGCTCTGGAGGTATGAAAAAGCACAAACAGCCCTTTTCCTTACATGACGGGTGAGGAGTGGAGGCACCCAGGTGGTTCCTAGAGACCTCAATTTCTAAAAGAATGCTGCCCTTCTTTTCTCAAGAGAAGGCCTGGCTGAAATGAATGACACAAATCAGTGAGGTAAACTTGTGGTAAGCTGAATAATGACCCCCAAATACGTCTACCTCTGAATCCCCAAACCTGTGAGTGTTGCCTTATATAGCAAAAGGGACTGTGCAGGTGTGATTATGATCTTGAGATGGAGAGGTTGTCTGGGCAGGCTGGATGCAGTCACAGTGGTGCTTATAAAAGTGATGCAGGAGGAGTCAGGAAGTAGGTGTGAGGATGAAACCAAAAGTCAGAGTGATTCTAGGACAGAACCATGAACCAAGGAATGCAGGGGCCTCCCAGAAGCTAGAAAAGGCATAGCAGGGAATTCATCCAAAAGGGACTAAGTCTGATGACATCGTGAATTTAGTCCAGTGGAATTGATTTCTAATTTCTAGTCTCCAGAACTCTAAGAGTTTGTGTTGTTTTAAGCCACTAAGTGTTAATTTGTCAGAGCAACAACAGGGAACTAATACAGATTCCAGTTTGGATCTGGGGACGACAGTCAGCACCTCTGCCTTTTGGGATGACTATGAAATTATGTATCTCTCCCCTAAAATGGAATTTTGTATTGATCCATGAGCATTTATTGAGCATCTACTATGTGCCAAGCAGAGTTCTAGGCAAAGGGAATATAGCAAGAAAAAAAAAAAAAACAGGTATATCTGCTTTCATGGGACTTACATATTAATTGGAGAATCAGGCAATAACAACAAACAAAATAAGATTCTTTCAATTACTGGTCTCCAGGAATGCCTTTTGGAGGTGGTGACAGGTGAGCTGAGATTTGAACCATTAAAAAGACACAGCTGTGTGAGGACCTGGGGGGAATGTATTTTGAAGCAAGTACATTTAGGCAGAGGGAACATGAAGAAGAGAGAGTGAATTTGGCTTGTTCAAAGAGTAGACAGCAAGTATGGCTGGAGCCGAAAATGTGAGAGGGAGAGGGAGACATCTGTGGGGCCAGACCTTTCAAAGTGTTGAAGGCGTGGTAGGCAGGCTAGATTTTATTCTAAAAGCAATAAAGATGCCATTATAGCAGCGGTCCCCAATCTTTTTGGCATCAGGGACGGGTTTCCTGGAAGACAATTTTTCCAAGGATGGGAGTGGGAAGGTGGGGGGGAAGTAGGAGAGTGTGGTTGGAGGGGGGTGTCAGGAGGGAAATGTTGTGAAACTAGGAAATAAGAAGTGGGATGAAACCATTGAACAGCACAGATCTAAAGCCAGATCATCAGGCATTTGATTCTCATAAGGAGCCAGCAACCTAGATTCCTTATATGCCCAGTTCACAATAGGGTTCAGGCTCCTATGAGAGTCTAATACCCAGGCGGAGCTCAGGCGGTAAAGCTCACTCACCGGGCGCTCACCTTCTGCTGTGCTGCTGGGCTCCTAACAGGACACCTACCCATACCGGTCAGTGATCAAGAGGCTGGGGACCCCTGCATTACATAATTAAACAACGTGCTGTTGTAAGTGCTTAGGGCTACGACTTTTTAAAAGATGGCCTCAGTGGCTGTATGGAATATGGAGGGGTTTAGGGTGGGTGCTGGGAGGGAGGTACAGAGGGGCAGCAAAAAGACCAGTTAGGAGACTTCAGCTGAGAAATGGCAGGTGACGGTCAGTGGAGAGGTGAAGGGAAGTGGGTGAAATCACATGGATGGATAAGCTACTTTTATGATAGTAAAACAAGGCAGTTGAGCCCAGCACTTTCAGAGGTCAAGGCAGGTGCGTTGCCTGAGCTCAGGAGTCCAAGACCAGCCTGGGCAACAAGGTGAAACCTCATCTCTCCAAAAATATACAGAAAGTAGCCAGGCGTGGTGGCGCATGCCTGTAGTCCCAGCTACTTGCGGGGCTGAGACAGGAGGATCATTTGAGCCCAGGAGGTTGATGCTGCAGTGAGCCTTGTTCACGCCACTGCACTGAGTGGATTGATTCCAATAAAAGCATATATCATTGTGGTAGGGTAGGTGGGGGGCTGGATAGGGTAGCCTGGGTGACAGAGTGAGACCTGTCTCCAAAAAAAGAAAAAAAAAAAAAAAGGAAGGAAGAAAGAAAAAGGCAGTTGTTGATGATTCTGGAGTGATTGCTGGAGTGAATGGGCCACTTACTGAGATGTGGAAGTCTGGGGACAGGTTTGGGATTTGATCGTTTTCTTACTGTGCCCAAATGAAGCGTAAGACAATCAATCCACCTCATTTGAAAGACTGAGCCAGACTCTCGGGACACCTAACCTGGTAGGAGACGGTAGCATAGTGGTTAAGTGCACAGTCTTTGGAGTGCGATTGCCTGGGATTGGTTGCATCTCAACAGCTTTCCACCTGTGTGATCCTGACTGGTTGCTTAACCTCTCTGTCCCTCAGTTTTTCCCATCTATAAAATGGGGTTAATGAACCCCAGTTCAGTGATGGTGTGAGAACTAGATGAATGCCAAGCATGTTGCACACACTCATTGAATGTTGCTACTGTGGCTTCCCTTGCAGTCCTGTCTGAAATCCAGGTCACACAGTTCTTCTAAGAGAGCACCAACCAGGAAAAAGAGGTCATGAGTAAAACAGAGCCAAGGACCTTCAGAGGTTTTATTATCCAGCCCCACCCCTGCCCCACCTACCCTACCACAATATATATGCTTTTATTGGAATCAATCCCCTCAGAAAATGATGCCAGGATCTGGAAGATGAGCATCTTTTTTCCTGGTATTGGAGAAGCTACAGTTCTTCCTTGACTTTTGGTTTCTTCTTTTGCGTTGCAGGTCCCTTTGGTTTGGCCACCACCACCACCTCCTCAGATGTTTTCTTCTTCCCAGCGGACTCTTCCAGCTTGGATACATGCTTGGTCACGTTCTCCAGCTCAGGCGACTGCTGTTCAGGTAACTCTTTCTTCATCATAGGCACCTCCTTTTCCTTAGCTCGCACTTCCTCTTCTATCACTTCGTTTTGCTCAACAGACAATAGCTATGAAAGAAAAGGTGGAAAGAAGAAGGGAGGGAGGGAAGAAAGGGAGAAAGAAATAGATAAGAAATATGTGATCATTGTGGTTGTAGTAGTCAAAGCTACTTCTTCTGAAAGTGCCCAGAGAGAATCAGTCTTTGGACTGCAGGGTTTTCATAGATGCTAAAGATCCATTTGGTTTGGGTGGTAAAATGCTCAACTGTGGTTTCACCCTTCAGGTAAGAGGACCTTGTGAGGAACCAAAGGTTCTAAGTCTATAGATGTGGCTCCTGCACCACTAGCTCCAGGACTGGACAAGTGACCAGTCTTAGCTAATGAGATCTCTGTCCAGGACATTTTCTGGGACATCTAAGAAGTAGTTGCTTGCTTTCTACACTGGGAGGATGTTAGTTTGGAGCTGTGGTGTAATCTTTGAACTTCTGTGGGGAAATAACTACTTGAGAATGAAACCAACATAGAGGAAAACAGAGATGGGAAGACAGAAAGCAAGCCTGGGTTCTGGATCCACCCACTCCTGATGTTCTACCAGTTATATGGAATAAATTCCCATCGTTGCTTAAAGCAAAGAGTAGTGTCTGGAATTTCCAGCAGAAAAGTCTTAATTAATACAGATGGCACCGTCCAGCAGAGGGCCTCACTGAGGCATGGCTAGGGGAGAAAGCGGGCTGTGGTCTCATGCATCAGGAGAGTAATGCCAGAGGGCAGAATCCCACCAAGACATCTGGTCAGTCCCAGGGGAGCGGCCCAAGGCAAGCAGCTGTGTGTTACCTCAGAGCCTCGGTCTTTCTAGATGTTTCTAAAGTCTGCCCTTTCTGCTTCCCATAGTAAGTGCCTTTGAAATAAAGGTGACTAGTAGAGTCACCCAAACTGGATGGCTCTCCATCCATCCTCAACCATCTCCCGAGATTATGTAACTCTAAGCACACTCTTTTGTCGTCCATTGAATTCCTGGGGATTCTGTGTGGGACAGAATAATCCAAGGTGTTTCTGTTGCCCCTTACCTCATCCTCATCCTCAATGCTAGTTTTGATGTAGCTTTCCAGGAAGTCAGAGAAGCCCTTCAGTGTATGTTCTCCCTTATACAGGACAGCCTAGGAAGAAAATGGAACAGGGTCAGGATGGGATCCTCTTCCCGCAGAGGTGCTCGAGGATTGCTACCTAGGTAAACCCAGGGTCAAATTCCTAACAACCCCGAGTATGTTATGCAGGTTCCTTAACTTGTCTTAGCCTCCAGTGCCACGGCTCCAAGGGAAGGATAATAAAAATGCCTCTGTCATAGGCTTGTTATGTAGTGGATGAAAGCATGGACTGTAAAACCACACAGCGAAGCCTTAAACTTTGGCTGCATTACTGCAGTGTGGTCTGGTTATTTAATTTCTCTGACTCAGTTTTCCCATCTCTAATATGGAGACAAAATAGTACCTACCTCGTAGGGTTGTTATAAGGATAAAATAAAGTGATGTACGTGAAGTATGGAAAACAGCACCTGGTTCGTGATGAGCACTATAGGCGTGTGTTATTATTATTATTGCTATCATAGTGACAATAATAAGAGGAAGAATAGTTATTTTCAAAAGCATCTGGCATATGGTCAGTGCTCCGTTATCATACGTCCTCTTTCCCTTTTTTTTTTTTTTTTTTTTTTTTTGAGACGGAATCTTGCTCTGTCACCAGGCTGGAGTGCAGTGGCGCGATCCCAGCTCACTGCAACCTCTGCCTCCTGGGTTCAAGCAATTCCTCTGCCTCAGCCTCCTGGGTACTTGGGACTACAGGCATGCGCCACCATGCCTGGCTAATTTTATATTTTTAGTAGAGATGGGGTTTACCATGTTGGCCAGGATGGTCTGGATCTCTTGACCTCATGATCCAACTGCCTCAGCCTCCTAATGTAATGAGATTACAGGCATGAGGCACCGCGCCCGACCCCCTTTCCTCTTTAGGAAAGTTCAGAAGCTTCTTCATGTCCACGGGTCACCCAAATTTCTTCAGATAATTTGAGATTATGACCTTAGCCTCATCCTCTCAGCCCAGCCTCAGTTGCACAACTCCCTGACATGCATCCTCTGCAGTGCAGACTGAGCAAAGAGTGGGTCACAATGGAATCTTGCCACAGTGCTGGGTCACCCTTCTGCCCACCTCTTTGTTCAGACTACACTTCCTACCTGTAGCACATAGTCCCCACCATTCTCCGGAGTACTGGGTCTGCATGGAGACTTGCAGCCATATCTGCCCTCCAGAATCTCTTGCTCCCCCTTGATTTCAATTGCATTCATCCATACTCTTCTAAGGAGCAGAAACCTGGGCTTACATTTCTTTGACTGATGCTCTTTCCCATGAATGGACATGGCATGGAGAGTGGGTTCTATCAACACTGGTTATGGCTGATGACTGTAATCCCAAGGTGGAAATGACATTGTTTGTCTCTAGCATGTATTGTTTCCTTCATCTAGTAATACCCCACATCCAATATTCTCATGGAGATTCCTCCCACCTTATTTCATATAGTTAGGGTAGAGCTCAGCCCCAATACTAGTAGGAACCGTATAAACCAGGCTTGCCCATCAAAACATCCACATCCACTTGGCCACAGTGACTGGGTCAGGGATATGCAAGCTACACCCAATGATAGTGAGTCTCAGGACTTTGGTGCAAACTACTGGAAAATATTCTTTGAACTTGAATGTGAGAGGATGGATAGTGGCCGCAGCTGAGAATAAAACTGGTTTGGTAGAAAGCGCAGCTGGAGGTAGGGAGAAACTGAGTCCCTGATAATAACATAACATTGTTTTCAGCCATGTGTGTCCCAAGAGCCCCTCACTTGTTGAGAGTCGGTGGGAAACAGCCTGAAGAATGGGTACCGGTCCAGGTACACCAGCTGAATGTCATTTGCTGTGATGTCGATCTTGGCAATGATGATCGTGGAGTGGTTTTGATACTTTCGGCCTAGTTCCTCCAACAGCGGGAACAACATCTTGCACTTTTTAGACCAGGGTGCATCTGGAAGAGAAGGGCCATGGCTCAGACTCACATTGATGAAGATCCAGAAAGCTGGCGCCACCCAACATATGGCATCGCTGTGTTCCACTTGTGGTCCTGCTGTTTTGCCAATTGCACTCCCTCTTTCTTTTAATCATATATCAGGTTATGTTTACATTTCAGCCATAGTACCTGATTGTTATTCGATAAATTAGAAAAAGATAGCTTTGGCCGGGTGCGGTGGCTCACGCCTATAATCCCAGCACTTTGGGAGGCTGAGGCTGGTGGAACACAAGGTCAGGAGTTCAAGACCAGCCTGACCAATGTGGTGAAACCACATCTCTACTAAAAATACAAAAATTAGCCTAGCATGGTGGCATGCGCCTGTAATCCCAGCTTCTCAGGAGGCTGAGGCAGGAGAATCACTTGAACCTGGGAGGAAGAGGTTGCAATGAGCTGAGATTGCACCACTGCACTCCAGCCTGGGTGACAGAGAAGGACTCCACCTCAAAAACGAAACAAAAAAAAAGAAAAAGAAAAAAATAGCTTAGTTCTCTTCTACCTAAATACTAACACTTTTGGTGTGTTCATGTTTTCTTTTATTTTTTTGTTTTGCTTTTTAGAGGCAAGGTTTTGCTATGTTGCCCAGGTTGGGCTCAAACTCAAACTCCTGGGCTCAAGAAATCCTTCCATCTCAGCTTCCTGAGTTGCTGGGGCTACAGGCTTGTGCCACTGTGCCCAGCTTGCTTTTTTTCTTTTTTTCAAATTCCTTTCTTTTAACATAGTGTTCCACTCTAGTAGAAGAAGAAAGCCAAGAACAATATTTATGCTAGATGACTTTTTATGTTATGCCGAAAAGTGTGTGTGTGTGTGTGCGTGTGTGTGTGTGTGCGCGCATATGCATTATAGCACAGGGGTTTTTCACAATAGAAGTTTGGGAACTTGCCCAAAGTTATGCAGTAATTTCACTTTTCAGATCAGAGTAGTTAAGCAGAAGAAGTGGGGTTTAAAGACAGGCTGCTTTGACTAGTGACCACTATACCACAGGTAGAGATTAATATAACATAACATATATATGTTATGTTATGTCATGTCATGTATATGCAATTACATGTCATGTCATTATACATATAAAATTCAGTGGAGGAGAATATCCCCAAGAAGTGTGACAGGTATAGTAACTACTCGTGAGTAACTACTCTTGGACAGGGGACACTGAACTTTCTTGTGGACAGTTCTTTGGTCTTTGAATGTGGTCCAGGCTCCTGGGCCTCTGGAAACCAGAGACCTGCTCCAATCCAAGGGAAAGCAAACCTTACCTGCTTGTCCTTCTATTAGAGCTCAAAGCTCAGTTTCTGGCTCTGGAAGAGAAATGGCCTCAAAAGCCCCCAGACACACCATCTTCGGATGATCATCCCCCATTTACAAGCCAAGTGTCTTCATGGCCATCCCCGCTGCCTGCAGCATCTCTGGCAGCCCCACTAGCACTCAGCGGGTCCTGGGTCAGAACAGGAGGGGGCATAATGGTTGCAGCCCCAGGGGGCCAATCCCGTAGCACTACTTCCAAGAAAATGAAGCTGATTTTGCCTTTTATCAAAATGAAATGGACAGTCTCATAACTCTGGGTGTGACGTAAGTACAGAATGGCTGCACTTAGGTAGCGGATCTTGGTGATTCAGCCACAGACCTTAAGCACCTCGCTCTGTGAATAAGAGTCCCTTTCAGAGTTATTGTAAAAGGACTGCATGATGCAGTGTAGCCCTTGCCTTACCCTCAAGAAAGTAATAGCATCAGAGCTTGCGTTAAACTTCTTGTCTTGCTACTTACTGTGTGACCTAGGGTAAGGTCATTAACCTCTCTGAGGTGGGGTTCCCTGATCTGTGACATGGGGAAAACCAGCATACCTTCCTCACAAACTTGTCACACAGCTCCTTAGAGGAGGTGTGTCAATAGCAAACTCATGCTTGACTCATTGTAAGGGCTCATTAAATGTTAAAATAAAGAGATGTCTGAAGGAACTTCAGTATCACCTTTCTCTGTGTCTCAGTGTGGGAGAGAACATCTCTGGCTTTTTCTCTCACGTGCAAATCAGAAACAATGGGAAAAGGGCAATAGTTCTTAGGCGAGCCCTGGAAGTAATTATAATAATAGAAATAACAACAGCAGTAGCAATTTTCACTTATCAAGTGCTTACAAAATGTCAGACGGGCTAAGTACTGTACATGAAGGATTGGGGTCCCCAACTCCTATGGGCCATTTGACAAGTAATCTAAAGCCAGAAGCAAAGAAATCCTGTACAGCAGTTAGGAGTGTAGGTGCTAGAATCAGATGCCTAAATTCAGATCCCAGTTCCAGCACTTATTGGCTGCAAGATACTGGAAAAAAATGTCTTCACCTTCCTGAGACTCTATTTAATCATCTGCAAAGTCAGAGCAATAAAAGTAGCTACTTTCAAAAGGATGTTGTAAGGAATAAATGAGATAATGTATGCAATGGCTTAGAATAAAGCCCAATATACTACAGCATCCAATCAAACATTGTTAGCCATCAGCATTATTGCTTTTAGAAACAGCCACAGACCTGGGTTATATGGAAGGCATTGCATACATTCTAAGAATTACATTTCTTGGGGACAGAGTTGCATTGTTCCTGATAGCATCTTGAGTCAATCTCTTTGGGTATCTGAAGACCATCCTTGGCATGGTGCATTGATGGGTTTTAGAGATTTCAGTGCCAAATAATTCAGGAGAAACAGTTGAAACATAATTTTGGCACCTGTTGCCTCCCAACCCCTCTTGAAGGTACTTACAGAACATCACAAACACGTCCTTTTCTTTGTCAAAGACGACTATGTTGAAGTTCTTCCCCACGAGCTGCTTAACAAGTCCCTGGTCCCAGTGTTTTGGAATCTCTTCACTGGATTGATGTTTCTAGGAAGCACATTTGAAAGGTCTAAGAATCTTCAGAAAGGGTTTCAAAGTTGTGGGCCTCCCCACCCTGACTGGAAACAGCTAAAGGTTTTCTTGTGTCTTTTCACAAGAGCCTTAGAAAAGAGTTTGAAATACTGAGATGGATCATGAGCTTGATGTCAACCCTGGATGGTTCAGGGCAATTTGCGGTCAGGGGACTAAGGAGCAGACAAAGCTTGAAACTGGGATAGATTTCTCAGATTTTATAAAAAGAAGCTTTAAACCGGGTGCAGTGGCTCACGCCTGTAATCACAGCACTTTGGGAGGCCAAGGCGGGCGGATCATGAAGTCAGGAGTTTGAGACCAGCCTGGCCAACATGGTAAAACCTCGTATCTACTAAAAAAAGAAAAAATACAAATATTAGCTGGGTATGGTGGCATGCACCTTAATCCCAGCTACTCGGGAGGCTGAGGCAGGAGAATTGCTTGAACCCGGGAGGCGGAAGTTGCAGTGAGCAAAGATTGTGCTACTGCACGCCAGGCTGGTTGACAGAGCAAGACTTCATCTCAAAAAAAAAAAAAAAAATTAGTTGTCCTCAATTACTCTAAGAATCAAGATCAAGACCACTTACATGACTTATGAAACCTTGATCACACTTTGATTGGTCCCTGCAATAAAGGAAGTCTTCTCTTTTCTTTCCTCAGCCATGTTGGTCTTCAGTTTATCCAAATGGCCAACCTTCCTCCCAGCTCAGGCCTTTGTTAACGCTGTTCCTTCCGGCTGACAGGCCTCCCCACTCCTGATTCCTACCCTCCCTTCTTCATCTGGGTAACTCAAAATGTATGCCTCAGAATGGCCCAAGGGAGGACTTCCTTGACCCTCCCCTGGTCTAGATGAGGACTCGCTGCCATGAATTCTCATAATACTCAGTACTTTTTCTTGTATCACTTATTCACGTTTACTATTTATATTTATTTTTCTAGTTATTTGATTAATGTGTCTCTACCATACTAGATGGAATGTCAGAAGAGATTTTTCTTTCCTTGCCATTGAGTATCCACTGCCTGCTACATAGTAGATCCTCAATAAATGTTTTGCAAATGAATGAACAAAAAATGAGCTCAGCTTTTGCTTCTCTTTGAAGTGTTGGAAATCTCAAAACAAATCTTTTATCTACAATCATTGCCTCCTGAATGTCTCCTGAATCCACATCCTTTTCTCCATCTGCGCAGTTACTGACCAAATCCAGGTTGCCTCTGTCTCTCATCTCAATTGCCAGAAGAACCTCCAGATGTTCTCCCCGCATCTCCTCCCAGTTCTCCCACACCTTTATTCTTTATAAGCAGGGCTCTATTTTCACCAAATCTGGCTTCTAACATTGCTCTTAGGAAACCAAATTCTTCTTTTTTTTTTGGAGACAGAATCTCACTCTGTCACCCAGGCTGGAGTGCAGTGGTGGCGTCTGGGCTCACTGCAACCTCCACCTCCTGGGTTCAAGTGATTCTCCTGCCTCAGGCTCCTGAGTAACTGGGACTACAGGTGTGTGCCACCATGCCCGGCTAGTGTTTTGTAGTTTTTGTAGAGATGGGGTTTCACCATGTTGGTTCTTACTATGCAGCCTCTGTCTGGCTCACAGCCTCTTCTTCCACAGGGTCCTCCCTCACCGCACCCCCTCCATCCTCTGGAAAGCACTTAAAGATTCTGTCAGTGGGAGCACAAATGGGGCAGCCATGGGGCATGGGAGATAGAAGATGGTGACAATTGTGGGGAATGGCTCAGATCAGGTGGATCTCATAGGTCTTGTAGAGGATGCCCATCTCTGCTCTAACAGCATAAGAAGACATGTTGGCCTTTCAGAGGAAGACAGACACCACCTCAGATCTAACTGCAAGGGAGAGAGAGAGAGGATGGGTAGTATTCCAGGTAGGATTTAAGACATGGTGATGGAAAGTGAGGAGGACCCAATGTGAAGACATCTATTTTCTTAGTGATCTAGGGGTAGAGTGCTCAGCCGAGAGTGGGTGGGAATGGGATATGAGGACAGAGACACTCTGAGATTTAAAAATGAACACACTAACAGAAATTTCCATGTGGATGCCAGGACTTTTCTCAAAGTCCATGGGAGGCTAGTTTGCAATGCCATGAAGCCAGCTACCCTCGTGGTGATGTTGGTCTGGAAGCAGGGAAGTTAAGGGGGTTCAGCCAGAGTTGGAACTTTGCCTAGTGAGTACTATGGGGTGTAGAGGAGGTGGAAGATGGAGGGGATAAAAGAGTTAAGGGAATCATCATCAGAGCAATGAATGATGGAATGCAAGTTCGCAGACGGGGTACTAAAGAGAAATGGGATCGGGAGGTTGGGGACAATGAGAAGGATGAGGAATCGTAGCTATGTGTGTCCTGGAGGGAAAGTCAGGCATTGGGAGGTGCTGCAATCTCCAGGTTGTGGGCATGGGAGCAGGGAACCGACATGGCATGGACACATCAGCTGCTGGAGGAGACCAGGGTTGTGGACACTGACATCTCTGGAAATGATGGCAGAGTTGGGGCTTAGGGAAAGGCTGCCATCAGGAGCTTAGGTCCTCGGAGAGTGAAGGGAGATAGTCAGAGGGCAGCAACAAGGGGGTGAGAGCACAGGGTCAAAAAGCATGAGATCCAAGGCATCTGGGTTTCTAAAGGTGAAAGAACGAGAATGGGTTGGAAGTGGAAAGAAGGACAGCAGCCTCACCACTTGGCCCATGAAAATGCTGTGCACACAAGACAGCTTCCATAGAGACAGCTGCAGGGGCAGCTATCTCTCTGGGGGAATGGACAAAAGGCAGTAGAGGACTCAGGTAAGGGTTAGGCATTTGGGTTTGTCTGGAGAGTCTCAATTTACTTCTATTGTTCCAGATTTTTTTGGGGGTGGGGGGAGAGGTCTTACTCTGTGGCCCAGGCTGGAGTGCAGTGGTGTGATTGTAGCTCACTGTAGCCTTGATATCTAGGCTCAAGCAATGCTCCTGCCTCAGCCTCCTAAGTATCTGAGACTACAGATGCACACCACCACACCTGGCTAATTTTTAAATTTTTTGTCAAGATGGGATCTTGCTGTGTTGGCCAGGCTGGTCTTGAACTCCTGGGCTCAAGCGAGCCTCTTGCCTCAGGCTTGCAAAGTGCTGGCATTACAGGCATGAGCCACCACAGCTGGCCCATTCCAGAATCCTTACTCCCATAATGTCCCAATTTGGAAAATAAATAATACGGTTACCTTACTCAGCAGAGTAGCTGTGGAGACATAGACAGTGGGTGACTAGACTACGTGTTCCATGTGTTTCTGCAGCCTCTCCTTCCTGCTAGCAAAATAGATGAGCCCCCTTCTAACCCCATCCAACCAAAAGGTCCCTAAAGCTTTTGAGGCTAAGTCCTGATTGCCCTGTGGCTCCATCCCCCTTCTCCTCCTCAAAGCAAGCATATGCTCTTGGACCAAGTAGATCTTTCACATTGGAGGTGATAGGAGAAGAAGAGCCTCCTTTCAGAGGGCAAGTTAACCCTACTGAGTGCCTGCATTTCTATGGTGAATTCCTGCAAAGGAAATGCCTCCACTTTACAACTAAGAATGAGTGGAGGAACTAAAGGCTTGGGATAGGTCAGAAGTTGGATAGATTTGAGGTGGGGAGATGGGGGATTTCCCCACATTGAGCCACAAAATTGATCTTTATTCTGCCTCCACATATAGGTGAGGAGAATGATCAAAGCCAGCAGAATTATGAGAAGGAGATGATTTTGAGGTTCTGGATAAACCTTGTCCAAGAACAAACCTACCTTGGCATTTTTACTCAGGAAGCTACGGCCAAATTTCTTCAGGTTTTCGTAAGTTATGTCATCCGAAGGCATTTTGTACCTGGCGTCAGAACTCAAGTTTAGGATTTGGACAGATGGTATATCGACCTCTGTGACCCGGAAATACTCAATGACACGTCTATTTCTGGGTTCGTCTGCATTCACAAGGATGAAAAGGATCTGCCAAAGAAAATGAAACCCTTGTCTCTCTGGATCCTTTGCCAATAGAGAAAAACTGTTGGAAGGCTGTGGACTAAGGGGATGCACATGGTGGGGTCTGTGGAGCACCTCTGCAAAATGTAACGAAGGCAGGTGCAGCTCTGCACCAAAATGCATGGCAGGCGGTAGCCACCAGCCTGGCTTTAGCCTCCTTGCACTGTGCTCCATCCACACAATTTCAGGAGGTCAGGAAGCCCTGAGCTTTCATTCTGTTTCATTCTGTTTCAAACTGTTTCATCAGTTTCGTGATCTGTAAAATGATTATCACAGTGCCTATCTTCTAGGCAGTGAGAATTCTGTGAGAATTAAACAGGACAATGTATGGAAAGGCTTAGTTCAGGGACTGGCAGGTAGAAAGTGTTCAATATGTGACAGTTATTATTATTCAAAATTATTCTATCAAGGAAATTCATGACTTCATTCATTCATTCATTCAACAAACATTCATGGAGTGCCTACTATGTGTGAGCCATTTTACTGAGCACTGAGGACACAACCATGCCCAAAGCAGACAAAATCCTGCCCTCAGGGAGCTTATGTTCTAGTGGAGAAGACAGACAACAAATGAGTGAATGAACTTATAAAGTCAAACAGCAATGAGTGCCAATTAGACCATAAAACAGGGCAATGTGATAGAGAGTAACTGCCCAGATGGGGTAAGGTAGGGGCTCAGGATTAGGTAGGGTGGTCAAGAGGAGAACCTGAGGAGGTCACATTTCAACTGGGATATAGTAGATAGTAACAAGTCACACAACAGTATTCCGGGTGGTGGAAACTGCCAGTGCAAAGGCCTGAAGACAAAACAAACACCTAGAGAGCTTACCGTGTTCTGGGAGTAGAAAAGAAACGTCAGTGTGGCTTCATCAGAGGTGTTTAAACCAGAGCAACTTCATCTTGAATACAGGCTGGGTAAAATGAGGCTGAGACCTATGGGGCTGCTTTTCCAGACGGTTTAGGCATTCTTAGTCACAGAATGCGATAGGAGATTGGCACAAGATACAGGTCCTGAAGACCTTGCTGATAAAACAGGTTGCAGTAAAGAAGCCGGCCAAAACCCACCAAAACCGAGATAGTGACGAGAGTGATCTCTGGTTGTCCTCATTGCTACACTCCCACCAGCGCCATGACAGTTTACAAATGCCATGGCAATGTCAGGAAGTTACCCCATATGGTCTAAAAAAGGGAAGCATGAATAACCCACTCCTTGTTTAGCATATCATCAAGAAATAACCATAAAAATGGGCAACCAGCCGCCCTCGGGGCTGCTCTGTCTATGGAACAGCCATTCTTTATTCCTTTACTTTCCTAACAAACTTGCTTTCACTTTACTCTGCGAACTGGCCCTGAATTCTTTCTGGTACGAGATCCAAGAATCCTCTTTTAGGGTCTGGATCAGGACCCCTTTCCAGTAACAGCTTCATCACCATGAGGGAGAGAGACAAAAGAGACAAGGTCAGAGCCTGTCGAAGATGAGGTCAGAGATCCAGTAAGGAGCCTGGGTTTAGTCTGAACATAATGGTGGGCCACTGAAGGATGGTAAGCTAGAAAGTGACATGCTAAAAATTTTGAGAAGGTCATTCTGGTTGCAGAGAAGAAGCAAAAGTGGAAGTAGGGAGATGAGTTGGAGGCAACTGCTGCAGCCACCTAGGGTCAGATACTTTCAGTTCATTCATTCATCAGATTAAAGGCCCCACTGCGTGCTCCTCTTCTAGGTGCCAGGGAAATTGAAAAACACAGCAAACATATTAAAACCATCCTTGTGTACTTTCAACAAATATTTGCTGCCTTCTGTTGGCACTGGAGCACAGAGGTGAGCAAGATAAGAGGTGCAATCTGTTGAAATAGTATCCATTCAACTGTTCATCGTTGGCTGTGAAATGGATCACAATTTATAAATGGCATTTGGGAAACTCACTAGGGTGACTGCAATTTAGAAGTTCGTCTTCTGATGTAAGCCAAAGTAAATACCAGGAAGATTAAAGAGTTAAAAAGAATGGAAGAAAATAATGGCTAAGCATTGACTACTGTAAAATCGGAGAAATAGAGAAAAAGCAATCGGGTTGCAATCAATTTAACTATATCCAAAAACTTGGAGTAAAATTGGAAAAAAACATCCCCCAAGAAATATATTTAACAAGAGGAATTCTTTCTGTGATTCGAACCATCTTTTTTGAAAATAATGTGGTGGGATGTAGCATGAACATTATATATGTTATACTCTAGTGGCTTTATTTTAGGTTACAAAGTTCTCAATTGTTTTAATTTCAGATTAATTTTTTTTTCAAAAGAGAAAAAAACCCTGCCATGATTCTACTTCCTGTAAAGATGAAGAGAAAAATTAATGAAACAGTTTCCATAGTTCAGGTACTGCTAACTACCTTAAATACAGGAATAACTTAGGGGAAACGTTTGTTTCTAATGGTGATGATGACGATAATAAAAAGCACCATTGATTGTAAAGCTCATGCTTTACATATATATTTTCTAATTCTTACTACAACTGTCCATTTCATACATGAGGAGACCTCAATATGGGGTTAAGAAACTCACCTGAGTGTAGTTTGTCAGAGAAAGAGAATTTGAACTTGGGTCTGTACAATGTTAAAGCCCAGAATCTTAGCAATTACTTGCCAGATAATCTGAAAGCCCCACCTTCAGGCTTTCATGTTCCCTGACCTCAGACAGCAGTGGTCTTTCCTCCCCCCACCTCCTGGCCAAATGATAACACTCTTAGTGTATGGAGTCCACTTAGTGATCCATCAAAAAGCAGGCAAACCTTCATGTTCTCAGAGTAGACTTATTACAAAGATGAGCGAAGGAGTGTAGATTTGGCATGAAGAGACACTGGGCAGGAAGAATGGAGGAGGCATATTTAAAATTAAATAGTAAATGATATGAGGCGTTGACATGCGGATCAGAAAACCGGCAGGCAATTGCACATGCCGATCTTTCCTGATTCAATTTATAATAAGCAGGGCAGGCAAACGCCCTCAGGGTCTGTAGGCTTTGAATCCTCATCCTGGAGTCCCAAAGAGCAATGGCGCACTCTACAAACCTTGTTTTGGAATTCCTTTGACGCCAGCTTATAATGCTGAATTATGATTCCAAATGACTCCGAGCTTTTGGAGACGAAGAGCAGCATGTGACTCATGATGTACAACTCGTAAATCAGATCCTTATTCTGAAATGACCGGGAAAGTATGTCATCCCAAGCACACACAGTGGCCCCAGTTCCCCTTCCTCTGGGGACGCTTTACTCACTGACCTCAGCGTTGTATTCGATCACAAAATCTGTAAGGTGCTGTTTTATGACACGATTGAGTTCCTGTTTGTTGGTACTGTCATTAATAAGTTCTTGGCGGTTCACGATTTTTCCCTTGGACCAAAGGAGAAACACATTGGAGGACAGTAGCTTTCGTGATATAGCCATTTAATAAATAAAAATAGCACCATTTTCTCCTTGGATGAAAAGAAAGCACTGAGGAATGGTGTCAGGTGTAGTCTGTAATGTAGGTAGTGAATAACTAGGAAGGGCTGCTCAGATTAGTCTGTGGGTGGAATCTGGGTAGGTGAGAGTCATGAAAATCTCAGATCTGTGGCAGGCCACAAGGAGTGTAATTGACTTAATGGCCCCAGCCATTGTCATGCTCTGTAATCCATCAAATATTAAAATATCGGTGCCAGGGCTAAGCAATTTCTCACATACTATTCCAACTAATGACTGACAGCTCATTCCTATTAGGACAAGCCCGGTCTCAGGAGATTCAGGACTTCACTGACAGGTGTTAAATCAAGCTTAGCCTAAAGCTGCCTCCTTACATGTTTTAAGTTTGGCCTAAACGTTTCTCTATACATAGTGAACTATAACCTAAATGGAGGTGTAAATAGACCGTCATAGCCTACACTTGTGCCAATCACTGAGTTTTGGCCAATCAAAGGTGGCCAACTGTTTAATCATTGTTAAACTAAGGCGAACACTGAGCTGTAACCAATCCTGCCTGCTGTTTCTGAACCTCACTTCTGTTTTTTTGTACATCACTTTGCTTTTTCTGTCCATAAATCTTCTTCCACCATGTGGCTTTGCTGGAGTCTGTCTGAGCCTACTCTGGCTTGGGAGGCTGCCTGATTCATGAATTGTTCTTTGCTCAACTAAGCTCTTGAATTTAACTTGTCTAAAGTTTTTCTTTTATCATTATTATTCTTTTTATTTCTTGTTTTTCTTTTTGAGACAGGGTCTCATTCTGTTGCCCAGGCTGGAGTGCAGTGGTTTAATCAGCGCACTGCAGCCTCAACCTCCCAGATTCAATCAATCCTCCTGCCTCAGCTTGCTGAGGAGCTAGGACTACAAGCACTTGCCACCATGCCTGAATAACTTTTTTTTTTTTTGTAAAGATGTAGTCTCATTATACCGCCCAGGCTGGTTTCGAACCCTGGGCATAAGGCTTCTTCCCTCATTTTATACTCTTGATCTAGGATGGTATCAATAAAGATAGAAATTAATGATTAAAGAGATATTTTGGTTATAAAATCAGTAGGGTTGTGGTGATGGATTGCCTATGAGAGGTGAAGGAGAGGGAAGTGTTAGAATGTTGGCTGGGTTTTCTGACTTGTTTAACTGGATGGGAGAGGTGGTTGCATCATTCCTTGAGCAAGAGAAAACACTGGGAGAGGACCTGGAGAGGAGATTATGACTTTGGGCTTAGCCATGTTGAGACATCTGATTGCACATAAAGGTCTGCAGATTAGAGAAATCTCACTGGAGATGGATATTTATAAGACATGTGCGTGTAGCATAGATGGTAACTGCTGATGAAGGGTAGAAGGGGAAGCATGGTGTAGAAGAAAAGAGGGCATAGGATTGAGCCTTGATGAACTGCATTTACTGGTTAAATAAAGAGAAGAAGCTTAAATGGCTAGAAAGGCTGGAGTCACACTGGGAGACCGTGACTTCACAGAAGTCAACTAGTCCAATGCCACTGAGCTCACAAGTGGCAGAACCAGAATTTGTACCCAAAGCTCATACGATTCCACTACTTTGAACTAGAGACCCCCTCACTAGCAATAGGATCAAAATCCTACCTTTTTGAACACCAGGATGCTGTCAAGGGTGACGTGGAAACGCCCAATGGCATTGCCAATCGTTATGACTCCAAACGTGAGCTCTGGAAAGTCTTTGATCACATCATAGAACAACTCTGCTACTTCTTCCTCTAAATCCTGTTTGGGAAAGGATATTTGGAAAGGCTTCGGTAGAAATCAAGGTGCCTGGCTTATATAAGGGAAAGACGGCAGTGGTGGCTGATTTGTCTCTTCACTTTTTCAAGTACTGGGGTTTGGCTGGATCACCCAAATCCTCTTTCGTGAGTATTTCATACTCAAAACGCTTCTCTGGCTATAACTAAAGCCAAAATAGGCAAGCCCTCAGAGATCAACAAAGAGAATTGATAAATGTGACCTTTTCCAATCGCTAGAGTAAAGGCTGTTCTAGCCCAGTGATTGAGACTTTTAACATTTATTCCTTAGTTACTTTCACAAGAGACAATTGATTTTACCACATGTAATACAAAATGTGAACTTAATATCAAGAATTTCAGCCTTCATTCTTTAGCTTGAAAGAAAATTAAGGCCAAACACCTCTCAAAGAAATGGCAAGGGGTGAGGGAGAGAGGCAGATATTCTCTCTGTATTAAATATAATGCCCGAATTCTGCCTTCTACTGGGAGAAGGAGAGGAGTCACCAGTTTATAGCAAATGAATCCAGACACATGAGAAACTCATTCTCCAATAGCAAGAACAATTTGCAAGTTATTTATAAATATGAAAAACATCTATATGTAAGGCTATTATGAGACATTTCATGATTATATCTAAGTTACTTACGTTCTTCCCCTAACATCTCCTCCTACTGCACCTCTAAGGGTTGGCGTATTTTCGAATGAGTGCATGTTTATCCTGTGCTACTGATTTTAATATATGAGAATGCTTGGAAAGAGGTTAGGGAGAGAAACTGGCCTGGCCCGAGCACAGCTGGTGGCCTTCAGACTCACAGAGAACGATGGCTCTGAAACCAGAAACTAAGATATCCCTTTATTAAGTGATGTTCTAAATGGACCCCTAAGAAGATTAGCCACACTGTTAAAACCCATTAAGTACAGATGCCATTCTTCTCTCTTTTCTCTCCATTCCCGTCCATTTGAACCCTTGGAGCTTCCCCTAAAAACCAGCTCATTGGATGGAGAAAATTGGGCAACCAAAACAGAAGAGTCTCATCACCCATTCCCTCCCAGACACAGCACTTTCACCAGTTGAAAGCCTCCTCCCACCTCTTGGCCCCAGTACCTGGAAGAAGCCAACGATGACCAAGGGCCTGGATGTCACAAACTCTGCCACCTGCAGGCTGCTGTTGAACAAAAATGCTTTCTGGCTAATTTGTCGTCTCAACCAAACGACTAAGGCAGTAGATTCAACCACTCCTGGAGAAAGACACAGTCAAATGGATACCAGAGAAGTTTCCTCTTGAACCAAAGCAAGAAGCTGGTCTTTCTCCAGTTTAATGCATAGAAGCTTCTTGTCTCAGGCTCCCATCCCTTGAAGGCCAAGGTCAGTTCCTCCATTCCCCTCTTCCCCAAGCTCCAAGCATGGACATTAACAACAGCAGCTAAATGTTACTGAGCACTTACCGAGGCCCAGACACTGTGCTGAATGTTTTGCATGTATTAAATCTTCACAGTCATCTACGAAATAGATACTTTTACTCTCCCCATTTTGCAGATGAGGAAACCAAGGTTCAACTGTCAACAGGCACCCAACTAGCAAACCTGAAGATCAAATTTAGGAGGAGGCATTTCCAGACTTCTTTTCCTATGCATTCTCCAAGGTGACAGGAAGATTGATTTATTTTTTAAAATCTCAATAAAATATAGCTGGAAAGACCACCTAGCTCTGTAACCTTGGGAAAATCCTATTATCCTTCTGTGTCCCCCATTCCTCAGCTGAGATTCAAATGCCCTCTCAGGTCATCCACTCCTGACTTCCATTTCTCAGCTATCGCATGGGTGGTGTCAAGCACACAAAAGTCTTAGCTTCTAAAATTAAGACACATCTATCATATCTGGAAAGACAAATTGGTGAGCCAGAGGTACGGAGGGCTACATACAGGTGAACATGTGTTTTTCTAGGATTATCAGTTTCCCATGATGGAAAGTAATGTAAAATATTATATATTTGTATCTGCTACAGAACATTAAAAGTGAACATTTTAAATGAGTTTATGAGCTAAGCATGGTGGCCCATGCCTATTTTCTAGCACTTTGGGAGACCAACGCAGGAAAATCACTCGAGGCCAGGAGTTTGGGACCAGTCTGGGCAACATAGTCAGACATTCAGCTCTACAAAAAAAAAAAAAAAAAAAAAAAAAATTAGCCAGGCATTGTGGCATGTGCCTGCAGTCCCAGCTATTTGGGAGACTGAGGCAGAAGGATTGCTTGAGCCCAGGAGTTCAAGGCTGCAGTAAGCTATAATTGGCCTGGGAGACAGAGTGAGACCTTGTCTCTAAAATAAATAAATAAATTTATGAGATAAAGCAACATTCCTTGTGAGTAGCTTTGAACTACATCCACAGACTGTTATTCATTTACTCATTATTTATTTCTTCCCTTATTTACTTGGCAAATATGTATCGGGTGCTTACTATCAAGTGCTGTACTCAGCCCTGGAGATATAAGGTTTAACAGAAACAAACACATTACCACCTTTCACAGCTCTCATTCTGTTGAGGAAGACAACAATCAAATAAATACACAAACAAGGGCATCATTATACCCAAAGGAAATACTTGAAATCAAAATTCTGCCAGTCTGTAGCAAAGATGCCTGATGTAGACTGTGAAGTCAAGGAGGACTTCCTGGAGGAAACTGCGGATGAGCTGTAAACTAAAGAATGCACTGGGCCAGACAGAGTGGCTCACACCTGTAATCCCAGCACTTTAAGAGGCCAAGGCAGGCAGATCACAAGGTCAGGAGATCGAGACCACCCTGGCTAACACGGTGAAACCCTGTATCTACTAAAAATACAAAAAATTAACCGGGCATGGTGGCACACGCCTATAATCCCAGCTACTCGGGAGGCTGAGGCGGGAGAATCACTTGAACCCAGGAGATGGAGATTGCAGTGAGCTGACATCGTACCACTGCCCTCTAGCCTGGACAACAAGCAAGACTCTGTCTCGAAACAAAAAAAAAAAAGAAAGAAAGAAAGGAAAGGAAAAGAAAAGAAAAGAAAAGAAAAGAAAAGAAAAGAAAGAAAAGAATGCACTGGAGTTAACTAGGAGGCATTAAGGAGAGGGAAAGTCTTCTATGAGAAGCAAACAGCCTATACAAAGTCCTGCAGCAGGACAAATTGCTGCCTGAGGCTTAATGAATGCACCCTGAGCTACTAAATCAACTGCAAAGGCTCTACCTTTGGTATATTTGCTTTATTTCATGAGAACATGAAGCCTTTTCAAAAACTTATAATAAAGTAAATTTACATGCAGAAAGGTGCATAAATGATAATGTATGGTTAGATGGATTTTCACAAAATGAACACACCTGTGTAACTACAACCCAAATCAAGAACTAGAACATCATCAGATCCTCAGCAGTCCCTGTTGTGCTCACTCCCAGCCTCTACTCCCCCACATCCAAGAGTAACCACCACCCTAACTTCTTCTTCTTCTTCTTCTTCTTCTTCTTCTTCTTCTTCTTCTTCTTCTTCTTCTTCTTCTTCTTCTTCTTCTTCTTCTTCTTCTTCCTCTTCTTCCTCTTCTTCTTCCTCTTCTTCCTCTTCTTCCTCTTCCTCTTCCTCTTCTTCTTCTTCTTCCTCTTCTTCCTCTTCTTCTTCTTCTTCCTCTTCTTCCTCTTCTTCCTCTTCTTCCTCTTCTTCTTCTTCTTCTTCTTCTTCTTCTTCTTCTTCTTCTTCTTCTTCTTCTTCTTCTTCTTCTTCTTCCTCTTCCTCCTTCTCCTCCTCCTCCTCTTCTCCTTCTCCTTCTTCCTCTTCCTCTTCCTCTTCCTCTCCTTCTCCTTCTTCTTCTTCTTTTTATTTTACTTTAAGTTCTGGGATACATGTGCAGAACATGCAAGTCTGTTACATAGGTATACACGTGCCATGGTGCTTTGCTGCACCTATCAACCTGTCACCTAGGCTTTAAGCCCCGCATGCATTAGGTGTTTGTCTTAATGCTCTCCCTTCCCTCGCCCTCCACCCCAACAGGCCCCAATGTGTGATGTTCCCCTCCCTGTGTCCATGTGTTCTCATTGTTTAACTCCCATTTATGAGTGAAAATATGTGGTGTTTGGTTTTCTGTTCCTGTGCTAATTTGCTGAGGATGATGAATTCCAGCTTCATCCATATCCCTGCAAAGGACATAATCTCATTCCTTTTTATGGCTGTATAGTATTCCATCACTGCCCTAACTTCTAACAGCATGCATTAGTCTGCCCTGTTCCTGAACTTCATATGAATGTTCTTGGCTCTGATTTCATTATGTTTGTGAGATTCAGCCACAGTTTTTCATGTACTTGAAGATTCATTTCCACTGCTGTGAATATTCCACAACTTATTTGTCCATTCTCTGCTGATGGGCATTAAGTTGCTCTCATTTTAGGGTCTTTTTTTTTTGAGACAGTTTATCCTTCTGTCACCCAGGCTAGAATGCAGTGGTGTGGTTGTGGCTCATTGCAGCCCCGATCTCCCAGGCTCAAGCCCTCCTCCCACCTCAGCCCTCTGGGTAGCTGGGACTACAAGCATGTACCACCACACCTGGCTAATTTTTTTTTTTTTTTTTTTTGAGACAGAGTCTTACTCTGTTGCCCAGGCTGGAGTGTAGTGGCTCAATCTTGGCTCACTGCACCTCCGCCTCCCAGGTTCCAGTGATTCTCCTGGCTCAGCCTCTCGAGTAGGTGAGACTACAGGCATGTGCCACCATGCCCGGCTAATTTTTTAGTATTAGTAGAGACAGGGTTTCACCATGTTGGCCAGGCTGGTCTTGAACTCCAGGCGATCTTCCCACCTCGGCCTCCCAAAGGGCTGGCATTATAGGCTTGAGCCACCATGCCCAGCCCACACCTAGCTAATTTTTAAGCAATTTTTAGTAGGACAAGGTTTTGTCTGTGCTGGGATTACAGGCGTGAGCCACAGCACCCAGCCGAGCTGCTCTATTTTCTTCACGGAGTCTATCCGTTCTTGAAATTATTATGATGATTTTTTGCTAGCTTGTTCAGTATGAGCTCCCAGTAAGCTCCTATAATGCTTGGCACATAGTAGGTGCTTAAGAAATCTTTCTAGAATGAATGAAGGGGCTGAATGAGTCATTAGGGAAGCTGGTTTGAGGAAACTTGATCTTGGGCCACCTTCTTGGGGATGTGTGAGCTCCATTTGCCCCTCTGGCCCCTGTGGGACCAAAGTAGCTATGAACTCTGCAAGCTGTTGATTCCTTTGTGCCTGCAGATCAGGCACTGCCCTTGTTGGGGACCTCCTTTGGTACTTGGCTCTGTGCCAGAGGACACGGTGACAACTGAAGTGTGAATGCAATGTCAATGATTGACTAGGGCCGGCACTGGGCTGCATATTTCCAGGCACAAGTTGTGGCTGCATCATTAATAGAGGCCTAGAGGCAACCTGAGTCTCCCTCCTTCCAGGGTGGCGGTCATCAATCCTTGGAGGATAGATAAAAACGGGACTGGGGCTTTGACCCCACAAGGACTAAATCCCACCTGCGTCCTAAGAGGGGTTTTTATCAAAGTCACATTGCAGAAGATGCGTAAAGCACCGTCCCCTCTCAGGTCAGAGGAGCCCTGGCAAGTAGGCAGAACTGGCATTACTCATCCTGTTTAGAAAAAGAGAAATTGGGCCAGGTGCAGTGACTCACACCTGTAATCCCAGCACTTTGGGAGGCCAAGGCAGGTGGATCACGAAGTCAAGAGATTGAGACCATTCTGGCCAACATGGTGAAACCCCATCTCTACTAAAAATACTAAAAATTAGCTGGGAGTGGTGGCACATGCCTGTAGACCCAACTACTCGGGAGGCTAACGCAGGAGAATCACTCGAACCCGGGAGGTGGAGGTTGCAGTGAGCTGAGATCACACCACTGCACTCCAGCCTGGCAAAAGAGCAAGACTCCATCTCAAAAAAAAAAAAAAAGAAAAGAAAAAGAAAAAAAGAGAGAAATTGGAAGCCTGGTTGTAAAAGGCTCATTGAAGTTCCCATGGCTACTGCTCATCCTAAAATCGAGGGATCCTCAGTCCTTGTCCCGGCTTCATCCTGGCATTCCCCTTCCCCTTTCTCTGGCTGGAAGTAATACTGAGGAAGTAAGCCCAGCAGAAATATGGGTAGGTACTTTATCCTATGCCTGCCTGCAGTGGGTGCTTCCAATTCTGTGTATTCAAACTCAAAAACTATTATTATTATTTTAAAATTTAGAGACAGGATTTCACTCTGTCACCCAGGCTGAAGTGCAGTGGTGCAATCATGGCTCAATGTAGCCACAAATTCCTGGGTTCAAGCGATTCTCCCATCTCAGCCTCCTGAGTAGCTGAGAATACAGGTATCCACCACCACACCTGGCTAAGTTTTAAGGTTTTTGTAGAGACAGGTCTTGTTGTGTTGACCAGGCTGGTCTCAAACTTCTGGGCGCAAGTGATCTTCCCATCTAAGCCTCCCAGACTGTTGGGATTACAGGTGTGAGCCACTGCACTTGGCTCAGAAACTATTTGTTAAGAGCTTAATTGTTCCAGGCATTGGACTAGAATCAGAAAACTAATAGTCCGATAATAATAACGAACACATCTGCCACTTGCTTAGAGTATAGTGCAATGTAAAGCAGATTTCAACATACTACAGCCTGTAGTCCAAATCAGGTCTGCTGTTTGAATGTATAAATAAAACTTTATTGGAACACAGTCATTCCCATTTGTTAACACGTGGCTGCCTTCACATTGCATCAGCAGATCTGAGTAGTTACAACAGAGACTGCCTGGCTTGTAGGACCTGAAATATTAATGATCTGGGCCTTTGCAGAAAACTTTTGCTGACTCCACCACTACTCGCTGGGGAGCTTTGAAGAAGTTATTCTACCTTTGTGTGCCTCAGTTTCTCCATCTGTAAAACACCTCTTATATTGGGGTGTTATGACATAGGAGAAGGGTCTAGAACAATGGCTGGAACACAGTATATGCTACAGGTATGTGTCAGGCCATGTGCCTTGCAAACATCGTTTTATCTTCCCAACAACGTAGAGGGATCGATCTTTTCACCATCCCCATTTAACAGATGAAAAAAACTGAGATTCGACGAGAGGCAGTGATTGTTTCTTAAGCCTGCAGTAAGGATTTGGATGCAGAGGGGAGTGCTGTCAATTCTGGTAGTCTCTTTAGAGGACTCAGGAGTGCAAGTGAGATCAGCCACTGCCCTTGTGATGCTCTCTGTAGAGAACACGCAGTAAGTAGCAGATGTAATTCTTTGAGGCCAGGGGAAAACACAGATGCTGTGAGGCCACAGAGGTGGAGCAGGCACTCTGGCCTGGGCAGTCAGGGGAGACTTCCTAGAGGGGGTGATGATGAAGCTTCCTGTATGGCAGAAGAGGTCCCAGGCACTGGTTTCCCTGATGAAGGGGGCTCAGAGGTCAAATGCCTTGGGGACCTTCTCTGCTAGTTTCATCCACAGTCTGGAAGTTGCCATATTGTTACTTTGTCGCCTCTAAGTGGAGTCAGGTCTCTCCTGCCCTTCAGGAAGGAAGGTCATCGCAGCACCTGGGCCACTCCATTAGCAGTCACGGGCTCCGATGACCTAGGGCCTCCCATTTCCTCATAGCTCTCCCCAGAGCAAACACATCACAAAGGGCTCCTTGCTGGTGTCAGTGAGTCCCCCTTGTTGAGGGTCATCCCCTGGTATCCACAGGAAACAGCACCCTCTGTTGCTTCTCTCACTGCTCCTGCCCTACCTCCCCACGTCTTCTCTCGACCACACAGCCACCACCCTCCCACAAGCCTGCTGGGAGCTGCAACCCTGCCCTTGGGTGACTGCTCTGAGGTTCTCTTGCGGTGCCTTGCTCTGGGTCTATCCTGTGTCTTTTATGCCCTCTTGTGTCCGTTCTGAGAACTGCAAAGCATCCTGCAGCCCCCTGGATGTGTGTTTCTTGCAAATAACACTGAATCTGGCTTATTGGAAGCTGGCTATACACCAGATCCAGTGGAAGGCAGTTTCCGTTACTCAAGACTCAATAATTTAACATATATAATGAGAACATTCTACTGGCACAGCTGTTACAGGCGCTTCTGTGTTCATCAGTTTTTTTACTTCCATCCTTCCATCCATTTATCCATCCTGCATCCATGAATGCCTTCATATACGTAACTTTCTAGAAGTTGGGACTACCATATGTGCCATACTAGTACCTTATTCTCTATACATCCTCAACATCAAGATAGGGCTTGGCACATGGTAGCTTGTCAATAAATGGATGTTGAATAAATGAATGAATGAGTTAATCAATGAATGAAATATATGATGATAGAACTTAAATTGTTTGGTAGACATTGCATCCCAAACCTGTCATGTTCCATCATTTCTCAATTTCCCTTTTGGCTAACTAGTGCTTCCCTAGTCCTAGGACTCTGTCAAAATCATTCTAAAGTCGAAGATTGGGAGTGGGAAGTGAAGTTAGAACTTAATCTCTGGTGTCTGGTTTCTAAGCCATGCACCCCACCCTCCCACCTCTTGGTGTTTCTAGGGCCCATCAGCTGAGCTGCAAGCTATAGTAGAGGCAGCTACGTATTCACTGAACCCGTTTTCTTTCTAAAGACAGAGCTGAACTGTATTTCTCAGCCTTTCTTGCAGTTAGTTCGGGCCATGTAGCAGAATTCTGGTCAACGGGGTGTGAATAGAAGTGATACTTCCCACTGTCCATGGCCAGGGCCATGAGCAGTACTCATGGTGACCTTCTACCCCTTACCCAAACTGCTGTCTGGATACAGAGGAAAGAGCAAGTGGTTCCAAGACCCTAGAAAAGGGCAGAGTCACAAGCTGGAGGGGCCTGGGTCCCTGAGAGGCTGCATGGAGCAGAGCCTCCCACCTTTACCCTATGGCTGTTAAGTGGACTTTCCATGAACATGAAACAAATGTGACACGCAAGCACCATTACCTTTGCAGCTGATGGGCTCCGACCTGTTGCCCTCAAAAAACAGCTTCAACTGCGGGGCCTTGGTAATCCCAAACTCCTGCTGAAGCTCTTTCTCTATGGTAATGTCCACTTTGCCAAAGCCGATCCCATTCTTGCCTTTGCCCATGATCTCCACAGCTTTGCCCAGCTCTTCCGCCAAGTTCCTGGATTGCTTTGAGGATGGGTTGTCTGAAAAAGAATGAAGACAAAATTCGAGAGAGTCTTTCCTCACTCCCCGTCTCCAACAGTGGATTATTTGTTGGACCTGCCCAGCTCCCGGAACCTGTCTTGTGCTCAGCTGCTAATGGCTGAATTTTCATAAATGTGACAGGATGTGAGACACAATGGTTCATGAAATTGGACAATCTGGGAGATGTCTATCAATGTTCTTTGGATTCAGTAGCATTGGAAACAATACAACCGTGGTCAACTTTACTCAATCTCTCTGAGCTCCATTTTTCTCTTGTGTAAAGTGGGGGAAAATAATAGTGGTTACTTCAAGGAATTGTCAGAGTTAAATGAGATTTATATCACAATCGGCTATAACTGCTTATTGTTTTCTAAGAGATTTATGTGCCTTAAGCCATTTTCTCCTCTCTATAACTCTGTGGGATAGGTATTATATCAATTTTATACCTGAGGAAACTGAGGCACAACAAATGACTTACTTGCCCAAGGCCCTATGACAATGGAGGTATGGCCAGGATAAGAGCCCACTCCGTCTAGCTGTAGAGTTCTTGTTTTCTAACCTCTACTAGGCACGTAAACACTTGGCATAATGCCTGGCACAAGTTAAGTACATGATGCATTCTTACTACTGCTTCCATTATTATGGTAAAATTTCTGCGGTCAAAGCAGGACCCAAGCAATGATTACACAAAAGCATGCAGAGTGGTATAATGGACATTGGAGACTGAGATTCGGGGAGACTGAGTGCAGGGTGAGGGTTAAAAACAAACAAACAAACTGCCTATTGGGTAGAATGAACATGACTCAGGTGATGGGTGCACTAAAATCTCAGACCTCACCACTATACAATTCATCCGTGTAACCAAAAGCCACTTGTACCCCCAAAGCTATTGAAATAAACAAAAACAAACCACTCAATAGCATAGACACGATGATCACATTTATGGAATTTTTAAGAAGTGTATGCACAGGGCAAAAGAAGTCTAGAGGGAAATTTTCCAAACTATTAAAATTGTTTGTTTTTAAAAAATTCTGTGGTCAGAAATTATGGCGAGACAGAGAGGAAACATGAGAGCTCATGAACGCCATCTGGTGGAACTTCCTGGAGCTAACAGGCCAAATTGGGCCTCTGCGGTTGCCCGGCGTATAATTGGACAGGGGACTTTCCTAGGTAAGGAAGGCCAGGTGTGGGAAGGGCAGGGAGAGGGGAGGTTATGGTGTTCCACTGAGCCCACCCTCTTGCATGGGGGGAATCGAAGAGACCTGAAACTCTCCATTAAGCGGTCTGATCTGGATGCCTTGGCCCCTCACGTTGCTGGACAGTGGGGAGGGAGTGGGGAAGCCCTTTTCTAGAAGCCGTATCAGGGAGCTGGCACGTGACCTTGGCAGTGGAAGAGGCTTTTCTGGCTAAACGGAGGGGACTAAAAGGCGCCCAAGTTTGCCTTTCTTCCTCCTGATAACATTGTGAGGCTGCAGGTCCCTCGCTACCCCATGACTGAGGAAGGGGGCTGAGCCAGGGCAGCGGGTCATTGGTTGCCTTTCAAGCCGAAACATTTTATCTTTTTCACTGCCCCCCATCCCCTCGGTCCATCTGGAGCACTTGGAGAAAGTGCAAATCACCTCTGCCGCGGAGGGCAAGTTCCAAGTCCAACAGAGAGGTGTTTTGTAAAGTGCAGCTCAGAAAGCAGGGCCCCGGGACAGCTGGCTCAGGCCCCGTTGCTGGTCAGCACGCCTGCTCCTGCAATGGGATCTGAAAGTGAATGATCGCTTTCATTAAACTCCCGGTCAATGGACGGGAAGCGGGGACTTTGAGCCTCCCTCCTGGATCGATGCCCCTCCACTGCCTGCTTTGTCACCGCCATCGCCTTCGATACTCCCCATCCATCATCACCAGCATGCACTGGCCAATTGCTGGCTGCTCTGGTCCCTGAGGCTCTCCCCGGCTTCCTCGTGGATGTGGCCATGCTGGGCTCAGGATTGCTGATTGACATAGAATCTGAATCTGAGTTTCTAAGGGCGGAAGCTCAGGGCAAGAGAAACACTTGAAATGATTGTCCAGATGGTAGAGCAAATTTCAGAGGTTTCACACACAACCCAGTGCCCCTGGGTGTCTGAAACGCAAGTGACAGAAAGAGATTGTGGCAACTGGAATGCTGAGTTCTGAGAGCTAGATTGATGGGGCCTATGATAACAGTAATGGAGAGTCATTCATTCATTTTATGAATTCATTCATTTCTTCGTTCATACAATGAATCTTTTAGGATATGCCATGTGCCAGGCACTGTCCTGGGGACTGGGGATGTAACAGTGAACAGATAAAAACCCCTGCTGTCACTGGAAATGGCAGAAAATAAGCAAAATAACAAAGTAAAATAAGTGCTGAGTTAGATAATATGTGTTTTGGAAAAGAATAGGAGAGTTGGAGGTTGGCAGTATTAGGGAAATTGCAAAGTTAAGTAGGAGGCTAAAGATGGCTCACTGAGAAGCAATGTTTTAATAAAGATGGAAAGAAATGAGAGAGGAAGCCATGTAGACATCTAGCAGGAGATGGTAATTCCTGGTAAAGAGTCAGTGTATGCAAAGGCCCTGAGGTGGGGCATGTGTGACATGTTCAAGGTATGACAAGAAGTCCATTGCGTCTGGAGCAGAGTGAGCTGGGGCCAGGGGACAGGTGATGTAGGGTCTTGCACACTGAATAGACTTTGACTCTTCCCAGAATATAGAATGGTACCAGAGGGTTTGGAGCAGAGGTGGATGTGATCTGAGTTACTTTTCTTTTTTTTAAACGGATCTCGTTCTGTGGCCCAGGCTGGAGTGCAATGGCACCATCTTGGCTTACTGCAACCTCCACCTCCCGGTTCAAGCGATTCTCCTGCCTGGGCCTCCTGAGTAGCCGGCACAGGCACGTGCCAATAGGCCCTGCTAATTTTTGTATTTTAGTAGAGACGGGGTTTTACCATGCTGGCCAGGCTGGTCTCAAACTCCTGACCTCAGGTGGTGATCTGAGCTACTTTTTAACTGGATTTCTCTGAATATTATATGGAGATTAGACAAAAGGGGGAAAAGAATGGATGCAGGTAGACCAGTCAGAGGCTACTACAGTAATCCAGGCAAGAGATGGTGATGGCTTTGGGCCAGGAGAGTGGTAATGGAGGGGCTGAGAAGTGATTCCATTCTAGAGAGATTTGGGAGGAGGAGTTTGGATATGGAACATGGTGAAAGAGCAGAGTCCAGGGTGACTCTGAGGTTTTGATCTGAGTGACTTAGGATTATGTAGGATCTTTTCCTATGGAAAGATGATAATGATGATGTCACTATCATCACCATAATGATGATGATATTGATGGCGATGTTGATAATGAGAATAGTAATAATAATAACACGTATTGATCCTTTACGATGCTAAATACTTTGCATAGTGTTCCATGCATTTTCCTGGTTAATCTTCAGAACAACCCTGTGAGTTATCTATGATTGCAAGCAGGAATATCACCGATAAGGAAATGGAAGCTCAGAGGTCTTACAGCTAGCATGCGATTAGGCTGAGCGTCAACTTGAAGGCAGACTAGCTCCAAAGTTCATGTTCTAAATGACCAAATTAGCCAACTGGTCTGAAAAATCTTTCTTTTTCTCGAAGCAGATTGATAGGGGCACGTTTTTCATTTCTTCTGTTCCAGGTGGTTCCCATCAGAGCAGAGACAACCTATAGAGCCAACACCACTCTTTAAAATTTACAGTCTGATTTTCTGGCTTCTCATTTTAAAAATTTTGCAAATTGGGCCAGGTGTGGTGACTCCACGCCTGTAATCCCAGCACTTTGGGAGGCTGAGGCGGGCAGACCACCTGAGGTCAGGAGTTCGAGACCAACCTGACCAATATGGAGAAACCCCATCTCTACTAAAAATACAAAATTAGCCTGGTGTGGTGGCACATGCCTGTAATCCCAGCTACTCGGGAGGATGAGGCAGGAGAATCGCTTGAACCTGGGAGATGGAGGTTGCGGTGAGCTGAGATCGCGCCATTGTACTCCAGCCTGGGCAACAAGAGTGAAACTCCATCTCAAAAAAAAAAAAAAATTGCAAATTGGTTTTCCTTCCGGGTTCTGGAACCTTGAATTCCAAGTTTGTAGGTGTGAAATGAATGCATACACCCCTCAGGTCTCAGCATCTACATTCTGCCCTGGTCAACTGAAAATGCCAGTTTGGCTGGGTGTGGAGACAATTCACATGTATATTGGCACTTAGGCTGAGCAGTGCCCAGTGGATTGTAGATGGACAGAGACCCCTTTGCTGTGAGGCCAAGAGCGCCTATGGGCCCAACTTCTGTCAGGCCCTGAGCTCTCAGGTCCTAGCTCATTGTCTGCCACATACTAGATGCTCAATTAACATAAATTCCTTAGGTTATCTTATCAGAGGCAGTTATGGTGGTTTACAGTGCTTGTAGCCCAGGAAAGTTGTTTTTATTTTTTAAGTCTCTGTGACTCAGTTTCCTCATTCATAAAGTGGGGTTATTAATAGATCCTACATCTTAGAGTGATCCTACAAAATAAGACAAGGTGTGCAAAACTTTGGTACAAATAAACATTAGCTATTTCGATGACATAGGAGGAGACTCTTTGGTATTGCTCTGACGAGATTCTCTCTGGGAAGGGAGGGTCCCATGGTGATGTCAGGAATCCCAAAGATCTTCTGGTTACTGATGAAAGGGAACAACAGTGACCATCACCAAACCATCCATCGCAAGTTCTAGGCCTATGATAGGGCTCTCACGTGGGTTTCAGGGTAAGCACATGGGACTCAGGGCCATGTTAGAATAGGCAGTGGCTCCCTGACTGTCTGCTTGGTGTGTAGATGTGCTAATGGCTAATGGACCTAGAATTAATGTTTGCCTGGTCTTTAGTAGAAAACCCCAGGTTCCCTTCTCTGAGCAGTGAATGTGAGTCAGAGGAGGGGCTCATAGGTGATGGGGAGGTGATGAGCATGGGAACTGGAGTTTGATCCCAGCACAAGGAACTTAAGTTTGCCTTTCTTTAGACCAGTGGTTCTCAGTGGGGGACATTTTGCAAGGTCTGGAGGCATTTTGGTTGTCACAACTGGAAAAAGAGATGCTACTGGCATCTAGTGGATAGAGGCCAGGGATGCTGCTAAACATTCTACAATGCACGGGACAGCCCCAGCCCTACAAGCAAAGAATTATCTAGTCAAATGTCCATAGGGCTTAGGATGAGAAACCCTACTTTAGATCCAACTTCTGATCGAGCATGAAAAAAATATTCTGAGAAAAACCCTCTCCCCATTGCATAGGGCCATGCACAGTATACAGAGGTACTCACAGTCGATAGGGACTTCAGGATTGTCATCAATCTCTTCTTGTTTCTCGGAGGCCAGCCACCAATTTGTTCTGACCATTGCAATGGCCTTTAAGTTTTTAAAAGATCTGTACCTCCCTATTTTTCTGGCCTCATTTTCTACTTCTCTTCTCTTCAGAAACCCTATATCTTTAGCCACATGGGTACAATCTCCCTCACCCCAGGGTATTTTTACTTGCTGTTCCTTCTGCCCTAAATCTGCATAGATCACTCCTTCACCATCTTAAGATCTTTGCTAAAGTGTTACCTTTCTAGGGAAGCTGTCCCTGACCATCCTATTTAATACTACAGCCTCATCTCCATCTACCTCATGCATTCCCTCTCACTCTTCTCTATTTTTCTCCATAGTACTTTTAACCATAGGAAATACTATGTATTTTACTTATTTATTTGTTTATCTTTTGTCTTCTGTCTCCAGGATGTCAGTTCCAGGAGAGCAAGGATGATCATCTGTTTTGTTCACCACCATATCCTCAGTGCCTACAATATATCTGGCAAATAACCAGTATTCAATAAATACTGAAGGAATGAAGTTTCCAATGATCAGCACAGTGTAAGAAGATGAATTTAGCACCAGTTTTGGTGTCAAGCTTGGTCTCAAACCCAGGCTTCACTACTTACCAGTTGTGTGACCTTGGGCAAATGATCTAACCTTTCTGACATTTACATGCTTCATATACAAGATGGGGACAAGGTTATCAAGTGCAGTGCCTGAAACACAGGTGCTTGATAAATGGCCTTTGTCATCATCATCACCACTGTTGTCATTATCATCACCATAACCATCATCACCAGCACTATCATCACCACTGTCATCACCATCATCATGACAGTCATCATCACCAGCACTATCATCGCAGTTTTCATCATAATCACCATAACGATCATGGTCATCAGCACCATCATCACCATTGTCATTATCATCAGCATAGTTAATAATCATTATTACTAGTACCATCATTGCCATTGTCATCACCATCATAACAATCATTATCACCAGCACCATCATCGCCCTTGTCATCATCACCACCATAGTTAATAGCCATTATCATCACCATCATCGCCATTGTCACCATCATCACCATTGTCATCATCACCACCATAATTAATAGCCATTATCATCACCATCATTGCCATTGTCGTCATCATCATCATCTTCATCATTATTCCATCCACATTACCATCTCCACATCATGCTCACCATCATCATCTAACCTACACCCAGGACAGAATCTTATCACCTCTGCCTTAGGGACAAGCGATAAAGGACCCTAGACAGCTCCTAATCTTATCTTGACCTCTCCCCACTAATGGTAGTTAATCCCCTCTCCTTGATTCATTCAAGTTAATGTAGATGAAGAAAATTACGGGTCAAAGGAAATCTCATTCACCCATCTATTCATTTGTTTAACATCTATGGAAGCCTACCATGCTCCAAGCACAATGCTGAATGTTAGGAATCAGGAGATGAGTAAGATTTGGCCCCCAACATCACGAAATGTACATGATGAAAAGCAGTTTTGATACCATATGGCAAATGCTATGAGAGAGAGGGTAAAAAGAAGGCGGTGGGAGCATAGGAAGGCCTCCCAGCCAGACTAAGTGGGGGTGAAGGTGGACACAGCCTACCAATGAGGGGCATGAACTTCACAATCCAGGTGAAGGAGTGTAGGAAGGATACTACGGAAGCTGCAAGTGCAAAGGCCCAGAGGCTGTAGCCGTGGGCTAGATCAAGCAGAAGACCTTAGCTACTGAGTGACCTGATCAGATTTGCATTTTAGAGGAAGTCTCTCTGGGTACATTGCAGGACAGCATTGGAGAAGGCAGGGAGACCATCTCAGAGGCTGTTGCAGTGGTTCAGGTGAGGTATAATGAGGCCAGAACCAAGGCTGTGGTGGCGGGATGGGGATAACAGAGATTGAAGGGATTTAGAAAGTGGCATCTACAGGATGTGATGATGGATTGCATGTGAGAGTAGAGGAATCAAGAACAACCTTGAGGTTTCTGACTTTGACACTGAGTGGATGGTGGTACTGTCAGTGAAGGCAGGACATACAAAGCAGCAGATTGTTGGGACCAAATCAAAGATGTTGAGGTCTGTTGTGGACATGTGGCATTTGGGACTGCCAGGAACATTGAGAGGAAAGCTCCCTCAACCCCTGGCTCTTGGCCTGGAGTTCTCAGAGAGAAGAGAAAGCTGGTCATCCATTGAGGATTTGAGTGACTCGGGCGGTCCCTGGGGGCAGTATCTGAAAATAATCTCTTTTTCGAAGAGCCCATTTACCCTTAAAGAAAGCTTTTATAGTGCTTTCCCCAAGTGATTTGTTTTTCCAAAGGCCACTTTAGAAAGCCTGCTAATTTTTTTGAGAACTCATTTTGAATTTAATTGTGTATTGGCAGGAATCAAAGATTCAAATGTAATGAGATTAATTGAGTGTCCCTTTTAGATAAGAAAATTTTTGCTGTTGTCGAGTTCACTGCTCTGGAATACCTGCTAGTGGAAAGGCTTTAGCTTTGAAATATGCACATTGGTTGTTGTCGAATGCAATTGAAGAATGTGAAATTGATTGGCTCCCTCTGTAGCCCCAGATTTAGTGTCAGTTCTTATGTCATAAGAATTAAAGAACCGTGAACTCACCCTTCTGCCCTGGTTAAAACAGGGCAGAGCCTACTATTCTCATGAGGACTGGACAGGTTTCCCAGCCTTATCCATCCACTACACCGTTTTTGGAAGGGGAATGTGTTGAGGTGTGTTTTGTGGTTGTGTAAATGTATGGCTCTAAGCCTTTCAACACCTCCATTGAGGGTCCCAGATTAGAAATTAGGGCTACAGCGAAAGAGACGGTTTGGATGTTTCATCTGTGCAAACCATTAGTTTATCAGTTCCACAGCAAGTGGAGTAAGACTGCAAGGTTCTCTGCTCTTCCCTGTAAAAGTAACCATGAAACAGATGCACAAGTGCTGGCCTGAATTCTAGTGTGGATGAGGGATGTGCAGAACTAGCTGGAGGAGTCTTTCAGCAAAGTGGAAATGCCTGCCCTGCTCACAGGCTCATGTAAAGAAAATGGTCCAGGGTGGATTTCTCTTACAAGGTATTGCTCAAAGGGCTTTGAAGTAAAATCAAACTGGCATCCTGATGAACAGTCTGAGCTAGAGGGAGGTCACAAGCTTGGAACTACGTTGATGAAACTTCAAGCAACAGGCATGTTCAGTATTGGATGGAGGCAAAAATGACCCAATTGGACATTCCTTGTGGGAACCGTAAGTGTTAAGGGTACAAAAAGAAGGCGATTCATGCTTCCACGAAGTGGCAGCATAACCTAGCTGGGGAGGCACCAGGACTCGGGGGACTGACTTATTGATGCTCCCACATCCCCAAATTTCCTCATGTAAGTGGCACCACTCACAGAGTATACCTCAAATGAGAAGGACAAGGATTGAGGAAGGAGATTGGAAGACCGAATTTCCGGCAAGGAAATAGACTCAAATGTCATGGGGATAAAGCAGAGAGTGTGACAGTGTGAGGTTGGCAGGACAGGAATATGGCAAATTGATAAGCATGTTCTCTGACCACAAGGAAAAATAACAACTCAGCTTCAGCCAGTTGTCACCGTGTAGGACTGAGGGCCAGTGCTTCCAGATCTTCTGATTTTTTGAAGAGCTGATGCAAATTCAGTTTTAATTGTGACATGTTTCATTTCTTTTAAACACTGCATGGGCCAGCTGCCAACTCATGGGCTCAGTTCCTGGGCTTCCTGTTGTATCCTTAGTTTCAATGTTATGGGAAAGAGTAGGAGTCATAGAAAAGAACTGTGAAAAAGGAGCCAGAGAGGTACATAGGAACCAGAAGAGACTGAGTTCACGGAAACCAGGCATTAGGGGGTCTTGGCATGAATAGGCAAAGAAGGTCAAGGAAGGTGAGGGCTGTCAAGTGTCCACTGGATTTGAGAAAAAGCTGTCCCTTGAAAGCTAGCCTGAGCCACAGTCAATAAAGGCAGTCTCTTGGAGAAAATAGTTTTTGACATTCCTGCCCAGAAGAGAAATCTTTTCCTGGTGGTTCACTGTCTTAAAGAGCTTATTCCACCAGGCTGCCTCTCAGCCCGCCCAGCCTTGAGTTGCCTCTGAACAAAGGTCATTTCAAGGCTTTTATAGCAAAACGCAGGTGCAATGTGACTAAAGGAAGGCAATGTTGTGGGTTCCCCAGGCCTGGTTTCTTTATCCTCTTGGGGTACACAGTCATACTACATTTCCCAACCTCTCTTACAGATAAGCATGGCTATAGGGCAGTGATCTGGCCAACGAAATGTGGGTAGAAATGATGTACATCAGTGCTTCCCACACTTTAATGTACGTGAATCACCTGAGAATCTTGTTAAAATGCAGATTCTGATTCAGTGTATCTAGGATGAAACCTGGGAGTCTGCATTTCTTTTTTTTCTTTCCTTTTTTTTTTTTTTTTTTTTTTGAGACGGAGTCTCGCTCTGTCACCCAGGCTGGAGTGCAGTGGTGATCTCGGCTCATTGCAAGCTCCGTCTCCTGGGTTCACGCCATTCTCCTGCCTCAGCCTCCTGAGTAGCTGGGACTACAGGCGCCCGCCACCACGCCCGGATAATTTTTTGTATTTTTAGTAGAGACGGGTTTCACTGTGTTAGCCAGGCTGGTCTCAATCTCCTGACCTCATGATCCACCAGTCTTGGCCTCCCAAAGTTCTGGGATTACAGGCGGGAACCACCGCGCCTGGCGGGAGTCTGAATTTCTATGAGCTCCTGAGTGATGCTGACATTGCTGGCTTATGGCCTATACATTGAGTGGCACAGATGGGTATCATTTCCAGGCCTAGCCTGACCCAGAGGCACATCCTGGCCTCCCTCTCCCTTTGCTGGCTGGAGGCAGAGGTTTCTGTGGAGTACTCTAGGCCCTAAGGAATGGCTCAGGCCTTAGGTAGAAGGAGCCTGGGTGCCTGAATGATTGTATGGAGCAGAGCTTCTCTGCAGATCCACCTGGAACTAAGATGACATGGACCCTTATGAACCTAGATTGTTATGGCAGTTAGCTTTCCCAGTAAACACAGTGATTTTTAAGATAACTAGTCAAAATTAGAGCAAAGAAGAAGTTTGAGTATTAAAGTGGGCAATACTTTCTAGAATTTATTTCTTTAAGGGATTTCATTGATCTCTTATTAATTGACCCCACAATATGCAAAGAACTAATAAGACGCTTGGCACATTGAAGTTAGCCTATAACCTTGCATCTTGTGGCAAATACTGAGAATCAGCCATTTATAACCTCCTTTTGTTTTGCTTCCTCAGCTAAAGAGGTTGGAAACCTAAAATATTCACCATTCCAGACTTCTCAGTTAGAAACATCCATGGGCCCAAGTTCTAGCCATTAAGACGTTACCAAAGTGATTGGATGCAGCTCTGGGAAAGTTTTATTTTTTTAAAGGGACATAGGTGGCTGATGTATTTTATCCCTTTGTTGTTTGCCTATCCCTTTTTGTTTCTAGCTGGAACGTCCAGTGCAATGCAAGAAGCACAGCAGCCATCTTGTGACCATGAGTTGTAATGTGTCAAGGATGAGGGAGTTAGAAAATAGAAGGAGGCTTGCCCCTGAAGCTGTGGAGCTGCTATACCAGGCATTGACTGCCTATCCCGCCTCACACAGTGTGTGAGATCAGCTCTTGGATTAAGCCAGCTGCTATAGTTTGGTTAGTTTGACTTTCTTTAAATGTCATGTTGAAATTTGTTCCCCAGTGTTGGAGGGGGGGCCTAATAGGAGGCATCTGGGTCGTAGAGGTGGATCCCTCATGAATGTTTTGATGCTGTCACCACGGTAATGAGTGAGTTCTCACTCAATTAGTTTCTGCAAGAGCTGGTTGTTAAAAAGAGCCTGACATCTGCTGCCCCTCTCTCTTGTTCCCCTCTCATATGTGATCGCTGCCCACACCAGCTCCCCCTTCACATTCCACCATGAGTAGAAGCAGCTTGAACCTTTCGCCAGATGCCCAACTTCCAACCAGCAGAGTTGTGAACCAAATAAACCTTCACTGTTTATAAATTATCCAGCCTCAGGTATTCCTTTGTAGCAACACAAACAGAGGAAGACATCACCATCAGCAGATTCTTAATTAGTTGCCGTTGAACTCTGTCCTAACTGACACAGGGTTGATGAACTGCATTTGCCTCAGTGCCACAGGGCAAGGGAGAATGGGAGCTCATGTTTATTGAGCAACTTCCACATGTCAGGTAATAGACAGCCTCTGAGTTCATTTTCGCTTTACAGGTGAAAGTGAGACAGGAAGAAACTCACCCAAGGCCACATATGCAGTTTACGGAAGAACTCAGCTTTACACTCAGGCTTGCCTGGATCCCAATGTACATTACACCAAACCTTGATGTTGCATAAGAACCAAGATGCACGAGTGATTCAGGCTAAGAGAGGTTCTTTAGAATTTACCAGTGCTTGGCATGAGGTCTTTGATTAAGTATTGACATCAACAACCATAAATTTTAATGACTTCTACTAACTTTTTGGCTTTGATTATCTATCACTGGGCATTACAGGGAAGCCTAACAGACTATGTATCTCCCTTCAAGGCAAACTTCAAGCATCCAGATGCATTTGCATTGGCCTGGGAATCCCTCATGCACTCCAGGACATGAGGGAGCAGGAACCAAACCAGAGAAGGTCACTCAGCTGCTGCAGTTGGAAGAACCACTTCTGAGGATGAGTTCACACCATTACTTCTCCATTTTAGAGCACCCAAAGTGTACAATTTAGACTATTTTAATTGCATGACTTAATCACACTTTGTTTTAAAGGGTTTCTCATGCCTTGTGACATTCCTGGCTTAAACTGTAAAGTCCTTGAGAGCAGAAACCAAGACACCCATGGAGTCCACCCATGACCTGGCATTGAGCTGCATAAATGTGGGGTGAATAAGAACCCAGTGGTGATAGCTCCTGCCTGTGGAGTGCCCACTATGACAAGGGACTGCATATCTGAACCCACTTTCATCACCACAACAACCTGCAAGAGAGGAATTGTTAACCTTGTACAGATGAGAAAATGGGTGAGGATGATGAGAGCGGAAGCCAACATCTCCTTAAGTTCTTATTATGCATCAGTCACTGTGCTAAGCACATGATTTCACTTAATCCCCACAATAACCCTAGGAGTTATAAATTTTATGTATGTACATATTTATTTATTTATTTATTTATTTTGAGACAGAGCCTCGCTCTGTCAGCCAGGCTGGAGTGCAGTGGTGTGATCACGGGTCACTGCAGCCTTGACCTCCTGGGCTCAAGCCATTCTCGCACCGCAGCCTCCCAGGTAGCTGGGATTTCACGTGTGTGCTACCATTCCTAGCTGATTTTGTATTTTTCTTTTTGGTAAAGGTGGGGTTTTGCCATGTTGCTCAGAATGGTCTTGAACACTTGAGTTCAGGAGAGCCTCCCACCTCGGCCTCCCAAAGTGCTGGGATTACAGGCATGAGCCACCACGCCTGGCCTATAAATGTTATTAAATTCCCCATTTTACAGTCAAGTAAACAGAAGTTCAGAATGCTCAAGGTCACCAGCCCAAGGCCGCCAGGCTAGTAAGTGGCAGAACTCAGCCTCTGAACGTAGGACTGTGAACCTCTGAAACTGACCTTATCTCACTACATTGCACTCATTGGACTAGAAATAAAAGGGAGTCTGTAAATGGTTCTGGTCAGAGGGCAGCACACAGAGAAGGGAGAGAGGGCTATCTCAGAACAACAGCCGAAAGGAGGAGCAAAGGGGAGTGTGGGTGGAGGGGCAGCTTGGGAAGCAGGTGAAAACCCAGAAGGGAAAGGCGCCCTGCCTCCCCTGCCCTGATCTTCCCTGGAACCTTAGGCTCTGCCGAGCCTCTGGGAACCTAGTGCTGGGCAGGCACGTCCTGGAAGCAGGCCTTGGGGACTGACACGGAGCCAGCCATTTTCTAGGAGTGGCTCTGAACACAGGATTCCAATCCAGTGTTCACACCTGCAGTCTAATTCCCTAAATCCTGCCATATAAAGCATGGTACAACATGGGGTCTGTGGTCTCTACTTGTGCTGTGTGACCTTGGGAAAATTGCTGATCCTTTCTGAGTTTCCGTTTCCTCAACTATCAGATAGGGAGATGAATCGTACCTACCACACGGGGGTCGTGAGGATGGAATGATGTCACATTTAAAGCAGCGCTTAGGACAGTGCCTGGCACGCCATGAATGCTCACTATGGGGAAGTTGTTATGAAAATCCCTTACATTCTGTCCCAGGGCATGGCTCGGTCCCAATGCCTCAGGTAGAAGCAGTCTGCTCTGTCCCCCAAAATGTCTGCTGATGCAAAATGTCCAAAGAAAAAAAACCAGGCCTGCAAATCTGATAGCAAACGTGATGGTCTCAGCCGGGCGCAGTGGCTCATGCCTGTAATCCCAGCACTTTGGAAGGCCAAGGTGGGCAGATCACTTGAGGTCAGGAGTTCGAGACCAGCCAGGCCTACATGGTAAAACCCTGTCTCTACTGAAAATACAGAAATTACAACAATTAGCCAGGTGTGGTGGGGGGCACCTGTGGTCCCACCTACTCGGGTGCATGATGCAGGAGAATTGCTTGAATCCAGGAGGCAGAGGTTGCAGTGAGCTGGGATTGTGCCACTGCACTCCAGCCTGGGTGACAGAGCAAGGCCCTGTCTCAAAACAAACAAAAAAGTGACAGTCTAAAAATTCCTGTCTCAAGAGCTTGCCCCAGACTGCCATCATTTATTTCTCTCCAGTTGTGTTCCAGGAACTTACCACATCTCATTTAATCTTCACTATAATCCAGTGTGTCATTAGGTTCACACCCATTTTATGGAGGAGAAAGACTGAGGCTCAGAATAATATAGACACCTGGGGTTAAAGCCTGGCTCCTCTTCAGTGGGACAGAGGAGCCACATACAAATCCAAGACTGGAGGGATGGCATAATATATTGCAATTTGCCTAACCTCCCTGGAGTATTCTCGTCTGGAGATTGGAGATGATGCTGTCTATATATATTAAATGTCTGTTTTAAATAATATGTGTTCTTATGTGTTTAGCAATATATAAAACTCTTCTGGCCCCCAGACACAAGGAGGCAGGCCTCATCCCATCTATCATCCCTCACCCAGGATGGGGGCACTCACGGAAAAGCACCATGAGGAAGCGGGTCTGGTTCAGCATCTGGGTCAGGCCAGCGGGCGTTAGCACTAGGAGATTGCGTTCCTCTAGGATGTGCACAGGTTTGGTTATGTGGATGCTGGAAACACCGGCGTTAACCTCCGGTGAGCTGTGGACAGCAGAGATACGAGCGGCCACCAGTAGCAGGGGCATCCAGAGCAGGTCCATGGCTGTCCTGCAGGGGCCGGAGAAGGAACAGAGACCTTATCAACACAGGTGGTGGAGCCCCACGTCATCAATCCCCCGTCCTTGTCCAGCCGGTTCACGTAGGGTGAATGTGGCCTGGGCATTGTCTCCCAGCAATGCCTGCAGCTTGGCAGCAGCCCTGGAGAAGAAGCAAAGTATTAGGTCAACCTCAGGCTCAGTGGTGACTGTATGGGGAACCTTAGAGCAGCAACAACCCACTGGCAGCGCTGGATGCGGAAGCAAACGCAGACCACTCAAGCCTACTGACTTCCCAGCCAAGAGGTGAGACTTGTGCAGACATAAGGTCCCATTTCAGAGTCCTCGGGTGAGCCTCTGGATCTCAGAGATAACTGGTTCAATCCCCCATCACAACCTCATAGGAATCCCTCTGTCCACAATGTCCCCGCTTCACCTTCCTCCAGCTCCTGCTTGAATGCCCCTATGAAGGGAAGCTCACTACCTTGCAGTGTACCTGTTTAATTTTTGAACACATTTTATCAAGTGTAGATATTTAAAAAGTCATCACTATAATACACACTTGTAAAAGTTTCAAGCAATACAATACAAATGTCAAGAAGAAAGTAAAAATCTCTTCCATTCTCTCACTGCTGAGAAAGTGACTCTTAGAAGTATGGAATGAATCCTTACAGATATTGAAAATATCTATATAAACATACCTTTGAATATATCTATATATATATATATATAGGGAGAGAGATAGAAAGATAGATTTTTTTTTTTGAGATGGAGTTTTGCTCTTGTCGCCCAGGCTGGAGTGCAGTGGCACAGTCTCAGCTCACTGCAACCTCCACATCCTGGGTTCCAAAGGCTCACTCTAGTGATCCTCCCACCTCAGCCTTCCAAGTAGTTGAGATTACAGATACCCACCACCACACCCAGCTAATTTTTGTGTTTTTAGTAGAGACGGGGTTCCACCATGTTGGCCAGGTTGGTCTTGAACTCCTGACCTCAAGTGATCTGCCCGCCTCAGCCTCCTAAAGTGCTAGGATTACAGGCATGATCCACCACTCCCGGCCTGAATGTATATTTTTAAATATAAATGGAATCTGATTATCTTTTTTTTTTTTTTGCTTGATTAGCTCTTTTTAACCCTGGATACACATGAAAATCCTCTGGGGAGCTTTAAGGAGAACACTGACACTCAATCTCATTCCAGACCAATTAATTCAGAATTGCCCAGGATGGGGTCTAGATACCTACATGTTTCAAAAGCTCCCCAGATGATTCTTTTGTTTTATTTCAACTTCTATTTGGGAAATTTTGAACGTGTACAAAAACAGAGAGATGGTGTAATGTACCCCCAAGGTACCCATCACTCAACTTCACTTATAGTCATGACCAATGTTATTTTATTTATATTCTTGACTCTCTGCCCTGGATTATTTTGAATCCAGTTCTGGGAATCATGTCATTTCACCCATAAATACTTTAATATAAATATTTAAAAGATAAGGATTTTTCAAAACAACACAATAACCTCAATACTATTATCATACTTAACGAAATGCACAATAATGTCATCATATCCTCAAATATCTAGACAGTGTGCGAATTACCCTGATGGCCTCATAAATTTTAAGTCTGTTTAAATCAGGACCCGAATGAAATCCATGAATTGTCATTGATTGTTTTGTCTCCTAAGCCTCTCCCAGGTAAATCTATCATTCAGTTTGTAGCTTGAGAAGCACATGGTCAAATGAAACCAACAAAGGGCAAGTGGAGAAAAGGAAGAGGGACAGGTAGATAACCTGGTTTTCTGGACAGCTGAATGATACAGACCATTTAAATCTGTGTCTCGGTCAAAAGGCTCATCACCGTCAGCTCAGCCTTGAGTCCCTAATGATCTCAGGGTCCCAGGATTCACCAGGTGACATGCCACTTACCAGCCCGGACTGAGCCTGGTACAGCCGTGATGACTATCAGGTGGAACCCTTGTTCTTAGGAATAATTTACCTGCTTGTTTATTTGTTCATTGATGCACTTACTTGTGAGAGAAATGGCTGCCTAAGAATTCTTTGCCTAGCTGGAGACATCAAAGTACTAGAGAGTTAGTTTTTATTCTACAGAAAAGCACTTGAATAACCCCTTCGTTGTGATACAAACGTAAGGGTCACCCAGAACCATTCTAGGCTTGACAGTCCCTTCAAACCTTCCAAACCTCCTCGGGGCCCAGTATCCCTTGGCTGGCAGGAGGGAGCCAGATCTGCAAAAGCCCCAAGGGGCCTTCAGAGAAGAAACCTTGAAATTCAAGGTTGTGAGACCCTCTCTGAGGGGTCTGGATGGCACTTGCTGGAGGACAGAGGAGACTGGAGGACAGAGGAGACCTTGAGTCAGCTGGACTCCTTCAGGGTACAGAGCTGAACCACGGGCCCAGCTAAACCACTGTGGAGGGCTGAGCCTCTGAGCAAAAGCTAAGCAGGAGGGGCTACAGTGGGCTCGTCCTCACGCCCTCGCTCCCAGGCCTTTGACAGAGTGTTTCCCTGGGTTCCTGATCAAGGAAGAGGTAGTGGGAGGTGTCGGTTTCCTGCTAACCTGGGCGGGCTGGGTTATGAGCCTCAAATGTTTCCAGTGCTTCAGGTCAAATAGGACGGAGACCAAGCCCCACTGGCTGGCAAGGAGAGCCCTCCACGGTCAGACTCTGGCCACCAGGCTTCCCTCTGGCTCCACGGAGCCAGTCACAGCTCCTGTTCGCTCACTCATTCATTCATCAAATATTTTTGAAGTCTTAAAACATGTTAAGTACCATTCTAGGTGCCAGGGATACAAACAATATTCCTTGCATCTTAGTGGTGGGAAACACAGTGAAATAAATAGATGCGATCAATAGTGTGTCAGATGATGGTAATGCAAAGGAGAAAAGGGGGATAACAGAAGATTCGAAAGTGATGGAGTCGGGGAGGAGTGTTGATATTTTCTTCTTTTCTTTCTTTTTTTTTTGAGACAAGATCTCACTCTGTCACCCAGGCTGTAATGCAGTGGCGCGATCTCGGTTCTCTGCAACCTGCGCCTCCCTGGTTCAAAGGATTCTCCTGCCTCAGCCTCAGGAGTAGCTGGGATTACAGGCACATGCCCCCATGCCCGGCTAATTTTTGTATTTTCAGTAGAGACAAGGTTTCTCCGTGTTAGCCAGGCTGGTCTGGAACTCCTGACCTCAGGTGATCCACCCACCTCGGCCTCCCAAAGTGCTGCGATGACAGGCATAAGACACTGCGCCCAGCCGATATTTTAAATAGGGTGACCACCGGAAAGCTTCATTTAGAAGTTGACATTTGACTATGGGAAGCAAAGAAGTGAACTATTGTATTTGCATTTCTGGGAGTGTGGGAGAAGTAGTCTCTCTCTGCCCTGCTCCTGTTTTTTCTCCCAATCTCTCCCACAATACCTGGCTCAGCTCTGCAACACCCCAGGGCTCCCCTGAGACTGTAGCGCCCACCCTGGTCCAGCCCTGGGACGGTGCTCTCAGCCATCCTACCTCCAGCCTGCCCTGACCTGCCCCTTTATTCTCTCAGCCTTGGCCCTTGGTTCTCCCGGCATCTGCTTCTCTAGCCTGACACCACTGTGGTTCTGCTGTGTCCCCCAGCACAATCTCCCCAGCCTCACAAAGTCCAAGCTCAGCTCCAACATCGGCTCCCTACCTGCTACTCAGAGGAGAGTGACTGTGATGGGAAACTTTTATCAATGAGAATAGCCAAAATCGAGGGGCCGGTCAGCAGCCGTATTGTGCTAAGTGCCAACTGTGTGCATTCCCTACACCAGTATGCCATGGAGAGACCCCGTGTCTCAGTCACCCTGGTTTCCTGCCAAGAGGGTGTGGCAACCTCCTCATTGATCCCGCCTCTGCTTCTACTCTTTGCGCTTCACCTCAACCCATTGCCCACAAAACAATCAGATATTTCCTTTATTTTTTTATTTTTATTGTTTGAGACGGAGTTTTGCTCTTGTTGCCCAGGCAGGAGTGCAATTGCATGATCTTGGCTCACTGCAACCTCCGCCTCCTGGGTTCAAGCGATTCTCCCGCTTCAGCCTCCCTGGTAGCTGGGATTATAGGCATCCGCCACCATGCCCAGCTAATTTTTGTATTTTTAGTAGAAATGAGATTTCACCATGTTGGCCAGGCTGGTCTTGAACTCCTGACCTCAGGTGATCCACCTGCCTGGGCCTCCCAAAGTGCTGAGATTACAGCTGTGAGCCACTGCGCCCGGCCGAGATTTCCTTTTGACACAGGAATTCCATCACACCACTCTGCCTATTAAAAGGTGCTCACTTTTATATATTGTGCAAAAAAAGTTTCTGCCTCTTTTTTTTAACAATCCATTCACAAAACCACACACCAGCCAAACCGTTCTCTGTGGTCTACCAGGCCCCACTGGCTCTGGACCCATCTGGCCTTATCGCCCTCCTCTCTCTCTCCTCCTGCACTCTGGGGAGGCACACTGGCCTCTTCCCTTTTCCAGGCACACCCTACCTGGGGCCTTTGCCTCTCCCTGGGGCACCCTTCCCTCACATCGTCAGCCTTTTCTGGTTGTTTGGGTCCTGGCTCAAATCCAAGCTCATTAGAAGGGTCTTCCCGGGCTGCTCTGTCTCACCCCATCTCAGCTTTCAGCACGCTCTGCCATATACCACTGTTTGCGTTATATTTTCTATTATTATTTCTGAATGTACTTTGTTGTCGTTGTTTTGAACTTTATAATGTAAATACCGTTGTTCACAGCTGTTTTCTCCCCTCCAGAACAGTGCCTGCACCAGATTTGGAGCTCAATGAATGTTTGTTGAATGAATGAACGAGTGGCCTAATTTAATTCTTACACAACAAACCCCATCCATGGTTCATTTCAGTGGTTCTCAACCATGACTATGCTGAGAATCTCTTGGAGGGTTTAATAGAAAATGCTGATGTTCAAGTTCAAACCCAATAGGTTCTAATTTAATTAGGTCTGGGGTTGGATGAGTCTGGGCATTATTACTATTTTTTTAAAGTCCTCAAGTTGATCCTAATGTGTAGCCATCTATACCAAAACCCACACTTAAACCTTAAACTGGTGACACCTGGCACAGAAAAGCCTCCCAAGGCAGGGCCCATCAGTCAGACTTCCCATTTTCACTGAAGCTCGTACCTGCAGGAAGCCAAGGCCACTCCCAGGGTTACTGGGGCCGAGACGGGGCTGTGCTGGGGGTGGGGCCACAAACTCTGCGGCCCTTAAGAAGGGAGGTTGTAGCTTGAAGAAGAGGCTCCTGGATTCTTCTTGTGATCAGGGCAGGACCCGCAGATGACTGGGCATTCTAAAGAAATCCACAGGCAGAAATGAAGTCCCTTCCTGGGCACACAGAGGCCACAGCAGCCTCAGCAGCAGTTCTGGGTTCTGGGGTTCTAGAGCACCAGGGGTGACCCTGGAGAAGAATGGGTCATTGTTGAGTAAGAGGGGGCCCTGCCTGGCAGCCCTTGCTGAGTTCACTTGAAGGGCCAGAAAGCAAAACTCACTGTGGGGTGCTGGATATGGCCCAGGAGGGTTCTGAACGCAGTGCCTATAGATTGGAATTTGAATCCCAGCTCTATCTTGAACAGCTGTAGGGTCTTGAGAATGTCACTTACTCTTTCTGAGGTTCAGTTTCCATGCCTGTAACATGGCATCTAACTCAGAGGGGTGTTGTTAGCAAAGTAAATTATGTGGAATTTAGAAGATAATGAAGGCTATGAAGAAAAATAAAACCTGGAAGGATGATGAGGAACGCCTGAGAGGGGGATGGGATAAAACAAGATGATTTATGCAAAATGAGCAGCTCGGTACCTAGAAGGCAGTAGCCCCCTCACCCATCACCACCCTGGCCTCATCTCCTCGGGGAGAAAGATCGCTACTCACCCTGCTCCAGCCACACTGGTGTGTCCCTGCCAGTCTTTCAATACAATGTCAGGGCCTCTGCACTTGTGGTTTTCCCTGCTAGGGAGGCTCTTTACCCAGGTAGACTCAAGGTTCACCCTCTTAGCTTGTTCCAGTCTTTGCCCAAATCTCACTTCCACAGTTGGTCCTTTCCTGGCCACTTCGTTTAAACTTGTAAGGGCCCCATCCCCATCTCAGGCGTTCCTCATCATCCTTCCAGGTTTTATTTTTCTTCATAGCATTAATTATCTTCTAAATTGCACATAATTTACTTTGCTTACCAGGTGATAGGTGCTCAATAAATATTTGTCGAATGATTAAAGAAAAGGCTATTGATATTATTAGCATCGTTATTACTGTCAGAGTTTGCAACCTTTGGCTATCTGCTGCCCAACTCTTATTAAATACTAATGGAGATGATTAACATTCATTTCACTAAATTTTAACATATGTGGGTTTTAGTCCTAGAGCTTTGCTCTTCTCTCTCTTTTCTTTTTCTTTGAGACAGTGTAGTGGCACCATCTCCGCTCACTATAGCCTTCACCTCCAGGGTTCAAGCGATCCTCCTGCCTCAGCCTCCCCAGTAGCTGGGACTACAGGCACGTGCCACCACGTCTGGCTAATTTTTGTGTTTTTAGTAGAAACGGGGTTTCACCATATTGGCCAGGTTGGTCTCAAACTCCTGACCTCATTGATCCTCCCGCCTCGGCCTCCCAAAGTGCTGGGATTACAGGCGTGAGCCACGGCACGTGGCCCCACTCCTCTCTTTCCATACTTAACTTCTATACTTTTGTTGGCTTGTTTAAATGCATGAGTTCAAATATTCCCCTTTATAAGTTACTCCCTCATTTACTCCCCTGGATTTGATCAACTGATTGCATTTACTATTAAGACTGTTTTCTATCTGCCTGTTAGAAAAGCTCTTTTTGGTTGAACCACACTCATTGAATACCCGAATGTCTTAATTTGAACTCATCATGTCCCTTTCAACTTTTCTTGCCAATTATTCCTTTTCTGGATGCTGTGTTTGTACATAATTCCTGGGGTATGTTTGACTCTTTTTTCTCCCCTGTCCAAATCAACCATCTACTCTGGCATGTATTATTTTGACATCTTTCACACTTGTCAACTTTTCGTCACAAACTAAAACACTTGGGTTATTATCTCAAATGGCCTTTATTCACTTTCCTTCACTCTTGGACACAGTTAGTTGTTTCTTGGCATAACATAGACACTTTCATGGTGATACTCATTTACCGATAAAGCTGCTGCTTCTTTATTTTTTTATTTTATTTTTTGAGACAGAGTCTCGCTCTCTTGCCTAGGCTGGAGTGCAGTGGTGCAATCTTGGCTCACTGCAACCCCCACCTCCTGAGTTCAAGTAATTCTCCTGCCTCAGCCTCCTGAGTAACTCGGATTACAGACATGCGCCACCACGGCCGGCTAATTTTTGTATTTTTAGTAGAGACGAGGTTTCACCATGTTGGCCAAACTGGTCTCAAACTCATGACCTCAGGTGATCCACCCGCCTCGGCCTCCCAAAGTGCTGAGGTTACAGGCGTGGACCGCTGTGCCCCACTTAAAGTTTCTTTTATAAAATAACATTAATTTCTTTCTGATTAGAAAAGAACAGGATTTCATTTATAAAACATAGAACATACAGAAAAAATGAGTTAATTAAAATCATACATCATCTTACTTGCAGAAACATTCATATTTTGTTATGTATGGGATTAATATATACTTTTTAAAAATAAAATTGTGATTATATTATCTATAAAGTGTATCCAGTTCTTTCATTGAACATTTATGAAACATTTGTCATGTCTTTTTTTTTTTTTTAAGATTTCACAGCTTTAATATCAAGCGTTTGATTACAAGCATGGTAATCTTGTACTTCACCAAATGTTAAACAAAAATACAATAAACAAACGAACAAAATAACAAGATCAAATTAAATTTCGTTTCCCAAAAATAATCTCACTTTTTTCTGGGAAGCTAATTTTCTAAGATGCTATGCAATAGTTTGGTGGAAAGAAAATCAGATAAAAGATCTATTTTCTATATTTGAGATAGGGAGCAAAAGTCAGGAATACAGTTAATATTTCCATAAACATATTTTCTTTCTTGACTAAATATCAAAGTGTTTCAGACATTTGTGAAGGAATTTGGCCAAGATAAAGGAAATAAAAGTGTGAGGAATAATGCCAGTCCATTTTTTTTTAATACCTCAGTGTTTCAGTAATCTGTTTAATAGTAACAAAATGCTATTTCTTAATAGGAAGATTGTTCTTGAGAGTGTTTGATAATACAACAGAAATAGAAAAGACTGTAGACTGTATTTCCATTGTCTGTATTTTAGAGATATCCATATAAATACATATTAAAAAATAAAAAAAATATGATGTTAAAAGAATATAATTCATAATGCAGTCAATATTTTAGAGTAAATTGAGGCCGAGTATGGTAGCTCATGCCTGTCATCCCAGTACTTTGGGAGGCCAAGGCGGTGGATCATTCGAGGCCAAGAGACCAGCCTGGTCAACATGGTGAAACCCTGTCTCTGCTGAAAATAGAAAATTATCTAGGTGTAGTGGTGCATGCCAGTAATCCCAGCTACTCAGGAAGCTGAGGCAGGAGAATCGTTTGAACCCAGGAGGCAGAGGTGGCAGTGAGCCGAGATGGTACTACTGCACTTCAATCTGGGTGACACAGCAAGACTGTGTTTCACAAAAACAAACAAACAAAAGATTTTAGAATCAATTGGACAATTAAAATTATCCCTACATTCATACATGGAGAGTACAAAATAAAACTTTCTTTTTTTTTTTTTTTTTCCCTCAGAAATAATACCACACATCTACAGCCATCTGATCTTTGACAAACCTGAGAGAAACAAGAAATGGGGAAAGGATTCCCTATTTAATAAATGGTGCTGGGAAAATTGGCTAGCCATAAGTAGAAAGCTGAAACTGGATCCTTTCCTTACTCCTTATACGAAAATTAATTCAAGATGGATTAGAGACTTAAATGTTAGACCTAATACCATAAAAATCCTAGAGGAAAACCTAGGTAGTACCATTCAGGACATAGGCATGGGCAAAGACTTCATGTCTAAAACACCAAAAGCAACGGCAGCAAAAGCCAAAATTGACAAATGGGATCTCATTAAACTAAAGAGCTTCTGCACAGCAAAAGAAACTACCATCAGAGTGAACAGGCAACCTACAGAATGGGAGAAAATTTTTGCAATCTACTCATCTGACAAAGGGCTAATATCCAGAACCTACAAAGAACTCAAACAAATTTACAAGAAAAAAACAAACAACCCCATCAAAAAGTGGGCAAAGGATATGAACAGACATTTCTCAAAAGAAGACATTCATACAGCCAACAGACACATGAAAAAATGCTCATCATCACTGGCCATCAGAGAAATGCAAATCAAAACCACAATGAGATACCATCTCACACCAGTTAGAATGGCGATCATTAAAAAGTCAGGAAACAACAGGTGCTGGAGAGGATGTGGAGAAATAGGAACACTTTTACACTGTTGGTGGGATTGTAAACTAGTTCAACCATTATGGAAAACAGTATGGCGATTCCTCAAAGATCTAGAACTAGATGTACCATATGACCCAGCCATCCCATTACTGGGTATATACCCAAAGGATTATAAATTATGCTGCTATAAAGACACATGCACACGTATGTTTATTGCAGCACTATTCACAATAGCAAAGACTTGGAATCAACCCAAATGTCCATCAGTGACAGATTGGATTAAGAAAATGTGGCACATATACACCATGGAATACTATGCAGCCATCAAAAAGGATGAGTTTGTGTCCTTTGTAGGGACATGGATGCAGCTGGAAACCATCATTCTTAGCAAACTATCACAAGAACAGAAAACCAAACACCGCATGTCTCACTCATAGGTGGAACTGAACAATGAGATCACTTGGACTCAGGAAGGGGAACATCACACACAGGGCCTGCATGGGGAGGGGGAGGGGGAGGATTGCATTGGAGTTATACCTGATGTAAATGACAAGTTGATGGTGCAGCACACCAACATGGCACAAGTATACATATGTAACAAACTGCACGTTATGCACATGTACCCTACAACTTAAAGTATAATAAAAATAAATAAATTTTAAAAAAAAGAAAGTTTTATTTTGTCATGTCTTATGATTATATATCCTTTTAAAAAGTACTGATGGAGAGTAGTGATATTGAGATTAGACTGCCGGAAAAATAGATAATATCCAACAGTCCGGACACCCTACTGAGGGTAGAGATTGTATCTTTAGATCTGGCTGGAGATTCAGAGATGAGGTTGTATCCTGGGTTGCAGTAGAGGACTGAATGCTGAGCAAGTGGACACTGAAGGCCCAGAAGATGGTTCCCTGTGGCCAAGCTTGGCAGCAAGGGAGAGGAGCTGCCTGCGTGGAAATGAGCCAAACTGGCCAGGCCAGGAAATGAGACAGAGTCACAGGGGAACAACACACAGTGACGGATAAAAATCCGGTGTGATGTTTGAATCACTGCAAAGAAAGGCAGTTAATGGTTCAGCGTCCTCTCCATAGGACACCCATAACCCTGTCATTGCAACAACATGGATGGAACTGGAAGTCATTACATTAAGGGAAGCAAGTCAGGCATAGAAAGCAAACATTCTGTTCTCACTTACTCGTGGGAGCTAAACAGGAAAACAAACGAACTCATGGAGACAATAGAAGGATGGTTGCCAGAGTCTGGAAAGTGTTGCAGGGAGTTGGAGGAGAAGGGGGATGGTGAACGGGTACAAAAAAGTAGTAAGAATGAATAAATAAGGCCTAGTATTTGCTAGCACAATAGGATGACTATCATCAAGAATAATTTAACCATACACTTAAAATAACTACAATAGTATAATTGGATTGTTTGTAACACAAAGGATAAATGTTTGAGGTGATGGACACCCCATTTACCCTGATGTAGTTCTAACGCACTGCATGCCTGTATCAAAATATCTCATGTAACCCATGAATGTATATACCTACTATGTACCCACAAAAATTAAAAATAATTTAAAAGGAACTTCAGAGAACAACCAACCAAAAGCCTAGTATGGCTGGAGCAGAGTGAGACGGGGCTTTGAGGAGAAAAACTCGCAGGAATTCCTGTGGGGCCCTGTAGGCAACTGACAGGACTTTTTGTTTGTTTGTTTGTTTTTGTTTTTTTGAGACGGAGTCTTGCTGGGTCTCTGGCTGGAGTGCAGTGGCGCGATCTCGGCTCACTGCAACCTCCGCCTCCCGGGTTCACGCCATTCTCCTGCCTCAGCTTCCCCAGTAGCTGGGACTACAGGTGCCCACCACCACGCCCGGCTAATTTTTGTATTTTTAATAGAGACAGCGTTTCACTGTATTAGCCAGGATGGTCTCAATCTTCTGACCTCGTGATCCACCCACCTCGGCCTCCCAAAGTGCTGGGATGACAGGCATAAGCCACCGCGCCTGGCAATTGTCAGGACTTTGGCTTGGACTGTGAGTGAGACAGGGAGCTGTAGGAAGCTTTTTCAAAAAACCACCTTTGTGCCAGTTGCAGTGGCTCACACCTATAATCCCAGCACTTTGGGAGGCCACAGTGGTCAGATCACTTAAGGTCAGGAATTGAGACCAACCTGGTCAACATGTTGAAACTGCATCTCTACCAAAAAAATACAAAAATTAGCCAGGCGTGGTAGTGCGTGCCTATCGTCCCAGCTACTCGGGAGGCTGAGGTGGGAGGATCGCTTGAACCCAGGAGGTGGAGGTTGCAGTGAGTCAAGACTGCACCATCGCACTCCAGCCTGGGCGACAGAACAAGAGCCTGTCTCAAAAAACAAACAAACAAACAAACAAACACCCAAAAAACTTCTTTTGGCAGTGTACAATTATTATTACTATTTTTTGCAGGAAATTTACAGAGTTGTGCTGTCATGACCACAATCCAAATTTAGAACAATTCTATGACTTCAAAGGCATGCCTTAGGGTTCCCTGGAACCACTCCTCTGTTCTCTCTGTATCTATTGGAGGGTTTTAAGCAGAAAAGAAACAAAGTCTGACTTATATTTTTATCACTGTTGTACCTTTTCTGTTAAAACATCATAATCTTCTTGTTGCTTTTTCTGATTAGATGGCAACTTGAATTTTTAGGGAATCTATCCACCAGTTTCGGTGCACCCACCAGGCATGACAGTTGAGGTCTGATCTTCCAGCCACTGTGAGTACTGAGCAAACTTGGCAGGAGGCCACTTTCACTGGCTCAGCGCACCCTGACCAGTTAAAGCCACTGTGTCAGCTGCTGGGTTCTGGCTCTGCCCACTCTTGGCTGCATTTGGGGCCGAAGTTCCCTGTGGGAGGCTGTTTTCTGAGGGAGCCCAGTGTTTACAGGCATTCAGGTCTGCTCCGCTCAGCTGAAGCAGAAAACAGAGACCTTTTGCATTACTTTGGTTCAAGAGCAAGGTAATTTGGAAAGAAAGTTTTCAGCCGAAGGTGTCAGCTGCCTCTGAGGCCTTTGCCGATTAAATCAGGAAGTGACATCCGAAATGGTGTCCGGGAATGGGAAGGAGGCCTGGGGATTCTAAATTATCAGCTGTTTAGGCGCCTGAGGAATCCAGGGGTGGGAGACTGAGGAAAGGATTGGGGCAGAGTTCAGGAGAGGTGAGGGGCAGGAGAGGTGGGTCAGAGAAAGGAAGTCTCTGAGGCGTAGGCCTAGGCCTGGTGGCCACTGCAGAGGCCGGGGCCTATGTTTTTCCAGGAAGTGAAACCTGAAAGTCACTTTTCCCCTTAAGCTTCACTTTCTTTATCTGTAAAAGGAGAAAATAACATTTACAGCAGAGAGCTGTTATAAAGATTTAATGAAATAATGCCTATAAGCACTTTTAAAATGCTTGGTACACAGTAGGCCTTCGATAGACTGTAGCTGTTACGGTTTTTCTTGTTGTGCCACGTTATTCTTGTCGGTTGTTATTACATTTTGTTATTACCATATTTTGTTATTATTATTACTAAGAGGAATTTAATGCAAGGAAACTGAAACTGAGGTCACATGCAGGTCCCGGGCCAGTGTCTCTCAAACTTTAACATGTTAACTTTAACATCTGAACATCCTGTTAACTTGCAGATTCTAATTCTACAGGTGTAGGGTGGGGCCCCATCTGCTGGTCCCCAGATCACACTTTGAGTAGCAAGACACTAAAACCGGGCTGGGCACAGTGGCTCACATCTGTAATCCCAGCACTTGGGAGGCCGAGTTGGGAGGATCACTTGAGGCCAGGAGTTCAAGCCCTGCCTGGGCAACACAGTGAGATCCTGTTTCTACAAAAAAACCTTTAAAACATTTAGCCATACGTGGTGGCTAGTGCTTGTAGTTCCAGCTGTAGGAAGGCTGGGGTGGCAGGACTGCTTCAGTTCGAGGCTGCAGTAAGCTGTGATGGCACCACCGTACTCTAGCCTGGGCAACAGAGTGAGACTGTCTCAAAAATAACAAAAATAAAAATTTTGAAACTAAAATTAATTTTTAAAAATTTAAAAAATTAAAAAGACACTAAAAGCACATCATGCCATGCAGCAGCCACTTGTGGCTTTTGAGCCTTTGAAGTGTGGTTAGTCCAAATTGACACGTGTTTGTAAGGGTAAAATCTATATCAGATTTTGAGGACTTAGTACCAAAAAAAACAAAAAATAAGTAAAAGTATGTAAAATATCTCTTTACCAATTTATTCGTCTATTGACTATGCATTGAAATGGTCATACTTTGGCTCTATCTGGTTAAATAAAATGTATTATTATAATAAATCTCACCTGTTTCTACTTTTCTTAAAGGAAGTAGTAGAGCATTGTAAATTGCACAGGTGGCTAACATTCTATCTCTATTGGACAGTGCTGCCCTAGAGCTGTCTTCAACTTTGTAAGGTCAGTTCAGGATTGGCCAAAGGCTTTTTGAGGGATTCCCTTTGAAGTACTGAACCTTGAGAAGTGGGCTCTGATTTCTGACCTCAGACCCAGAGGCCCACAGTCAGTGAGAGGTCAAAAGGACGGATCTCGGGGTCAGAGGAGAGAAATGACCATCACATAGAAGAACTGAGACTGAAGGTGGAGAGTTTGTTCTACAAGTCAGTAGAGACCACAGTCACCGTCAGCACTGACCACAGGTTTCTCCTAACCTCGTGTTGTCCCCAAAGTCCAAAATATATGACAATGCCCTCTTTCCTTTCTTTGGTGACAGACAGGAGGCGACCACATGAGACCATGGTTGAGATATATGGTCCTCCAGGTACTGAGGAACTCCAGGGGATTCTGTGGGTCTCGCGGGCAGCCAACACCTCTACCTGTTCCTCAGAAGATCGTGGCCACCTGGGAAGCCATCAGCCTGGGAAGGCAGCCGGTGCCTGAGTACTTCAACTTTGCCCATGATGTGCTGGATGTGTGGAGTCGGCTGGAAGAGGTGAAGCCTGTTCTGTCCTAGAGTCCACCTGGGGCATCTGAGGCTGCCCTCAGGTACCACAATGAGACTCAAGACTCCAAGACATGTTGATGAGAAAATTTGGACCTGGGAATTTTGCTGGTTCTAAAATGTAAACTGTTAGCATTTGAGACTTAGGAAAAAAAATCTGAGTCAGTGTTGTGAGCCTTAGACATGCTTGTTCCTTCTCTGAAGTGTCCTGCATTCTTGAGCCCAAATCACACAGTGAGACAGTTATGTCCCTTCCGATTCCCTTCTAGTTGTTCATCAACTGAAGGAGGAAGTTTTGTTTTGCTGCTACTCTTTGATGTCTCTTGTTCAGTGTCATGTGCTTCTCTTCTAAATAAGGAAAGAAGGCCGGGCGCGGTGGCTCACGTCTGTAATTCCAGCACTTTGGGGTGCCAGGAAGGGCAGATCACCTGAGGTCAGGAGTTCAAGACCAGCCTCACCAACATGGTGAAACTCTGGCTCTACTAAAAATAAAAAAAATAAAATAAATAAATAAAAATTAGCCAGGCATGGTGGCACACACCTGTAGTCCCAGCTACTTTGGAGGCTGAGGCATGAGAATTGCTTGAACTCAGGAGGCAGAGGTTGCAGTGAGCTGAGATCATGCCACTGCACTCCAGCCTAGACAACAGAGTGAGACTCCATCTCAAAAAATAAAATAAAATAAGACAAAACAAAATAAAATAAGGAAAGAATAGGGCTCAGGCTCAAAGCTTTTTGCAGATCATAACAGATACATAGAATTGAATTAGAGAACCCTGATTTATTTGTGTGTCTCTGTGCATCTGCTTTCTTCTTTATTTTCCCTTATATCTGTCTCTGTTGAGTCTCTCTATTTCATGGTTACTTTTTATTTGTGTTACATGATATTAACTTTTCATTTATAAGAGGAAGACCTACTTATAAAACTGTATTTCAACAAATGTGAAGCTTAACTGATGAGAAAAGCCTTTTCCCTGGGGGTTTTGTCCAAAACAATTACAGACAAATATTTAACTTCGTTGTTGCCTAAGGTGATGGATAACAGTAGGGACAAACAATAGACTCACCAAAAAGTGAAAAAAGAAAAGCTGGAGAATACAAAACTAGAAATATAAAATTTAATTCAAAGAATTGTATTCATGTTAATTATAACATGAGATTGTTTAAAGAAAAAATATGATGTAAATGGCATTGTTAGTAGATACAGTAAAATTAACTGTCAGCAGATATAGTGAAACTTATGAAGGTGGTATGAGGATGACTGAGACTTAAAAGCAGGCTTTGCAGTCGGATAGACATTGTTCATCCATGTACTTGAAGTGTGACCTTGGACAAGTGCCCTAAGTTCTTTAGATCTCAACTTTCTCATCTGTACAATGATAGTCATACCATATGCTACTTAGAGTAATAGTGAGAATTAAATGAGAAGTGCATGTAAGAGATGAAGCCAGGATGCTCCATTCCTGATGGCCTACAAAAATCTAAGTTCTTTTTGCAATACTAGGGGCATCCTTAGAAGACTTCTCCTAATGATAAAAACAAGCAAGCAGGATTAGGTGAGGAAAAAATGGTAGAATAAGGACTTTCCAGCTATGCGGTAGCCTTGAAAAATAACAGCCCCCATTTCTTGTGCATCATGGCAACCATTAGAGGGGACAGAATGGAGTTGGAGTTTTTTCAAAGCTTCACTTAGGAAGAACTGTTATTATTTGAGCTGCCCATTGGTTCTTTAGAAGACCCTACTTGTAAAACTGTATTTGAATCAACTTGAGGCTCAACCAATGAGAAAAGCCTTTTCCCTGGGGGTTTTTGTCCAAAACAATTACAGACAAATATTATAGCTTCATTGTTCCCTAAGGTGATGGATACCAGCGGGACAAACAATAGACTCACCAAAGAGTGAAAAAAGAAAAGCTGGAGGATCTAATGTCTATGGGAGCTTTAAAAATTATATTGTATTCCTGGAAATCTAGAAATCAACACACCTAAGTAAGGCTGTGTTCTTTCCCAGGGCTTTGCACATGCTTAGGAAAGATCTGAGGAAACTCTAAGCTCTCACTTCTGGCAGACTGAGAGTTTGAGCATGCAGGAAATTAAGACTGAGGCAGGATTGTTAATTGCCTGGCTGAATGCTAAAGGTGTGACTCAACACCCACCCAAAGACTGGGAGATTTATTGGTTTCAGGCATTTAAAGAAATTTCTGTCTAATCATAAGATGACTACTAAGCTAACCAAGTAGAGATCTCAGTGGCCACATAGAACAAATAATGCACACTTCACAGAAATGGTTCACAAAAGTCACTAAACAAACAACAACAATCAGCAACAACAAATCAAACTCTGGGGAGTTGCAGGGAATGGATGGGGAGGAGGGATCTGATTTCCTGAGTAATCAAATGATGTAATTTTAAATGTATAGTTTTTAACAAAAATTTACAAGATGCTCAAAGAAACTTGAAATAGCATGGCTATGGTTATCAAAATAATGCACCCCTTCCCCAAGATTTTTACATCTTAATCCCTGAAACCTGTGAGTATGTTATCTTACACGGCAAAAGAGACCTTGCAAACATTATTATAACTAAAGATATTCATATGATGAGATTATTCTGGATTATCTGGATGAGCCCAATATAATCATAAGGTACCCTATGAGAAGGAAGGAGGGTCAGAGTCAGAGAAGGAGATGTGACAATGAAAACAGAGGTGGGAGTGATGTGGGGCCATGATCCAAGGGATGTGAATTGCCTCTAAAAACTAGAAAATGCAAGGACACAGGTTCTCCACTAAAGCACCCAGTAGGAAAACAATTCTTCTGATATCTTGATGTTAGTCCACCAAGACTGATTTGGAACTTTTTATCTCCAGAACTATAAGGCTGTATATTTGTGTTGTTTTATGCAACTAAGTTTTTGGTAATTTATTACAGCAGCAATAGATAGGATTATTCAAAACCAATACAGACTTTTGGCACCAAGAGTAGCAATGAGAGCTGTAATAAATACCAAAGGATGTGCAAGTAGGTTTGGAATTAGGTGATGGGTAGAGGCTTGAAGAATTTTGAGGAGCACAGAAAAAAGCCTGGATTGCCTTGAGCAGACTGTTAGTAGAAATGCAGATATTAATGATTAATGAGCGAGACCTCAAAAAGAAAGGAGGAACATGATAGATGAGACTTGTATTGTTTTAAAGAATCATGAATCATGAACAGACTGTTGGTAGAAATATGAACATTAAAGGCACAGATGATAAAAACTCAGAAGGAAATGAAAAATGTAATATCAGAAACTGAAGGAAAGTGGATCCTTATTACATAGTGGCAGAAATTTTGGCTGACTAGCGTCCTAGAGCCATATGGATAGAAGAACTTATAAGGGATAACCTTGGATATTTAGCTAAGAAGATTTCCCAGCCAAGTGTTGAAGATGTGGCCTGATTTCTTCTCGCTGGTTATATTACAACGCTAAAGGAAAGAAAGAGATAGAGGAAAGAATTGTTAAGCAAAAACAGAGCCAGAACTTGGTGGTTTGAACAATTCTCAGCCTTCTTATATTATAAAAGACATTAAAGTTAGGATATTCACTGTCAGAAAAGTATGCTGCAAAGGGAAATCCAAGAGTGTGGTTGGACAATCTTTTGCCAGCAATTCAAGTATCAAAAAGTCACAGAGAACTTTTTAAAGAGATTAGACATGGGGCTCCTGAGTTCCTTCAGTCATGGAGGCAGAAACCAGCAATAGAGATGGAATTATGTGGAAAAGATCTGTGGAGGAGCTACTTCTCTAATGGGATGAATCACTGAGACATACATGAGAGAACCATTAGTTTCTTGAGAATGTTATATCAGCAGAAACACTGCCATCTTGTACTGGACAGAGAGCAGGAAAATATAAAAGAAGGCTGTTGGACTCCCCAAATTCTACAGGCAGGAAGCAGATGGTTAAAGCTACTTAGCTGCAAACATGTGTCACCCTTCTTGAAAAAGAAAAGATTGTTTAGGGCAGAGTTGTTAGCCAAGAATGTGGAATTGGGAGCCCAGAGGGTGGAGCTGAGCAACTAGAAAGCAAAGCCACAACCACAGAGGATTAAGGGCTTTGAAACATAATAGAGTTTTCTCAGTTGGATTCAGCGTTGCTTGGGATTGGTGACTCATTGTTTTCCTTTTATTTTAATCCATTGTTTGAATGGATATCTCTGTGACTATTATGGAATCCCTGCTTCGTCATTGTATTTTAAGAGCAGATAACTTAATATTCAATACTTGAGTAAGGAGGAATAAAAAATGAAGTTAAGAAATAATTTTATTTACTAATAGCATCAAAAAGAATGAAATACATATAAGTAAATTTAACCAAAGAAGTATAAGTCTTGTACACGGAATATGACAAAACATTACTGAAATAAACTGGAAAAGATACAAACAAATAGAAATACACCCCATGCTCATGGATTAAAGGAATTAATATTGTTAAAATGAAAATACACCCCCAATTGAGCTGCACATTTAATGTAAACTTTATCAAAATCCTAGGAGACTTGTTTACAGAAATAGACAAGCTGATTCAAAAACTCCTATGGAAATGCAAGGGACCCACAGGGACCAAAACAATCTTGGGAAAAAAAAAAAAAGAAGACTAACACTTTTCTATTTCAAATCTACTGAAAAGTTACAGTAACCAAGACAGTGTGGCACTAGCATAAAGATAGACTTGGATAAATAGGTGTTAATTCAGAGTCTAGAAATAAATCCACAAATCTACGATCAATTGATTTTCAACAAGGGTACCGAGACAATTAAATGGATGAAATAATTGTCTTTCCAACTAATGATGCTGGCACAACTGGGTGTTCACATGCAAAAGAATTAATTGAGTCTCTTACCTGACATTAAATACAAAAATTAGCTCAAAATGTATCAAAGACCTAAATGAAGAAACAAAAAGTATAAGAAAATTTTTAGAAGAAAACATAGGAGTGTATCTTTGTGACCTCTGATTAGGCAACGGTTTCTAAAGCAAAAGCAACAAAAGAAAAAATAGATTAATTAGACTTCATGAAAATTAATAGTATTTGTATATGAAAGTAAAGAGACAGCTCACAGAATAGGAGAAAATATCTGAAAAATCACATATTGGGTAAGGGTCTAGTATCTACCACACTTAAAGAACTCAAACTCAACAGTGAAAAAGACAAATAACCCAATTAAAGTATGGGCTAAGAATCTGAATAGACATTTTCTTAAGGAATATAAACAAATGGCCAATAGACACATGAAAAGATGCTTGACATCTTTATTCACTAGGGAAATGCAAATTCTAGCTACAAGGAGATACCACTTCATAACCAGTGGCATGGCAAAAAAAAAAAAAGGCACAATAACAAGTGTTGGAGATGATGCAGAGAATTAGAACCCTCCAATATGCCTGGATGGAAACGTAAAATGGTGCGGTGCTATGGAAAACAGTTTGGCAGTTCCTCCAAAAGTTAACATAGAGTTATTACAGTACTGACCCAGGAATTGTACTCCTAGGTACATATCCAAGACAATAGAAAACATGTGCTCACACAAAAACTTGTACATAAATCCTCATAGCAATATTATTTAAAATAGCCAAAAAGTAGAACCAACCCTAATGTCTGTCAACTGATGAATGGATAAACAAAATGTGGTCTATCCATACAGTGGAATATTATTCAGCCATCAAAAGAATGTAATACCAATTCATGATATGACATAGATAAATATTGAAAGCATTGTACAAAGTGAAAGAAACCAGACATAAAGCTACATATTGTATGATACCATTCATATGAAATATCCAGAAGATGCAAATCCATAGAGACAGAAAGCAGATAAGTGGTAGCCAGGAGCTGGAGGAGGAGGGAATGGGGAGGGACTGCTAATTTGTACAGTGTTTCTTTATAGGGCAACAAAAGTGTTCTGGAATTAGAGAATGGTGATAGCTACACAACCTTGTGAATATATTAAGAAACAGTGAGTTGTGTGCTTTAAAATGGTGATTTTTCTGGTACCTGAATTATATTTCAATAAAAAAGGGAAAAACAGAAAACAGCGTAAATCACGTGCTACCTTTTGCATTAAAAAGATAGTAGGAAAAATATATGTGCTTGTGTTTGCCTAAAGAAACTATGGAAGGATATGCAAAAAACTAATACAATTGGTTACTTAGTGAGGCAGAGGAAGTAGAAAACAGGGCAGATAGGTACAAGGAAGGGAGCAAGCCTTTTCAATGCATGCCTTTCCATATTGCTTTGCTTTTGGAACCCTGTGAATTTTACATGAACTACTATAAAACATTAAACAACAGCAACAAGCAAACAAAAATTCTCAATAAATTACTTCTATTTTTTTTTCTGCCTGCACCACCATCTAGGCTGGACACCGCCCCCCAAATCCTGCCTTCTGGTGGGTCAATGGCACAGGAGCAGAGATCAAGTGGAGCTTTGAGGAGCTGGGGAAGCAGTCCAGGAAGGCAGCCAATGTGCTGGGGGGTGCATGTGGCCTGCAGCCTGGGGACAGAATGATGCTGGTACTCCCACGGCTCCCGGAGTGGTGGCTGGTCAGTGTGGCTTGCATGCGGACAGGTCAGTAAGCAGGGCGGCTGGGAATTTTAGCTGGGGTCAGACACAACCTGCCAGAGCTTTGCGGTGTCCACAGAGTCTTGAAGATGGAGCGAAAATAAACCCTATGTGGAGTTGTGCTTACTTCCTATTTGCCCAACAGTCACAGACCTGATTGTATAATAGGGGCCAGACAGTGATGTAATTGATAAAAGCAGGTCAGTGCAAGGCAGTAGGGAGTGGTGAGGACTGCGGCAAACGGGAGATCACATGCTTTATCAAATGGGGTCGCTGCTTCTCAACTCGAACCAAATGTTCCCACGACAGGATGAATACCGGTGTTATCAGAACTTCTGATTTGTAATGGAAAACTCTGGATTTTTATGAAAAATCCTCCTGTCTTTTAATGTTGGCATCTGTCATTTTAAAAAGTCCTGACTGGGACAAATCAAACTTATTTTCTGCTGGTCGTGGTTTGGGAGCCTTGCTTTAGTTGCTAGAATTTTACCTGAACAACGCAGTTATAGATGAGGGACTCCTATAACCAATCTATGTTAGTTTCACTCTTAGACTTTATGATTCTCATTATCACAGCATTATCCAGCTGCCAAAGGAAGGCAGATAAAGAGGAAATAAAAGAGCTAGTGATATTATCCCTTGCAGGAGGTTAGGGGGACAGCTCCTCCTGTTGTCACGAATGTCCAGGGCAGTGAAACATTACCTTCTTAGAATGGTTCCTTCAGCAGAGAAACAGGAGGAAAGAGGCCGCAGTGAGCCTAGCAAGCCTCCGCTGATGCTGAGTGAATGAGTGATCATGCACTTATTCAGAAGGCTAGGGTTTTTAGGCTGCTGTTATTATTGTTACCTCTTCCAGCTCAGGCATTCCAACCCTCCCCAGCCCCTTCCTGCCCTCATCTCTTACCTCTATACCCAAGACCTTCCCTGCTATCCAGTCAACATCCACTTCTGTTTTATGCCAGGGGTTGTCATGATTCCGGGTGTCACTCAGCTGACGGAGAAGGACCTCAAGTACCGGCTGCAGGCGTCCAGGGCCAAGTCCATTATCACCAGTGACTCCCTAGCTCCAAGGGTGGATGCCATCAGTGCTGAATGCCCCTCCCTCCAGACCAAGCTGCTGGTGTCAGACAGCGACAGTCGGCCAGGCTGGTTGAACTTCAGGGAACTCCTCCGGTGAATTGGGGTTCTCCAGGAGAACAGCAGAAAAATGAAATCATTTCCCCTTTAAGCAACAAAAGATGAAATGCGCTGCTGATTTCACACACAGAGAGTGAATCAGAGTGGAACACTCCCCTTGGCAGCCAGACTGACCTGAGCATAATCCTGGTCGCCACCTTAATGTTCAAGGTCGCTCATTCAGTCAGTGCTGGATTTGTCAGCAGCTTTTCTGTGCTTCATTTGCTTCTATAATGGCGGTAGTGGTTATTAGAGCTACCGTTCAGAGTACATGAAATAACCTATATGGTGCATTTAGTACATAGCAGGTGGTCAATTAATAATCAACTTATGGCCGTGTATTGGGTACTTAGCGTATTCCTAGATACTGTGCTATGTAAGCCTTCACCTTCATTCATTCATGTAGCAAAGGTTTAATGAACATCTATTTCGTGACAAGCATTGTGTTTGGTGTTCAGAACACCATAATGGATAAGACATCATCTTATTTAATTCCTGAAAAGGACATGATGATGTGCCCTTCAACCCAGTTTTACAGATGAGGAAACTGAGGCTTGGAAAACTAAAGTGACTTGCCCAAGGTGCTAAAAAGTAGTTAAGTCAGGATTGGGCAGGGCCGAGACCCTATCTGCCTTAGAGCAAGGACCTGGTGGAAACCCTTCTTAGAATTTGAGACTTTGTCCTGATTGGAAGCCAGAACCCAAAAGGGGCCTCTCAGGGGCCTGAACAATTGAGTCACGAATGCTCACCCCACAGACCAGCTGCATCAGATTCACCTGGATGCTGTTTTGAATACAGATGACAAGGCCTCACATCTGACCTACTTAACCAGACATAGATGAGCAAGAGCCCTTGAGATCTTTTTTAAAAAAATCAGCCCATAGTCCTGGGCGCCGTGGCTCACGCCCATAATCCCAGCACTTTTGGAGGCCGGGGCAGGTGGATCACCTGAGGTCAGGAGTTTGAGACCAGCCTGATCAACATGGAGAAACCCCTTCTCTACTAAAAATACAAAATTAGCTGGGCGTGGTGGTGCATGCCTATAATCCCAGCTACTCGGGAGGCTGAGGCAGGAGAATCACTTGAACCCAGGAGACGGAGGTTGCAGTGAGCCAAGATTGCGCCATTGCACTCTAGCCTGGGCAACAAGAGCAAAACACTGTCTCAAAAAAAAAAAAAAAATCAGCCCATATAGTTTTGAAGAGCTGTCAGGTGGGCCTAGATCAGTGGTTCTCAATTTTGGTTGTTACTAGAATTACTGAGAAGCATTTAAGAAAACATCAAAGATTCCGATTTTATTTTGTTCAGAGTGGATAGACAAGTTTCTTCCAAAAATTTACCAGGGGACTTCACGTTGCAGCCAGGGATGAGAGCCAGTGGATTAGCTGGTCATCCAGATCTCAGAACTTTGGGAATTACCCAGATCTCAAAACCCCATACTGGGGGAAACCTTTAGAAAACAGTTCTAAATTATTAGAAATTGCGGTGGGGGTGGAAGCTGTGCCTAAATGTGCAGAATTATAGACACGGACATGTGTGTGTTCTACCAGAAAGTCCTCATACTTTGGTAAGAAAGCATGGGCTCTTTTGAGTGAGTTATTTAACCATTTGAGCCTCAGTTTCCTTGTCTGCAAAAGGGTTATAATGATAGTACCTACCCTATGAGGTGATTGCAGGTTACCCAAGCCAGAGCTTTCAGCACAGCACCTCACACGTGATGTTTGTGAAACGATAGTCATATTGTTGTTATACATATTACCAGTGCTACTAACTGTTTTTACTATGGTAGCGCCACCTAGTGTTTTTACGTTTTACAGGGAGGCACCTACAGAGCACAACTGCCTGAGGACAAAGAGTCGAGACCCGCTGGCCATCTACTTCACCAGCGGAACCACCGGGGCCCCCAAGATGGTCGAGCACTCCCAGAGCAGCTACGGACTGGGTTTTGTGGCCAGCGGAAGGTACCAGAGCAGCTTGTCTAGAGGATCCAAGAACAGAAAGTGGCGAGTGGTCTGGAGGGAGTGGCGTGAGGGGAAAGATGTCAGGAGCTGAGGTCAAAGAGCCAATAGGAGCAGCTCAGGAAGGATCTTGATGATTCTGGATTTTACTCTGAGTGAGGTGAAAAGCCACTGGAGGTTTCTTTTTAAATCGTAGCCATATATATATATATATACACACACACACACACACACACACACACATATACACATACATACATAAACATATACATACATATATTATAAATGTACCCTTTTAACCATTTTAAGTGTATAGTTTAATGTCATTAAATACATTCACACTGTTGTGCAACCATGATCACCATCCATTTCCAGAATTTACTTTATCTTTCCAAATGAGAACTATGCCCCCATTACCCAATAATGCCCCGTTACCCTCTCCCCTCACCCCTGGTAATCTCTATTTTACTTTTCATTTCCGTGAATTTGATACTCCAGGTATTTTGTATGATTGGCATCATGCAGTCTGTCCTTTTGTTTTGCAATTTGGCTTCTTTCACTTAGCATAATGTCCTCAAGTTTCATCCATGTTGTGGCATGTGTCAAAATTTCCCTCCCTTTTAAGACTGAAAAATATTCCATTGTATGGATAGACCACATTTTATTTGTTTTTATTATTTTATTTTATTTTTATTTTTTTGAGACAGAGTTTTTCTCTTTTGCCTAGGCTGGAGTGCAGTGGTGCAATCTCCGCTCACTGCAACCTCTGCCGTCCAGTTTCAAGCGATTCTCCTGCCTCAGCCTCCCAGGTAGCTGGGATTACAGGTGCCTGCCATCACACCCGTCTAATTTTTGTATTTTTAGTAGAGATGGGGTTTCACCATGTTGGCCAACCTCGTCTCGAACTCCTGACCTCGTGATCCTCCCGCCTCGGCCTCTCAAAGTGCTGGGATTATAGGCATGAGCCACTGCGCCTGGCCTCGACCACATTTTAAATAATCCATTCACCTGTTGATAGACACTTGGGTAGCTTCCACATTTTGGCTGTTGTCAATAATGTTGCTATAAACACTGGCATACGAGTATCTGTTAGAGTCTCTGCTTTTACTTCTTTTGGGTATACATGCAGAAATGAAATTGCTGGATCACATGGTAATTCTATGTTTAATTTTTTTTGAGAAGCATTGGATATTTTGAGCAGAGGAGTGACGTAATCTAATATGTTTTTTAAAGGCTCACTCAGGATGTTGGGTTCACAATGAAACTGTAGAGGAAACAGCTAAAGAAGATGACTAGTGCATTAAGAGGCAAGCATGGTAGCTTGCCCGGGGAGAAGAGGGAGAAGAGATGAGATTCTGAATGTATTTTCAACCTAGACCCAATAAGACTTGCTGACAGAGTCAGTGTGGAATAAGAAGGAGGAGTCAAGGATGGCTCTAAGAAGAATGGCCTGAACAACCGGAAGCGCTAAATGATGGGGGAAGAACTGTGGGATGAGCTGTCTAGTGGGAAGAAAACAGAGTTTGTTTATAGAGTTGTCAATTTGAGAGTCTTCTTAGACATCTCCATCGCCTTGTTAAAAGTGGAGATGTTGAGTGGGCATTTGGATATACACGTCTGAAGTTAGAGAGAAAGATTCATGCTGAACTTATCAGTGTAAAGATGGTATTTCATACCATGAGATGGGATGAGATCAGCAAAGTGTAATATAAACTGAAAAGAGAATGGGTCTCAGGACTGAGTGCCTGAGGCATTTCTGCACTGAAGGGGAGACCAGGAGGACTCAGCAGAGGAGACTGAGAAGGGAACAGCCAATGAAAGGGGGAGAACCAGGAGTGCCTGTGTCCCAGGATTCAAGTGCATGACTGCTTTTCTGTCTTGCATGTTTGCAGACACTGTTTCCCATTCCTGGGATGCTCCTGCTTCTCTGCCTCACCTATATAATCCCTATGCATTGTTTATGTCTAACTCAAGTGTCATCTCCTCTACCAGAGCATTTCTCAGAAACTCATCTCCAACATTGCTCTGGATTAGGTGCCTATTCTCTGTAATTGCACAAGGCTTTGTGTTTAGCTCTGTTAAAACATGCTTTCCAGCAGCTTCCTAGATATTTATACTTCCTAAACTCTAAGGCCCTAAAGCAAGACGAATTGTTCATTTCTATATCCCTAGTGCTAACCCAGACTAAGTGCTAAATAAATGTTGCCTAAATAAAGTGACCTTAGCACAGAGTACTGAGGTTAACTTTTTCCCTTATAGATCACATCCACTGGACTGTGAACTTTCTGGAAACTCTTTTTGCTTCTGTATTCTTAGTCTAGGGCAGAGGTACATGGAAGATGCTCAATAAATGCTTGTTGAGACAATAGTTGACTTGATGGTTCTTGTTCAGGTTTCACAAGTATAAGTGAGTACCCACTGAGCAGGGCTCCAAAATGGGGTGATATAGATAATACAATCCTTCTTAAAGGTAGAGTCATCGCCAAGGGTGCTGACGTTCTCTAATTTTTGGCAGACGGTGGGTGGCCTTGACCGAATCGGACATCTTCTGGAACACGACTGACACTGGCTGGGTGAAGGCAGCCTGGACTCTCTTCTCTGCCTGGCCTAATGGAGCTTGTATTTTTGTGCATGAGCTGCCCCGAGTTGATGCCAAAGTTATCCTGAATGTAAGAGGAAAAACCAACAACACCCCATATGTGTTGGGTATAAATCAGATGAGTGGGATATAGATTTCAGGCTGCAGGAGAAAACACATGAATCAATGACTTTAAGGCTTCTTTAGTGTGGCTCCCGGGCCTTCCATAATCTGGTTCCTGACCACCTGGTTCCCTTCCATCACTGCCTATGCTCTAGCTAGATTCCTAGATTAAGACCATTTCATTGCTATTTCTCCTGCATGGGGTGCCCTTGTCTCCACCACTTTCTTCCTTATGCCTCTGCCAAAACCCTAGGTATTTGTCAAACCCTTAGGCAAAATCAGTCTGTGCCTCAACTCCAAATGCTACTGTCCATGGTGTTTAACATGGCCCAACTAGAGAGTCCTGGTGACTCCTGCTCAGCCTCCCAGGGTCTTCTTATAGGGAGGGAGGAGATTGGTGCCCCCAGTCAAGACACAGGTCACCTTTCTCCAGCCCCCCGTATCCTAAGTGTCATTCCTGAAAATGTCAGAGGGCTCTTCTGCTCATATTATTTGTACTGAGATAAGCTGTATCACCTGGTAGCTAACTGCACAGGTCATGCCATCAGTCAAAGAGTCAGACCTGGACTCTGATCCTACACCTTTGATTCGCTAGTTGTGTGGCCTTGGGGAAGTTGCCTAATCTCCCTGAACTGCAGTTTCAGCCTCACCTATAAGAAAGGGATAACGTATCTCTATAGAGTTGCTGTGAGAATGAAATGATACAAGGCAAAGGGGCCAGCACATAGTAAGTTCTTTTTTGAAATAATTTTTAATTTTTGTGGGTACATAGTAGGTGTATATATTTATGGGGTACATTAGATATTTTGATGTAGGCATGCCATGCATGAAAATCACATCATAGAGAATGAGGTATACATCCCCTGAAAGCATTTATCTTTTGTGTTACAATCTAATTATACTCTTTCAGTTATTTTAAAATATACAATTAAGTTTTTATTGACTAAAGTCACCCTGATGGGCTTTAAAATAATAGGTCTTATTCATTCATTCTATTACTTTGGTACCAACTAACCATCCCCACCTTTCTCTCAGCCCCCAACTACCCTTCCCAGCCTCTGGTAGTCATCCTTCTAATCTCTATTTCCATGAGGTCAATTGTTTTGACTTTTAAATCTCACAAATAAGTGAGAACATGTGAAGTTAGTCTTTCTGTGCCTGGCTTATTTCACTTAACATAATGATCTCCAGTTCCACCCATGTTATTGCAAATGACAGGACCTCATTCTTTTTTATGGATCCATTGTGTATATGTACATTTTCTTTATCCATTCATCTGTTGATGGACACTTACGTTGTTTCAAAACATAGTAGATTCTTTTTTAAAAAACAATTATTTTCATAGGTTATGGGGGAACAGTAACTAAAAGGTGGTGTTTGGTTACATTAGTAAGTTCTTTAGTGGTGATTTATAAGATTTTGGTGCACCCATCACCTAAGCAGTATACACTGCACCCAATTTGTAGTCTTTTATCCCTCACCCCCTTCCCACCCTTTCCCCCAAGTCCCTAAAGTCCATTATGTCATTCTTATGCCTTTGCATCTTCATAGCTTAACTCCCATTTATGAGGGAGAACATAAAATGTTTGGTTTTCCATTCCTGAGTTACTTTACTTAGAATAATAGTCTCCAATCTCATCAAGGTCCCTGTGAATGCCATTACTTCATTCCTTTTTATGGCTGAGTTGTATTCCATTATATATATTTATATACCACACTTTCTTTGTCCACTTGATTTATGGACATTTGGGTTGGTTCCACATTTTTGCAATTGCAGACTGTGCTGCTATAAACATATATGTGCAAGTATCTTTTTCATAAAATGACTTCTTTTCCTCTGGGTAGATATCCAGTAGTAGGATTGCTGGATCAAGTGGTAGTTCTACTTTTAGTTCTTTAAGGAATCTCCACACTGTTTTCCATAGTGGTTGTACTAGTTTACATTCCTACCAGCAATGTGTTCCTTGTTCACTGCATCCATGCCAACATCTATTTTGATTTTTTGATTATGGCCATTCTTGCAGGAGTAAGCTGGTACCACATGGTGGACCAAATATAGTAGATTCTTAACCCATATTGATTGTTATCATCATGATCAAACTCATCACCATCATTATCCATGTAGTGCTTGATCAGCCAGTGTATGGACCTTCTCCTCGCATTGCCCCCAGCTCTGACATAGTGTTTTCATTATCTATTGCTATGTAATAAATTATACCCAAACATAGAACTTTAAAACACAAGCATTTATCTCACAGTTTCTGATGGTCAGGAAGCTGGAGGCAGCTTAATGAGGGGATTTGGGAATAGAGTCTCTCATGAGGTTGCAATCAAGAGGTCAGCAAAGTACGCTCGTGTTCATAGCAGCATTAACAATAACTAAAAGGTGAAAGCAACACAAGTGTCCATCCACAGATGAATGAACAAACAAAATGTGGTGTGTACATGCAAGGGAATATTACCCAGCCTTAAAAAGGAAGGACATCTTGTTATATGATATAATGTGGATAACCCTTGCGGACATTATGCTAAGTGAAACATGACAGTCATACAAGGACAAATATTGTATGATTCCACTTACATGAGATACCAAGAGTAGTCAAATTCATAGACACAGAAAGTACAACGGTGTTTACAAGGAGTTAGGGGAGAGAGTAATGGGAAATTATTGTGTAATGGGTGCGGAGTTTAAGTTTGAGAGGATAAAAATAGTCCTGGAGGTGGATGGTAGTGATGGTTTCACAACATTGTGGAAATATTTAATCCCACTGGACTATACACTTAAAAACCATTCCAATGGGCAAATTCTATGTTGTGTGTATGTTACCACAATAATTTAAAAAAAGATATTAGCTAGGACTGCAATCATCTTAAGGATTGACTGAAGCTGAAAAATTGCTTACAAACTCATGGTGGCTGGGTACAGTAGCTCATGCCTGTAATCCCAGCACTTTGGGAGGCCAAGGCGTGTGGATCATGAGGTCAGGAGTTCACGACCAGCCTGGCCAAGATGGTGAAACCCCATGTCCGCTAAATATACAAAAATTAGCCAGGCATAGTGGAGGGTGCCTGTAATTCCAGCTACTCGTGAGTCTGAAGCAGAGAATTGCTTGAACCTGGGAGATGGAGGTTGCAGTGAGCTGAGATCTTGCCACTACACTCCAGCCTGGGTGACAGAGCGAGACTCCATCTCAAAAAAACAAAACAAAACAAAACAAATTCACTGGTGGTTTTTAGTAGACTTCAGTTTCTCACTGGGTGTTTGCTAGAGTCTCCAGTTTCTCACTGTGTGCACCTGTCCATAGGATGGCTTGAGCATACTGAAAACATGGTGGCTTGCTTCCCCCAGAACAAGGGATCCAAGAAAGGGAGAGAGAAAGAACATCCAAGACAGAAACCGTAGTCTTTGTACAACTGAATCTTGAAAGTGATATTCATCACCTTGACAGTATGCCATTGCTGTCACAGACCCACTTTGGTATGAGGTGAGAGGGGATTCCTCCAAAGGTGCAAATGCTAGGAAGTAGGGGTCACTGGGCACCATCTTGGATGCTGGATTCCACACATAGTTTTCAACTTCTCTGCTTTGGTAGTGAGAATATAAAGATGCAGTGCATTTGGCTCCATCTTCATGGTCCCACCCCAGTGATTCTAAGGACATCTTTCCCCCTTTGCTTTTGTTTAGACTCTCTCTACATTCCCGATAACCACCCTCTGCTGTGTCCCAACCATCTTTCGGCTGCTTGTGCAGGAGGATCTGACCAGGTACAGCCCATGTGTTTGGTGCTTTGAGGGCCTAAGTATGTGAATATACAGCATGGGTATCCACACATACAACTATCCTCTCATTCCAACTCTCTTTCTATCTTTCTCTGTGTCTATATATTTTTCTGCCTCTCTCTTTGTCTCTCTCTCGCACACACATTTATACACATACACATTGACAAGTCAACATACCTGTAAACCTCACAGATGCCCCTCAAGAACAAGCTTCTGGCCCCCAAAAATTTGCATCCAGATGGAACTAAATAGATTTAGGGCAGTCTGAAATTTTAGCACCTGAGATAGGCTTCTCCCCACACCATACACCCATGGGCTATTCTCCCAGCAGTGTGTCTGCTACTTCTGTGAGGCGAGAGAAATGATTGGACAATTGTTAGCCACCTATGAAGTGGGGTTTGTGGCCAGGGCCCTCTGTTCTGGTGAAACTAACAAGCCCACACCACAGTAGATGCCCCAACTCTCAGCCTCAGACTCACACCAGCCAACTGTTCTCTGACCACATGCCATTGGGCACCCAAGAGAAAGGGACAAGGCACTGATGATGGCTCCATCCTGGATGAAGCCAAAGCAACATCTTCTGGCAGAACAGGGCTAGTTGCTGGGGTATATGGAGAAAGGCCCACCGTCCTTCAGTACCCACCAACCCTGACCTATTCTCCCTCTTTTGTCCTCTCCCAAGTCATGAGGAGTCATCCTCTCATCTTTCCTAATCACATAAATCTACCCACCAAGTGCCCAGAGGAGGGAGTTCTTACATGCTTCTAAAAGTGAATTCTTCTCCAATGTAAGAAGTTCATCCCATTCGGTGATCTGATGTGTGCATCTCCAGATGATTTTGGCTGAAAGCAAGCTCCAAGTACCTTGTTAAGAACAATGTCGTTGAATGCCATTTGGTAGTACTAAGTAACTTCGTCAAGCCAATTTGATCTCCCCTCTCCTCCAAGATCAAAAATGTACTTGCAATCACTGATTTTTTTTTTCTTTTAGTTTGGATGATTTGTTGAACAGAAAGGGCGTTTTGCAACATAATTAATCTGTAGGAATTTGTGGGATTCTTAGAGGACTAATTTTTATCTTTTCAATTTTCTTTTCTCTCCTTTCTCTTCCTCTTTCTTATTTATTTATTTATTTATTTAAGAGACAGCGTCTTGCTCTGTCGCCTAGGTTGGAGTGCAGTGGCATGATCTTGGCTCACTGCAACCTCCGCCTCCTGGATTCCAGCTTTCCTCCCACCTCAGCCTTCCAAGTAGTTGGGACTACAGGCATGTGCCACCATACCCGGCTAATTTTTTGTATTTTTTGGTAGAGACGGGGTTTTACCACATTGACCAGGCTGGTCTTCAACTCCTGAGCTCAAGCAATCTGCCCACCTTGGCCTCCCAAAGTGCTGGGACTACAGGTGTGAGCCATGGTGCCTGGCCTATCTTTTCAATTTCTAATTGATTTATCTATCCTTTTCAATCAGATTATTGTCCTAACCAATTTATGATCAGTTTTTTTCCAACTAAATTATTTTGGCCAAGTTACCTGGAACCCACCATATTATGCCAACACCTATTATATGAGCTTCTGATTTTATCCCAAACTCAGATAGGGTGAATCTTTTAAAAATTATCTGTCCATGAGGAGAATGGTTGCAAAGCCAGAGGATGGACTCACTTAGAGCAGGTTAAAAAGCAGGGCCGTCTACCCTCTAGTGCCTGTGGGTGTTTACGTCTGGGCAGTGGCACCAGAAGGCGGGTGGTATGAAGATCCTGACATAGGTGGCCTTGTTTTCCTGCCTGAGAAAGGTACCAGTTTCAGAGCCTGAGGCACTGTCTGACCGGAGGAGAGGCCCTCAACCCTGACGTGAGGGAGAAGTGGAAACGCCAGACCGGTGTGGAGCTGTACGAAGGCTATGGCCAGTCTGAAACGGTGAGTACTGGAGGGACCAGGTCCCCTCCAGGGCTTCCTGCCTCTCCAGCTGTAACCTCCCTGAAGCTTCTCAGGGACCACCCCACCACTCCTCCACCCAGGGGAGAAGCTGATAACAAAACTCCATCAGCTTTCCTTCCCTTTTGATTTCCATATGTTCTCACTTATAAGCGGGAGCTAAGCTATGAGGATGCAAAGACATACAAAGTGGTATAAAAGACTTTGGAGACTCAGAAGGAGGAAGGTGGGAGGAGGGGTGTGAGGGTAAAGAAACTACATATTGGGTATAATGTACACTACTCAGGTGACAGATGCACTAAAATCTCAGAATTCACCACTGTAGAATTCATCCATGTTACAAAAAAACGCTCATACCCAAAAACCTATTGAAATACACACACAACAGACACACACACACACACACACACACACTTCTTAAAAATTAAAAAAAGGTACTTTAAAGTGCTTTTACAACTATACCATGACCAGCAAACCAGCCCTCACGGTTGAATGCATTGTTTGTCTCTACCAAGACAGCCTACATGTGCGGCTGTTCAGAGTCCCAGATTCTAAGCAGCGTCCTCTACAGTCATCTAGGAAGAGATCTGGGGATCAACTGAGTCTTTTGGCTCAGAGATGCATTAAGTTCTTTATGTTTGAGTGCCCCCTGGAGTGCTCCATAACTGTTTGTTGACTATGGAAAGAAAAGAAGAAAGGCAAGAAGGAAGGAAGAAAATAGGAAGAAAATGAAGAAGGAAGGGAGAGAGGAAATAAAGAAAAGAGAAAGGAAAGGAAGGGGAAAAAGATGAAAGGAAGGAAGGAAATAGTGAAGAAAGAAGAAGGGAGGACAGAGGAAAATGGAGAATGAAATAACGGGGAAAGGAATGAAATAAAGGAGGAAATAAAATGAAGGAGGGAAGAAAAAAACAGGAAAGGAGAAAGGAAAGAGGAAAGGAAAGAAGGAAAGGAAGGAGTGAGGGAGGAAGAAAAAAGAAAAAAGGGAGGAAGAAAGGAGAGAAATGGAGACAGCAGAAGGGAAAGAAAGAAGAAAGTGAGGGAGGAGAAAAAAGAGGATGAGAGAAAGAGTTAACAGGCAGGGTGAGAGAAAGGCGTGGTCCAGGAAAGAAGCTAAGTGGAAAGGCTCTTTATCCGTACTGCTTTCTCCCCAGGTTGTCATCTGTGCCAATCCAAAAGGCATGAAAATCAAGTCTGGATCCATGGGGAAGGCAGTCCCACCCTACGATGTGCAGGTAGCAGCCTCCCCTAACTTCTGGCGAGGCCTGGCGTGGAGAGGAGAAAGACACACAGGCCTGGCTGGCACGGGCCTCTGGGCTGCTGCAGTAGCCCAGGGTGTAGACACTCATACATGCACCTCTGTGATCTCCCTGCCAGATTGTGGATGATGAGGGCAATGTCCTGCCTCCTGGAGAAGAGGGGAATGTTGCCATCCGTATCAGACCCACCCGGCCCTTCTGTTTCTTCAATTGCTATTTGGTAAGAGACGGGAACAGCCGTTCTCATGACAGTGACTGTGTGCTAAGCATTGTGCACCACACTTTGTAAATATCTATTTGTTTAACCCCTACAATGACTGCATGAGGTAGGTTGCTACTATTATTAGTAAAGTTCTGTTATTGATAAGGAAGACTATTATTGATAAGGAAGCTGATACAAAGGGGAAGTGACTTATCCAGCATCATGCAACTAGCACAGGCAGGACATGGGATTTAAACAGGGGTGTGTCTGAAAGCGCAAACATACGACATGAGGGCAGCACCGTTGTTTTAATGAGGAGAAAATCAAGGTGCAGTAAAGGAAAGGAGCTTCTGAAGGTCAAACTGCAGCCGGGTGCGGTGGCTCACACTTGTAATCCCAGCACTTTGGGAGGCCAAGGCAGGTGGATCACCTGAGGTCAGGAGTTCAACACCAGCCTGGTCAACATAGTGAAACCCCGTCTCTACCAAAAATATAAAAAGTAGCCAGGCGTGGTGGCACGTGCCTCTAATCTCAGCTACTTGGGAGTCTGAGGCAGCAGAATCGCTTGAACCGGGGAGGAGGAGGTTGCAGTGAGCCGAGATCGCAGCACCGCACTCCAGCCTGGGCAAAGGAGCGAGACTCCATCTCAAAAAATAATAATAATAGTAAATTAATAAATACATAAAGGTCAAACTGCACTATTGTGTCAGAGCTGTCTTCAGGATTCTCTTTGTGGTTTGCTAGCAGGGAACAAACCTGAGATTTCAGTCCAAGTTTCTGGGATAATTTAGTAATTGCTTCTCTTTTGTATTCACCTTGGCTGGTGTTTATGTTGGGCTTTCGTTTCTTCACAGCTTTCTCTATGAAACCCTCAGACGTGACTGCACTAGAAACTCTGGCAAGCGTCAGTTATTGCTGATGCTTGAGCCCCACCTCAGGTTAATTAAAATCAACATTTCTGGTGTGGATCAGTTTCCCAGGTGATTCCAATGTGCAGCCAAGCCTGAGAGCCACTGCTTAATAGAAATGCCATCTCATGTGTCTATTAAGCTGTCAATCAGCTACAGAATTAGAAGGAGCAGAAACAAACCAGTCCATTTGTTTTTGGAATGTTGCATTTTAATGGTTTTTCTGTGACTACAAGAGAAATGATCTTTTACTTTATTTTGTTTAAAATCACAGAAACTTACAAAAACCCACAACATAGTAATCATGCCAAGCTGAGATCATGTTAACATTTTAATGTATTTTTCTGCTAATCAGTCTTGGAAACAATAGTAAATCTTTGACCCCACTGAAAAATGTATTCATTCATTATTTATTTACTTGGTGCCACTCGGTGTGGAGCAGGACTCTGGTACTTACTGCACTTGTACATATTCTTTCTGGTTGTGAGATCATTCCACTGAGTGTACTAATTTGAAAAGTTATTTGCTAGACAAGAATCTTTAATTTTTTTGACTGATTCTTTCCATCATCTGTACCAACAGATAGTTTTCTTTCCAGATCTTTTTTGTTTTGTTTTGCAACACTGTCTTCTCACTCTGTTGCCCAGGCTGGAGTACAGTGGTGTGATCTTGGCTCACTGCACTGCCGCCTCCTGGGCTCAAGCAACTCTCGTGTTCCAGTCTCCCGAGTAACTGGGACTACAGGCGCACAACATTTCGCCGGGGTAATTTTGGTATTTTTAGTAGAGGCGGGATTTCGCCACCTTGGTCAGAGTGGTCTGGAATTTCTGGCTTCAAGTGATCTGCCTGGCTCGGCCTCCCAAAGTGCTGGGATTACAGGCATGAGCCACAGTGCCTGGCCCAGCTCATTCTTAATTAAGAGAAAAATATTAAATCTCTTCTGTGAGAATCATGAAACGTGAAAATTATTACAGAGAATCTCAAACCAAAATTGTTCTGTGATTTTTGATAAGCTAAGCTCATTCTCCCCCCACAATAAACATAAACATTTCAAATTCATGTTGGTCATTCCCATTTAGTGGAATTGCACATGTCAGTTACATGAATATGCCCATGTCAACTTTATAACCCATATAAGGAATATGCTTATTTTCCTAGGGAAACAAATTGTCAAATGCACAAATGTTTGTTATAGTGCTGGCTGTTTATAACAGATAAAAAAGGTGGAGGGACTATCTAAATTTCTAATACCAGAAATTAGTTATGTAAAGAATTATATTATATTATAGCATTGTGAACAAAAGCAAAAAAAAAAAAAAAGAAAAAGAAAGAAAGTAAGAAAAAGAACAAAAAGGAGAAAAAGAAGAGAGAAAAAAAAATTTAAAAAGTACCCAAATTTCTAACACAGGAATTTGCTCAAATAGCTAATATCACCACCACACAGAAATATTATGCAACTATTTAATACAGTTTTTTTGGAAGCAGGGTCACATTCTGTCACCAAGGCTGGAGTGCAGTGGCACAATCATGGCCACTGCAACTTCGACTTCTTGGGCTCAGGTGATCCTCACACCTCAGCCTCCCGAGTAGCTGGAACTACAGGCACACGCCACCACACCCAGCTAATTTTTTTTTTTTTGTAAAGATGGGGTTTCACCATGTTGCCCAGGCTGGTCTTGAATTCCTGGGCCCAAGTGATCCACCTGCCTCAGCCTGCCAAAATGCTAGGATTACAGGCATGAGCCACCACGCCCAGCCTATAGGAGTTCTTAATATATTCTTTATATTGGTCATTTGTTGTAAGAGTTGCTAATATCTTCCTCCCCGGTGGTAGCTTATCTTTTCACTTTCTTTCACTTTCTTTAAGCTATTTTTCTTGAACAGAAGCGTTTATTTCCATGTCATCAAATCATTAAGTTTTTAAATGTTATGGATAGTGCTTTTTGTGTCTTATAAAATCATTTTCAACTTTGGGGTAGGAAATACACATATTCACCTATAGTTTCTTCCAACAGTTTTATAGTTCGGCTTTTGACATTTAAGTTTATAATCCATCTGTGGTTGATGTATACATGGTATGAGATAGGGGTCTATTTTATTTTTCTCTATATGAAAAACCAATTTGTTGAATAAATCCTCCTTTTCCCAGTTATCTGTCATGACAATTTTGTCAGATATAAAAGTGTAATATAGGCCAGGTGTGGTGGCTCACACCTGTAATCCCAGGACTTTGGGAGGCCAAGGCGGGTGGATCACCTGAGGTCAGGAGTTAGAGACCAACCTGACCAATATGGAGAAACCCCATCTCTACTAAAAATATAAAAATTAGCTGGGTGTGGTGGCGGGCAACTGTAGTCCCAGCTACTTGGGAGGCTGAGACAGGAGAATTGCTCGAATCCGGGAGGCAGAGGTTGCAGTGAGCTGAGATCACACCACTGCACTCCAGCCTGGGCAATAGAGTGGGACTCCATCTCAAATAAATAAATAAATTTTTGAAAGTTTGATATAGTCATAGTTAGGTTTTGGCACTTTCTTGTATTTCTTTGATCACTTACTCTGTCTCCGTACTGATACCATAAAGTCTTATCCGCAAAAGCATTACCGTAAGTTTTCATATGTGAGAGAATGACTCTATCCTTGTTTTTCAACTTATTTAGAAGTGTTTTACCTATTCTTAGCCCTTTGCTCATTCATTTACATTTTAGAATCAACTGTCAAGTTCCTTGGAAAATGTTTGCTAGCATTTTGACTAGAATTGTATTGTCTATAAAACAACTTAGGGATAATTGACATCTCTATTAATTAAGTCTATCTTGTTTTGTTTTGAGACAGAGTCTTGCTCTGTCACCCAGGCTGGAGTGCAGTGGTATGATCTTGGCTCACTGCACCCTCCGCCTCCTGGGTTCAAGTGATTCTCCTGCCTCAGCCTCCCGAGTAGCTGGAATTACAGCCACCCACCACCACACCCGGCTAATTTTTGTATTTTTAGTAGAGATGGGGTTTCTCCATGTTGGCCAGGCTGGTCTTGAACTCCTGACCTCAGGTGATCCGCCTGCCTTGGCCTCCCAAAGTGCTGGGATTACAGGCATGAGCTGCTGCACCAGGTCGATTAAGTCTTTCTTTCATTTATTTATATCTTCTTTAATGTTGTGTCGAGTTTTAAGTTTTCTCCATATACATCTTAGAGATTTTGTGCTAGATGTATTTTTAGGTATTGGTAGCTTATATTTTTTCTTTTTTCTCGGAAGGTACTTGTTGAATTGAGATATAATTTACCTACAATGAAATTCACCCATGTTACGTGTGCGGGTTGATGACTTTTAACACACATACGCCCCTGTGTAACTGCCACCACAGTCGAATATGGAACATTTTTCACCCCCAAATCCTCTCTTATTCCCCTTGACAGCCAATCCTCTCCACTCCAGACCCAGCAATTGATAAATTGTTTGTTGTCACTATGTAATAATTTTGCATTTTAAAAAAGGAACTTCATATAATGGAATCACTAACTATTCAAATTTGTCTGTCAGGTTTCTTTTACTCAGTATGATGTTTCTGCAAGTCATCTGTGTGTTTTCATGTATTTTTATTGCTGAGTAGTAGCTTTTTCTTTAAAACTTTGAGAATCGGAGTTTGATTGCTTTTCTCTTTCCTCTACTCTTGCCCCACACCAATGGGCTTTTTGGTGAGCCCTTCTCCCTCCCTTCCGTCCTTCCTCCCGTCCTTCCTTCCATCTTTCCTTCTTTCCTTCCCTTCTTTCTTTGTTTCTCTCTCTCTTTCTTTCTTTTCCTTCCTTCTTTCCCTCCTTCCCTCGCTCCTTCCTTCCTCCCTCCCTCCCTCCTTCCCACCTTTCATTCCTTCCTTTTCTTCTCTCTTTCTTTTCTCCCTTCTCTTCCCTTCTTTTCCCTTCCCTTCCCTCCCCTTCTCTTCCATCCCTCCCCTTCCCTCACCTCCCCTCCCCTTCCTTTCCCTTCCTTTTTTTCCTACTTGGAGTAGCCCAGGTTGGAGTGCAATGGCACAATCTCGCAACCTCGCCCTATAGCCCATGCTGGAGTGCAGTGGTAGAATCTCAGCTCACTGCAACCTCTGCCTCGTGGGCTTAAGCAATTCTCCTGCCTCAGCCTCCTGAGTAGCTGGCATTACAGACGTGCACTACCACACCCAGTTAATTTTTTCTATTTTTAGTAGAGATGGGGTTTCACTATGTTGGCCAGGCTTGTCTTGAATTCCTGACCTCAAGTGATGCACCCACCTCAGCCTTCCCCAGTGCTGGGATTACAGGCATGAACCACCACATCTGGCCTAGCCCTTCACTTTCTACCCTCAGTGATTCCCGAGCGCAAAGAGTATTTGTGTGTTCTTTTGTCCTAAAAAGCATAGCCAGTGGCCCTGTGGGGCCCTTCTAAGGATGGTGGTGGGTGGTTGCCCTTAACCATTCGCTGGCAGTTGATTCCAATCAAAAAAGGGAAATCCCATAACTAAACAGGGCCATAGCTCCTTGTCCATTGGGGAACTCTGGGCAGCCTGGACTTCAGGAACTCCTGAACTTTCTGTTGAGTGATCTCCAGCTTCCTACAGGGGGCTACCGGCGCAGTAACTGGCCTTAGCGGCTGTTCCCAGAGGGTCCTTCACGGGCTTTCTTTGTCTTTCAGGACAATCCTGAGAAGACAGCTGCATCAGAACAAGGGGACTTTTACATCACAGGGGACCGAGCTCGCATGGACAAGGATGGCTACTTTTGGTTCATGGGAAGAAATGATGATGTGATCAATTCTTCAAGGTCAAGTTGTCTGCACTTTCCTCCTCCCTTTGAAGTTTCATGGGGGTTGAGGGAAGTCCACTTGGAAGAGTTTGTTTTTCCCTTCCAGCTACCGGATCGGGCCTGTTGAAGTGGAAAGCGCCCTGGCAGAGCATCCTGCTGTCCTGGAGTCGGCCGTGGTCAGCAGCCCAGACCCCATCAGGGGAGAGGTAACCAGTGCACCCAAGAACACAGCCTCCTGCTTCTGTACCTATTAGCACCCAGCAGAACAAGCAGGAAGGCTCAGATTGTCCTGTATTTCACCTCCATCCATGTGCCACAAAGTTGAAATGCCACCATCAGACACACATTGCCTTCATGTCTTTAGAGATACAATTACTCTCTAAAGGGACGTAACGGGAAAACACCAACACTTTGCTTTTTAGCAGACACAACTGGGTCCCAAAGAGGCTGGCTATGGGGCAGGAGATCTTAGGGGGAGGTGCAGGCTCTGTTATCCATCCTGTCTACTAAAAAGTCATTTTCTATTTGCAGCTGAGGGCATAGCGAGCACACCAGTCACAGTTTGCTGATGGCTGTAACCTGAGAGGGATAGAATATGTATCCAAAATGACCTTGATATACCAGAAAGATGGGCCAAATTTAATAAGCTGGGCTTTCATAGGAGAAATTTTTTTTTTTTTTTTTTTTTTTTTTGAGATGGAGTCTTGCTTTGTTGACCAGGCTGAAGTTCAGTGGCACAATCTTGGCTCACTGCAACCTCCGCCTCCCAAGTTCAAGCGACCTTCTTGCCTCAGCCCCCCTCCCAGTGGCTGGGATAACAGGCATGTGTCACCATGCCTGGCTAATTTTCGTATTTTTAGTAGAGACAGGGTTTCACCATGTTGGCCAGGCTGGAGTCTTAAACTCCTGACCTCAGGTGATCACTCGCTCCGGCCTCCCAAAGGGCTGGGATTACAGGCATGAGTCACTGCTCCCAGTCAGGAGAAATCTTCCTGTGGGTCCCAGAGGAATACATAGTATGTGAAAGATCAGATTACAGGCAGACTTAGCTACTTTTCATTGACTTACATCCAACATAATCCTAAAGCACAAGTTACCTTTTGAAAGTTAGTGCAACATCAGCCTGCATTCTCAGAAGCATCAGGACTGCAGGAGAGATTCTCAAAGTCTGGTTCTTGGACTGCTTGCAACTGTATCATCTGAGATTCTTGTTTAAAATACAGATTTGTAGACCTAAAGTCAGACTTATGGAATCATAATGACTGGGAATGCAGCCCAGAGAATCTGCATTTTAGCCAGCCACTCCTGACCAAGTGATTCTCCACTAAAATCAGAGGCCGTTAATATAGAATAAGGGAGGTGTGGAGTCCCATTGATGTGCTGAAGAAATCACACCTGAAACGTATGACTAGTTCTGTATGCCATGAGTTAACTGGGATTGTGACAAATGGCTGTGTGCTCAAACTTAATCCATGCACAGTGCTTAGAACTGAGTCTGGTGTGCAGAAAGTGCCCAACAAATGTTTAGTAGTTACAATAGTGAGGAAGCTCTTCCTAAAAGCGTATCTGTCTGAACATGAAATGATAGTGGCCTTCCTCCCTGTGGGAAGTAAGCAAGGACAGTGAGCTACCCCTTAATAAAATACTGTTAACAGATAGGAATGCTGGAATTAATAAGCATCCGAGTGACCTTCCATTGCTAACAGAAACTGTGTTCTGTTTGTTGTGCTTGAGTCTGGGACACTTCCTCCTCCCTGGCATACGACAGCCTGCAGGAAAGATGTGGGCAGAGAGACCCAAGGTGTAGAATGTCCTTTGGAATGTCTGGAACAGAAGTGGTGCAGTTCAGGGTCTGCTGATTGCAAATGTTCATCCATGCAAACTCCCAAATACCTAGTCCCCCTTGAAATTGACTGCATTTTCCTCAGTCCCACCTGTTCAAACCCATACCTACCTACCTTGTTAGGAAAATCTGAAAGGAAATGGCCATAGGAGTGTATGAACCTCTTCTCTCCAAAATACTTGCTTCTTAAGAGAAGCAATGTTGGCTTCAAATGGTGTCATTCCAAGTGTGGGGAGTAATTTGAGAAATAGGTAGGAGTTTGAAATCAACCCACAAAGGTCAATGCTCCTAGTAGTCACACCTGGAAAGGCCAGCAAAAGAAAAATTGATGTTGTTTGTGTCACTGGCTGTGCCCAAAAACCTAGTAGAACTTTCATGGTGCAAAGGTAAATGTAGGCATTTATTCAAGGGTCACTGAAGGAGAAAAGAGTTGTTATACAAGGTCTGATCTTTTCTGGGTATTTGTTTTGCTGCAGGTGGTAAAGGCATTTATAGTTCTTACTCCGGACTACTCCTCTCATGACCCAGAGGCACTAACGCGGGAACTCCAGGAGCATGTGAAAAGGGTGACTGCACCATACAAATACCCCAGGAAGGTAAACATCAGGGTTTCCAGGGTACAGTGATCTGGGAATCAGATGGACATGCTCTGCCTGGGCCCCAACTCAGGGCCAGGCCCTGTGACAGGCTCTGGGGATATGGAGAAACTTGTAACCCTGGCTGCTGCTTCAGTTTTTTCTGTATTTCTTCACTTGGGTTCTCCCCAGAGCACATTTTGTTCTTGCCCTAAGAACAGCCTGATCCCTACCATAAATCAGATACAAGAGGTGGTGCTCAAATGCTGTCAAAAAGATCCTGTGCTCCAGGCTCCAGGCAGTTTTGTTTTGCTCCTGGCAGTTTAGGGGGAAACCCTGAATCAAGGACAGGCAGACAGTAATGGCTCTTTCAAAACAAAAGTCTTTTTGAGGAATGATGATTTCCAAGTGTTTTTTGTTTTGTTTTGTTTTGTGTTTGGTCACTAGGTGGCCTTTGTTTCAGAACTGCCAAAGACGGTTTCTGGAAAGATCCAAAGGAGTAAATTGCGAAGTCAGGAGTGGCGGAAATGAGGTGCAACCCCAGGAAGGCCCCGTAGACCTCTGAAGGCTCCACGAGAAACTAATGGATCACTGGTCAGCCCCCATGGGGAGCATCATCTCTTCAACCCTAAAGATGTCAAAGGCGTGCAGCTTCCAAACGGCATCCCCAGGATCACTGCGCAATGCTGGAAAGAGCAAAAGAATATCATTGGCCCCGACCACATAGATGCTGCGCAGCCTAGCAAATGCTTGGTGGTTTGACTTCTCCCTCTGTCTCGGGGGAGGCCCAGCATCTGCCCACTGGTCTCACTAAGAGCTTCAGATTTCCCTCTGTAGGACAGGTTACCGGAGCCGTGGGGCACTTGTGGGTACTCATTCTCTGCTAGTGGGAATGGAAAGGCTTCATCCTTTGTATGCAACCATTTGGTAAAAGTATGCAGGACCATAAAATTGGCAATATCCTTTAGCTCAGAAATTCTACCTTCCTAAGTCACCACAAAAGAAAAAACTCAAAATGCAGAAAATGTGTGGTGCACTAAGATGATCACGCAGCATTGTTTAAAACTAAAAAAAAACAAAAAACAAAAAACTAACATCCAAACAACAAGGAAATGATTAACAAAATTGTAGTACATTAACTCAATAACATATAATGTGGCCATTAAAATATTTAAGAGCAGTTTAGTATGTCTTGAGAAAAGTGTAAGCTATATTAATTTTAAAAATCAGAATAAAAATATTTGCATACTGGAGAATCCCAACTCTGAAAAATAAAGGGGAAACTAGTTAATTGTCATTTTCCTGGAGATTGAGGAGGGAGGGAGAGAAAATAATGGATGGTAGTTTTTCTTCTTCCTTTTTCCACTACATTTCTGTATTTCCCAAGTTTTTGTACTAAGCACATACAACTATTTTAATGAAAAAGTTATGTTAAAGAAAGCACATGCTACTTCATGTCTAGTTCTTCCTCCACATACTCACACATCATTCCCAAAGGCTGCTGTATTATGTCTGTATTAGTCAGCATTCTGCAAAGGAAGAGAAGCAATAGGATATATACAGACATAGGAGAGGGGATTTATGGTGGGAATTGGCTCACTCGATTTTGGAGGCTGAGAAGTTCCACCATCTGCCATCTGCATGCTGGAGACCCCAGGAAGGCCCATTCCATCTGAGTCCAAAGGCCTGAGAACCAGGAGAGCCAATGGTATAACTCCCTGTCGAGTGCAAAGGATCGAGAACCAGGAGCTTCACCGTCTGAGGACAAGAAAACGCAGGTGTTCCAGCCCAAAATGAAGGAGCAAATTCGTCCTTTCTCCTTTTTCTCCTCTTCATGCCCTAATGGATTGGATGATGCCTGCCCATGTGGATGAGGGCAGATCTTCTTAGTCTATGACTCTATCTCTAGTATCACCTGGAAACACCTCCCAGAGACACCCAGAAGTAATGTTCATAGCTATCTGGGAACTCTTAACCCAGTCAAGTTGACACCTAACATTAACCATCACAAAGTCTTATCCAGGAGGGGCATAAGGACCTGAAGCCATGGCTCAGGCCTGCAAACAGGAAAGGGTGGTTCTGGGAGCAACCCTGGAGGAAAAGCAGCAGATGGAAACTGAAGCAATCCCAGTGCTGCTGACCCCTCCCCTGGCACCGCCACATCCTCCAGGGAAAATTCAGGGAGCACCTACTCAATACCGAGCCCTGAGACTGCAGTGATACACTAAAGCCAGCCTAGTCCCTATCTATGTGAGTTTTCAGGGTCTGCCATAACAAAGTACAACAGACTGGGCCATTTAAACAACAGAAATTAAAGTCCTCACCGTTCTGGTGGCTGGAAGTCTAGGATCAGAGGTTGGCAGGCTTGGTTTCATTCTGAGAACGTTTCCTTGGTGTGTAGATCGACGACTTCTGCCTTTGTCTTCACTTGATCTTTCTTCTGCGTATGTGTGTCTGGGGCCCAATCTCCTCTGCTTCTAAGGACACCTGTTATGTCAGATTGGATTAGGGCCCACCCTCATGACCTGACTTTAACTTAATCACCTCTTTAAAAACCTTGTCTCCAAAGACAGTCACAATCTGGGGTACTGGGAGAAACTGGGGTATCTGAGGTTAGGTCTTCAACATAAGAATTTGGGGAAACACATTTCAGCCCAAACCCTTGTGGAGTTGAGTCTAGTAAGAAGGTCATTATTATTTATCACAGAATAATGCAAATAAATGTACAATTGTAATGCCATGAAGAAAAGAATACATTTAAGACATAGACTGGGGGGACTGATCAAGACTCAGGGGGCTGAGGGTAGCAGGAAGGATTCTATAAGAAAGTCCCTGGGCCGGGCGCGGTGGCTCACGCCTGTAATCCCAGCACTTTGGGAGGCCGAGGCAGGCAGATCACAAGGTCAGGAGATCAAGACCATCCTGGCTAACACGGTGAAACCCCGTCTCTACTAAAAATACAAAAAAATTAGCCGGGCGTGGTGGCGGGCACCTGTAGTCCCAGCTACTGGGGAGGCTGGGGCAGGAGAATGGCGTGAAACCGGGAGGCGGAGCCTGTAGTGAGCCCAGATCGCGCCACTGCACTCCAGCCTGGGCGACAGAGCGAGACTCCATCTCAAAAAAAAAAAGTCCCTGAACTGGGTGCAGTGGCTCACGTCTATAATCCCAGCACTTTGGGAGGCCGAGACAGGTGGATCACCTGAGGGAAGGAGTTCGAGACCTGCCTGGCCAACATGGTGAAACCTCGTCTCTACTAAAAATACAAAAATTAGCTGGGTGTTGTGGAGTGCACCTGTAATTCCAGCTTCTCGGGAGGCTGAGGCAAGAGAATTGCTTGAACCCGGGAGGCAGAGGTTGCAGTGAGCTGAGATCACACCACTGCACTCCAGCCTGTAACAGAATGAGACTTCATAAATCGGCTCTGTCTAGGCAGTGGGCAAGGTGAACCCACTGGGCGGTTACAATTCCTTTCCATCAAACCCACCTGCTGGCTTTATCAGTAGCCTTTTGTCATATACAGGTTGGAGGCGAGTGAAGCTCCAAAGTCAGGTTGGGATTACTTCTGAGCATGTCATGTGACACCCTCTCATTAAACTGTGGTTATGTGTTTCCCTGGTCTTCACTTGGAGCTTCAGCCAAGATTCTGAGAAAACAGAGGAAGTCCCATTTAACATTCTCTTTCATGGGCATCATAGCGCATTGCTATTGCTTATTATTTTAGGTTTGTTTTGCCTGTCTTTCCTAGTAGATTGTGGACTCTTCTAAATCATTGGCTAGATCATAGTCTTGTCTGTCATCCCAGTGCCAATGTCGGGACTTGCTGGCTAGTAGGTATCAGTAAATAGTCATTGAATGAATGAATGAATGAAAAATAAGATACTAATTGAAGGGAATAGGGAACTGAAGAGGCGTCAAGCAAGAATTATACCGGAAGACTGTTCACCTCTTTTTTTCTCTCCAAATGAATGTGTCTGTTTCTTTTCTTGAATACTGAAAAATTCCTAATAGAAACCTAACAGTTCTATCTGGTACACAGGCAGGTGACTTTCCCTCTGTAGGCCGCTTTTTCCACATCTCTATATTGGGGGCTGGAGTGTTATGCTAGACTTACGCTCCCAAGCTTTTCCATTGCTGTGCACTCCTTTCTATCATTCTGCCATCATGTTTAGATTTTCTCTCAAAGGTCATACTCCTTCCAATCCCACTATGTCCATCAGAATTTGGGGTGGTGTCAGCTTTTATTGGGTAGTGATACCTGTATGTTAGCTATTAATTTAATTTTATTTTTCTTGTTTCAGTATTTATCTTGGTTTTGAGAAATAATCCTTAGCTAGAAAGAGCCCAATCTCCTATTGTGCAATGTGGTAAATCACAGCAACATTTTTTTTTTTTTTTTTTTGAGAGGGAGTCTCACTTTGAGAGGGAGTGCAGTGGCGTGGTCTTGACTCACTGCAACCTCCGCCTCCTGGGTTCAAGCGATTCTCCTGCCTCAGCCTCCCGAGTAGCTGGGACTACCGGCGTGCACCACCACGCCCAGTTAATTTTTGTATTTTTAGTAGAGATGGGGTTTCACCACGTTGGCCAGGCTGGTCTCAAACTCCTGACCTCAAGTGATCCACCCACTTCAGCCTCCCAAAGTGCTGGGATTACAGGCGTGAGCCACGGTGTCCAGCCTCACAGCAACATCTTTAAGGTAAGGAGAGAATCAAGGAAGTCCAGGATATGCCAGATGGGAGCACTGATCCTTTCATTTCAGGATTTCTGCCTGAGAATCCACAGCTCACCTTGTACACTTACAGTAATAAAGATGAACAAGAGGATCATGAGGGTGGTGGTGGTGATGATGATGATAGTAAACCACTACCACAGATTGAGCTCCTTCTTAACTGTTGAACTTCACTGTGGACTTACTAGACATTATCTCACTTAAGCTCTGCAAAAAGCAATAAAGTAGGTATCTTTCATTCATCCCTTCATTTAGCAAAAAATGGTTCTATTCCCACTCTGTACCCAGCACAGTTCTAGGCACTGAGGATACACCAGTGAATGAAAGAGACAAAAACCCCCACCTTCTGGAAATGGCAACCTAATGAAAAGAGAGACAACAAAGAACTATTAGGTTCTTTTCTTTTGATGGTAAAAACCGCAACTACTTTTGCATAAATCTAATTTTAAAAATTAGAGTATGTCAGACAGTGTCAGCGCGAAGGAGGAAAATAAAGTACAAGTAGTGAAGAGGGACTATGGGATGGTGGCGCAGGATTTGAAATAGGGTAGCCAGGAAGGGATTTGCGAAGACGATGTTTGAACAAACTGAAAGGTGAGGGAGTGAGCTGTGCAGATGTGGGGGTCGGGGAGGGCACTCCCAGAGACAGAAGAGCAGGTTCAAAGGCACTGAGACAGAAACAATCGCCTGGTGAACCCGATTTTACAGAAGAGAGATCTGAGGCTCAGAAAGGTGGAGCCACTCACCCAAACTTGCACAGCTGTAAGTGGCAGAGCTGAGATTTGAATGCCAGGCCCAACAACCCCCAAACCTGCATTTGTTTCTCATTTTCTCATATTTTTCAATTCAGACACTGAGGATGTAGGCGTTGGGGCATCAGCAGAGTGGTTAAGAGCTAGGCATGATGCGAACCAGACCTGGGTTGAGGCCTTGTGGTGCCACTTACCTACTTGGGTGGTTGACTTACACTGTCTGAGCCTCAGTTTCCACATGCTGAATTGGAGATAATAATAGATAACTGCTAGGGTTATAGAGGTGATTGAATGAAACACCTGCATAGTTTGCAGCACACTAAACGTTCTCTCAATAAATGTGTTTTTGTTTGTTTGTTTGTTTGTTTGTTTTTGAGACTGAGTTTCCCTCTTGTCCCCCAGGCTGGAGTGCAGTGGCGCTGTCTCGGCTCACTGCAACCTCCACCTCCCAGGTTCAAGTGATTCTCCTGCCTCAGCCTCCTGAGTAGCTGGGATTACAGGTGCCCACCACCACACCCAGCTAATTTTAGAATTTTTTTAGTAGAGATGGGGTTTCTCCATGTTGGCCAGACTGGTCTCAAACTCCTGACCTCAGGTGATTCACCCACCTTGGCCTCCCAAAGTGCTGGGATTACAGGTGTGAGTCACCGCGCCCAACCAACAAATGTTATTCCTAGTTACTATTACTCAGTCTACGATCCCATTTTCCAGAGGGGACATTAAGATCCCACACCTCAGACGACCGATGAGTTTCCTACCTTCATGCAAGGGGTCTCTGGGTGAGTTGCCTCATGAAAGCTCCCAATAATCATGGAAATAGCAGTTTCTTTCCAAAGCACTAATTATGTACCTGGTATTTCTCATATGCCTTAGCTCCTCAAACTGCAGCAAACAAACTCCATGGAAGAGACAAAAAAATGGGACTCCAGAGACTCGAAACCACAGTCACATGTCAGATGCAGCCCTCAACTCTGAAAGTGAGAAGCGGAGGCAGAGTTATCTCCTGAAGCACAATGATACTTTCGAACAGGTTTTTTTAGATCAAACGTAAGGCTTTGCAGAAATCTAGCACTTTGCATTGTTCTCCATGTCTTAGAGGCTTAGGGGTGCAGCATCATACCCCTCTGGCATCAGGACAAGTGAGAAGCCTCTAGAATTGTCTCACTCAGGCTTTACCATGATCCTACCAGATAGATGCTATTTTTATCTCCATTTTGTACAGGAGGAAACTGAGGCACAGCAGGTCAGTGTGTGTGCTCATTTGGTAAGTAGTACAGCTAAGATTTAAAATGGGTCTTCTGATGGCAATTCTCAGGCATCGTCTCTTGCTTCAGGCTGCTTCCGAAACCTTGGGTCCATCCACCCAGGCCACCAAAAACTTCCTGAGATGATCAGAGGTAGAGCGTGATAAAGAAAATCTGTTTTTCCAGCGGTGGTTCTGATTCCTGACTCAAAACCCCCTGCCCTGGGAAATTCTGAGCCCCCCACCACAGAGTTCTGCTCCCAACGTTTCCCCAGAAACTCCAGCACTGTTTCTATCTTCCCCGAACATTGAATCCCCACTGTGGGCCAGATTCTAGGAACACAGAGATGGTCAGTTGATTGCGCACAGCCTCCAACAGTGACTATTTCAAATCATTTATCTTTTAAAATGCCTCTTTGCAGAAACATGGTGTTCCATATGAGAAGGACACTGGACTTTGACGTTAGATTTGAGTCCTGTTGTAGCACTTACCAACTGTGGGAGCTTAGCCAAGTCGCCCGTCCTCTCTGAGCCTCAATTTCCTTATCTATAAAATGAGGCGCTGGATACTTCTCCTGTAGAGTTCTTGTTATGATTACATGTGAGCACATCTATAAAACACTGAAGACATGAGCTAGCCGTTATTCTTTTTAAACAGTCATCAGGAAAATTTTGATTTTCCACCTCACAGATTTCCCAGTAGAATATGCTATCCTGAAATGTGTCTAAAGGTCAAAATTTGTAAAACCGAAAGGAAAAGACACTCAGCAAAGTCCAGCATCATGACTTGGCAGTGTCCCCAGTGGCCAGGTGCAAAGGACCACCCAGAGAGGGGTTTTTAGACCATTGTAAATACTGTGACTGCTATTTAGGACTTACACACACTCAGACACATGCACACACACACAAATATAGATACAGCCACACATACATCTGCAATTCCACCGCCACACATAGACACTCACACATGCAAGCACACACAAATATCTAGTCACACTTCTAGCCCCCCACCACTCACACACATGAATACACACACTTACACTTACAGTCAGTCTTATGCACATGCCAAACTCATAAACAGATATATAGACGTACACTTAACTGCAGAGCTACATATACACTACAGTCACATACATAATTACATACAAATTTGCACACATACATTCACATACATCCACACACACATAATTACATACACATTCGCACACATACATTCACACACATCCACATCTACCAACACACATGCATGCATGTAAGTATGCATAAACACCTGTACACCTGCTCATGCAGCTCTACACACACTTGCACACACATACACATACACAGTCTCACATACATCCATGTACTGACAAACGTGTAGGCACACATGCACACAAACATGCACAATCTTACACATATGTCTTTTTTTTATACTTTAAGTTCTAGGGTACATGTGCACAATGTGCAGGTTTGTTACATATGTATACATGTGCCATGTTGGTGTGCTGCACCCATTAACTCATAATTTACATTAGATATATCTCCTAATGCTATCCCTCCCCACAATAGGCCCCGGTATGTGAAGTTCCCCTTCCTGTGTCCAAGTGATCTCATTGTTCAAATCCCACCTATGAGTGAGAACATGCAGTGTTTGGTTTTCTGTCCTTGCAATAGTTTGCTGAGAATGATGGTTTCCAGCTGCATCCATGTCCCTACAAAGGACACAAACTCATCCTTTTTTATAGCTGCATAGTATTCCATGGTGTATATGTGCCACATTTCCTTAATCCAGTGTGTCACTGATGGACATTTGGGTTGATTCCAAGTCTTTGCTATTGTGAATAGTGCTGCAATAAACATACGTGTGCATGTGTCTTTATAGCAGCATGATTTATAATCCTTTGGGTATATACCCAGTAATGGGATGGCTAGGTCAAATGGTATTTCTATTTCTAGATCCTTGAGGAATTGCCACACTGTTTTCCACAATGGTTGAACTAGTTTACAGTCCCACCAACAGTGTAAAAGTGTTCTTATTTCTTCACATCCAGCGCCTGTTGTTTCCTAATTTTTTAATGATTGCCATTCTAACTGGTGTGAGATGGTATCTCATTGTGGTTTTGATTTGGATTTCTCTGATGGCAAGTGATGATATATCTCTGTTTTGGTACCAGTACCATGCTGTTTTGGTTACTGTAGCCTTGTAGTATAGTTTGAAGTCAGGTAGCTTGATGCCTCCAGCTTTGTTCTTTTGGCTTAGGATTGTCTTGGCAATGCGGGGTCTTTTTTGGTTCCATGTGAACTTTAAAGCAGTTTTTTCCAATTCTGTGAAGAAAGTCATTGGCAGCTTAATGGGGATGGCATTGAATCTGTAAATTACCTTGGGCAGTATGGCCATTTTCACAATATTGATTCTTCCTATCCATGAGCATGGTATGTTCTTCCATTTGTTTGTGTCCTCTTTTATTTCACTGAGCAGTGGTTTGTAGCTCTCCTTGAAGAGGTCCTTTACATCTCTTGTAAGTTGGATTCCTAGGTATTTTATTCTCTTTGAAGCTATTGTGAATGGGAGTTCATTCATGATTTGGCTCTCTGTTTGTCTGTTACTGGTGTATGAGAATGCTTGTGATTTTTGCACATTGATTTTGTATCCTGAGACTTTGCAGAAGTTGCTTATCAGCTTAAGGAGATTTTGGGCTGAGAGGATGGGGTTTTCTAAATATACAATCATGTCATCTGCAAAAAGGGACAATTTGACTTCTTCTTTTCCTAACTGAATACCCTTTATTTCTTTCTCTTGCCTGATTGCCCTAGCCAGAACTTCCAACACTATGTTGAATAGGAGTGGTGAGAGAGGGGGTCCCTGTCTTGTGCCGGTTTTCAAAGGGAGTGCTTCCAATTTTTGCCCATCCAGTACGATATTGGCTGTGGGTTTGTCATAAATAGCTCTTATTATTTTGAGCTACATTCCATCAATACCAAATTTATTGAGAGTTTACAGCCAGAAGGGCTGTTGAATTTTGTCAAAGGCCTTTTCTGCATCTATTGAGATAATCATGTGGTTTTTGTCTTTGGTTCTGTTTTTATGCTGGTTTGCGTATGTTGAACCAGCCTTGCATCCCAGGGATGAAGCCCACTTGATCATGGTGGATAAGCTTTTTGATGTGCTGCTGGATTCAGTTTGCCAGTATTTTATTGAGGATTTTTGCTTCAATGCTCATCAGGGATATTGGTCTAAAGTTCTCTTTTTTTGTTGTGTCTCTGCCAGGCTTTGGTATCAGGATGATGTTGGCCTCATAAAATGAGTTAAGGAGGATTCCCTCTTTTTCTATTGAGTGGAATAGTTTCAGAAGGAATGGTACCAGCTCCTCCTTGTACCTCTGGTAGAATTCAGCTGTGAATCCATCTGGTCCTGGACTTTTTTTGGTTGGTAGGCTATTAATTATTGCCTCAACTTCAGAGCCTGCTATTGGTCTATTCAGGGATTCAAATTCTTCCCGGTTTAGTCTTGGGAGAGTGTAAGTGTCCAGGAAATTATCCATTTCTTCTAGGTTTTCTAGTTTATTTGCGTAGAGGTGTTTATAGTATTCTCTGATGGTAGTTTGTATTTCTGTGGGGTCGGTGGTGATATCCCCTTTATCATTTTTTATTGCGTCTATTTGATTCTTCTCTCTTTTCTTCTTTATTTGTCTTGCTAGCGATCTATCAATTTTGTTGATCTTTTCCAAAAACCAGCTCCTGGATTCATTGATTTTTTGGAGGCTTTTTTGTGTCTCTATCTCCTTCAGTTCTGCTCTGATCTTAGTTATTTCTTGCCTTCTGCTAGCTTTGAATGTGTTTGCTCTTGCTTCTCTAGTTCTTTTAATTTTAATGTTAGGGTGCCAATTTTAGATCTTTCCTGCTTTCTCTTGTGGGCATTTAGTGCTATAAATTTCCCTCTACACACTGCTTTAAATGTGTCCCAGAGATTCTGGTATGTTGTGTCTTTGTTCTCATTGGTTTCAAAGAACATCTTTATTTCTGCCATTATTTCATGATGTTCCCAGTAATCATTCAGGAGCAGGTTGTTCAGTTTCCACGTAGATGAGCGGTTTTGATTTTCTTAGTCCTGAGTTCTAGTTTGGTTGCACTGTGGTCTGAGAGACAGTTTGTTATAATTTCTGTTCTTTTACATTTGCTGAGGAGTGCTTTACTTCCAACTATGTGGTCAATTTTGGAATAAGTGCGATGTGGTGCTGAGAAGAATGTATATTCTGTTGATTTGGGGTGGAGAGTTCTGTAGATGTCTATTAGGTCTGCTTGGTGCAGAGTTGAGTTCAATTCCTGGATATCCTTGTTAACTTTCTGTCTCGTTGATCTGTCTAATATTGACAATGGGGTGGTAAAGTCTCCCATTATTATAGTGTGGGAGTCTAAGTCTCTTTGTAAGTCTCTAAGGACTTGCTTTATGAATCTGGGTGCTCCTGTATTGGGTGCATATATATTTAGGATAGTTAGCTCTTCCTGATGAATTGATCCCTTTACCATTATGTAATGGCCTTCTTTGTCTCTTTTGATCTTTGATGGTTTAAAATCTGTTTTATCAGAGACTAGGAGTGGAACCCCTGCTTTTTTTGTTTTCCATTTGCTTGGTAGATCTTCCTCCATCCCTTTATTTTGAGCCTATGACACACATGTCTTTACACACAGAACCGCATACACATAACAGCTATACATACATCCCACACAGTCACATGCACACACATGAAAACATACATACATGCACTTAGGCTGTCTCACATACACAGCTACGTACTTCACACAGGCACACACATTATTATAACAACATGTTTTCTTTTCTTTACAGCCCTTATTCGTTCTCTCAGCTATTTACTGAGTACTTACTGTGTGCTAGCTACTGTTAAAAGTCCTTGAGCTAAATCATTGAACAAAATGGGGAAACATATCTGCCCTCATGAAGCTTAGATTCTAATGGAAGGAGAGAGAGGCAAAAATAGTAAGTAGATATGTTAGCAGGTAGTGAGTATTAGGGAAAATAGTGCCTAGTAATGAGGAGTAGGAAGAACTAACTTGGAGGTGGGTTGCCAATTTGAGAATGTGATCAAGGTAAGCTTCATTGAGAAGTTGACAAAAATATTTAGCAAGGAAATAAAGTAGGAGAGAGAGTTATCCATGTAGATATCTATGAAAAATCAGTCTGAGAAGAGAAAACAGCAAGTGCAGATACCCTAAGGCAGAGTGTGCCTTCAAGAAACAGGAAGAAAGACCATGTAGTTGATGTGCAGTGAATAAGGGTGTAAAGGAACAGGACATAAAGCCAGAGATGAAGAGAGCATGTGAAAATCATACCGGACCTTGAATAATGAGGTAAAAACCCTGAAGTTAATTTTGCATGAAATTGAGATTCACTGGTGGGTTCTGAGGAGAGGTGTGACATGATCTGACCTCTGATTTATCCTTTATGGTATATAAGATGAACTTAATTATTTTACACGTTATTATCTGTCTCACTTCCGAACAGGAATGAATCTGTCATGCTCATCTCTGTGTCTATCTGAGAGTAGCACTCAGTCAATATTTGTTGACTAATTGATAAGGACAGATATTTCCGAGGAGAAAGGTGTTCTGAGGTGCTCCAGTTTGGATGTTTGCTCCCAATAAACCTCATATTGAAATTTGAGATGGAGCCTAACAGGTGTTTGAGTCATGAAGGAGAATCCCTCATGAATAGATTAATGCCCTCCCTCAGGAGTGAGTGAGTCCTAATCCTATTATTCCCCACAAGAACTGGTTGTTGAAAAGAGCCTGGCATCTCCCCACTATCTCTCTTGCTTCCTCTCTCACCATGTCATCCATGCCCATGCCAGCTCCCTTTTACCTTCTACCATGAATAGAAGCATCCCGAGACCCTTGCCAGCTGCAGATGCCCAATCTTGAAATTTCCAGCTATCAGAATCATGGGCCTAATAAATATTTCTGAAATAAATTACCCAGCCTCAGATATTTCTTTATAGCAACAAAAAATGGACTACGACAGGAAATTGTTGCCAGGGAGTAGGGTGTTGCTATAAAGATACCTGAAAATGTGAAAGAAGCTTTGGAACTGGGCAATGGAAAGAGGTTAGAAGAGTTTGGAGGGCTCAGAAGAAGACAAAGAATTGAGAGAAAGTTTGAAACTTCTTAGAGAGTGGTTAAACGGTTGTGACCAAAATGCTGTCAACCTAAAATAGTCAAAAGACTCAGCATCTAGTTAAAAGAGTTCATTGAAGCACAAAGTATGAGTGCAGCCATGTAAGGAGCACAGCTATTCCAAAGAATGGTGAGCAGTTATCCTGGTGTAGGGGAAAATGAGGATTGCTTATACCGGCAAAATGAAGTTGATGAACAAAATTACAACATTTTCCATAAAAAAGGCTAACATATAGATATAAGATTTCATTGGCTACTTTTGATGACAATCTAAGGGCATAGTTTAACATTCTATTAAAAGGAGACAGTCCACAAGGGTCTCTATCTTCATGTTGTTTAGTTCAGATTTGAATAAAGAAGAGTCTAGTTAATGTATAACATCCCAACACAAAGGTCAGAAAGCAACGGTCATGCACCAGAGTCGGGGGAAGTTGTGTTACCTCAGTCAGCTTTCAGGGCTTAGGTTTTCCCTTTTGCACGATAAATTTGGAAGGTCCTAAATTTAAATTTTTTACAATGCTGATAGAAATATGGACAGTACAGGCCATGTTGAAAAAAGTCTCAGATAGAAATGAGAAACATGTTGGGAGCTGGGTCAAAATTGACCCATGTTACTCTGTAGCAAAGAACTCGGGTGCACTGTGTCCATGCCCTAAGGCTTTGTGGAAGGCTGAATCAAGAGTGATGACCTACGGTGTCAGGTGCAAGAGATATCTAAGCAGCAAAGTGTTCAAGAAGTGGTGTGGTTACTTTTAATAGCTTATGCTAAATCGTGACAGCAAAGGAATGACCTAAAGACTGTGTTTATAATTAAAGGTGAAGAACAGCACTAAATTTGGAAAATTCTCAGCCTGGACATAGTGGTAGAGAAGACAAGACAATTTTCAGGAGAGGAATCCAAGGATGTGTCAGAATAACTCTTTGCTAAAGCATGACTAAAAGGGGGCCTGGTGCTAATAGGATAATTAGGAAGAAGGTTCCAAAGGCATTTCAGAAACCTTTGAGGCTGCTCCTCCCATCACAGGCACAGAGACAAAGAAAGACAGAATGGTATTAATTCTGCAGGCACCCAGAATGTAGGAGCCATAGATGCTTTGTGGTAAGATCCTCTACAAAGAATTCCCACTAGGGAAATCCTCATGAAGCCATGGAAATGGGGCCACCCCCAAGACACAGAACTGTAGGATCACCAATTTGCAACTCCAGCCTGAGAGAGCTGAAGCAAGGGCTGAGACCAGCTTTAAGTCAATGTTGGCCAGGCATGGTGGCTCATGCCTGTAATCTCTGGGAGGCCATGATGGAAGGATCACTTAAGTTCAGGAGTTCAAGACCAGCCTGGAGAACATAGTGAGACCCCGTCTCTACAAAACATTTAAAAATTCTCTGGGCATAATGGCATGTGCCTGTAATCCCAGCTGCTCAGGAGGCTGAGGTGGGATCATTGCTTGAGCACGATAGATTGAGGTTGCAATAAGCTGTGATCACACTACTGCACTCCAGCCTGGGCAACAGAGTGAGACCCTATTTCCAAATAAAATAAATATAAAGAGATATAAAGACTTTTTTTCCCTGTTGAGTTTTGGACTTACTTGGACAGTGTTGGGTTGGAACAGGGAAGAGAACATGTCAGACTCTGAGTGTAGCTGGCAGGTGGACCTGATGGCTTTTTCACATCCTTGTGTGAAAGAAAAGAGTCAGGAAAGTCTCTAAGATTTGATGCTGAAAGAGCTGGAGGAATAGGGGTGTCATTTGCTGAGATGGATAAAACCATACCTGGAATGGGAGAGGACAGGGAAGGATATGATCAACCTCTTAGCTTTGGACAAAGTATGTTTGAGATGCCTGTTCGATATCCAGGTGGAGAAGTCAGGCAGATGAGGATGCAGGAGAGAAAACCAGGCTGGATACACACATGTGTGGGCCATTGGCAAGCCACATGGTATCCAAGCTATGACATTTGATGAGGTAATGTACAGAGTGAGTGTGGATGAAGATGAGGAGGAATCAGCCAAAGAGAAGGAAAAAGCAAGAGGAAAACCAGACAAAAGTGGTATGCTGGAACCAAGCAAAGCAAAGAATTAAAAGAGCGTTCATCAAGCCCATGTGAGCTCCATTTCTCTCTCTTTGGTTGAAGCAATAATTTTCTGTCAGTCCTGGGCATAAATCTGCTTCATGCCCCTTGGATTGAAAGTGCAAGTCCAGTTGGCCTCAAATGCGCTAATTTTGTAATGTCTGTAAACTTGGCTAGGAGGACTGCTGTTACTCTTTGAAAGACTCCAAAGTTATCCACTGTCAATGATTAGCTGTGCTGTCTTTCCAAGAGTGCAGGGATTGTGAAGTTGTTTTCTTGAGTTACCGTGCTCTCTTCCAAGGCTGTAGGAATTCTGGAGCTGCTGGCTGGAGAGGAGGGTGGTCCAAGCTCTCCCCAGAAAGACCTCCAGAGAGGACTTGGCAGGTGAGCACTGTTTCAAGGAATGGACTGATGGGGTCATAATCCATGATAATCTCACCAATCTTTTAGAGTCACAGCTGGTGAGAAGAGCAAAAATCCTCACAGAAAAGCAGAAATTCCTAGGGACCATGAAAGACAGTACCTGTCAAGTCTTAGTGAGGAGGAAACACTGGGCAGAGGAAAAGGTACCTTTATCACAGCAACAGGGAGAGACGAGGGCAGCTGGAAAAAGGTGGTAACAGGGGGCTGGGAGTGGGGTGGTTGTCAGAGAAGGATGAATCTCAGAGGAGGTGAGGCCAGAAGAATGAGGAAGAGCCTGTTATGGAAAAAGAGAGGGACCAACAGGTACAAAGGCAATGCGTAGTTCTGCTCAGGAGCAGGTATAGAAATCTTCAATTCTTATTCTGTAGAAAAAAAGGAGACAGAAATGTCAGACACTGTGATGGTTAATACTGAGTGTCAATTGATTGAATTGAAGGATACAAAATATTGACCCTGGGTGTGTCTGTGAGGGCGTTGCCAAAAGAGATTAACATTTGAGTCGGTGGGCTGGGAAAGGCAGACCCACCCTTAATCTGGGTGGGCACCATCTAATCAGTTGCCAGCATGGCTAGAATATAAGCAGGCAGAAAAATATGAAAAGAGAGACTGGCCTAGCTTCCCAGTCTACATCTTTCTTCTGTGCTGGATGCCTCCTGCCCTTGAACATCAGAATCCAGGTTCTTCAGTTTTGGAACTCAAACTGGCTCTCCTTGCACCTCATATATATACTTATATATATGAGTTTATTAAGTATATATATTCCATTAGTTCTGTTTCTCTAGAGAACCCTGACTGATACATATTTTGGTACCAGAAGTGGTTCTAGAGGAATAGTATATTAAGGATGGAGTTGTTTTGTTGGTTTTGGGGTTTATGGAGTTGGCTCCTTAATATGATTAGATCCCAAAATACTAAGGACTTTACTTCTAATAGTATGGAGACCACTGATAGTCCTTGATGTGAACTATTTAAAGAGTTATACAAAATAAATGCATTTGACACTCCTGATTCATTGCTCATGAGAGGCAAGGAATTTAGTGACCCTACACATAATACCTTTGACCATACATGGAGAACCAAGAAACATAATGAAGTTGGTTGGTTGCTCCTAAGTTCAGTGGATAAAGTGATGAAAGAAAATGATGAACTCAGGGATTCTATCTCCCAGCTTCAGAAGCAGATATTGAGCCTCAAATCTGCCAAGATTGCCCTGAGTGAGAGTCTAATCTCCTGTAGAGAAAGAGCTGAAATTGTGGAAAAACAGACATAAGCTCTTATCATGTGAGTGGCTGACCTGCAATGAAAGATGCATGCCCAGCCTCACCAAGTGTCTACTGTTAAAGTGAGGGCATTGATTGTATTGCAGGAAGTCAGGGACCCCGAACAGAGGGACCGGCTGGAGCTGAGGTAGAACATAAATTGTGAAGATTTCATGGACATTTATCAGTTCCCAAAATTAATACTTTTATAATTTCTTACACCTGTTTTTACTGCAATCTCTGAACATAAATTGTAAGATTTCATGAACATTTATCACTTCCCCAATTAACACTCTTATAATTCCTTATGCCTGTCTTTACTTTAATGTCTTAATCCTGTTATCTTCATAAGCTGACAATGTATATCACCTCAGGACCACTATTGTACAAATGGATTGTAAAACGTGTGTTTGAACAATATGAAATCAGTGCATCCTGAAAAAGAACAGAATATCAGTGATTTTCAGGGAACCAGGGAAGATAACTATAAGGTCTGACTGCCTGCAGGGTCAGGCAGAATAGAGCCATATTTTTCTTCTTGCAGAAAGCCTATAGACAGATGTGCAAGTAGGAGAAATATCACTCAATTCTTTTCCCAGCAAGGAACAACCCTGGGGAAGGAATGCATTCATGGGGGTAGGTCTATAGACGGCCACTCTGGGACTGTCTGTCTTATGCGGTTGAGATAAGGACTGAAATGTGTCTTGGTCTCCTGCAGTACCCTCAGGCTTACTAGGATTGGGAAATTCCAGCCTGGTAAATTCTAGTCAGACTGGTTGTCTGCTCTCGAACCCTGTTTCCTGTTCAGATGTTTATCAAGACAATGTGTGCACAATGGGACATAGACCCTCATCAGTAATTCTAATTTTGCATTTGCCTTGTGACCTTTATCGCCCTTTGAAGCACATGATCCTTGTGACCTACTCCCTGTTCGTACACCCTCTCCCCTTTTAAAATCCCTAATAAAAACTTGCTGGTTTTGTGGCTTGAGGTCGCCATCATGGTCCTACCAATATGTGATGACACCCCCGGAGGCCCAGTTGTAAAATTTCTCTCTTTGTACTCTTTCTCTTTATTCCTCAGACCATCTGACACTTAGGGAAAATAGAAAGAACCTATGTTGAAATACTGGGGGCTGTTTCCCCTGATAAATTGGAAAATAATAAGACCCTGCAATTTGGAATGGGAACATGTGGGAGGACCTTGGTGAAGCTGGGGACACTGAGTTTGTAAACTCTGGTGAACTTTTTTTGCCAGAAGAAACAGCTTCCCACCCACCCAGTAGTGGCAGCATTCCCTCCCTAACCCATGCTGCCATCAGCCTTTCCACCTTTGTCTGAGGGGATAAATTCTGCACTGCCTGAGGCAACAGTGATGGCCTCCTCTGAGGTGGTTGCCAAGCAAGACAATGTTGATTCTCCTCAGGAGCCACCCCCAACACTCCTGTTTGCTTCTAGACTTATAACTAGACTAAAGTCCCTGTGGGCCCCTAGAGGTGAGGTTGAGAGTGTGACACATCAGGAGGTTCACTACACTAGATAATAACTGCTTGAGTTTTTAATTTATATAAACAGAAATCTGGAGAACAGACATGGGAATGGATATTAAGGGTGTGGGATAATGGTGGAAGGAACATAGAGTTGAATCAATCTGAATTTATGGATTTGGGCCCATTAAGTAGGGATTCTTCATTTAATATTGTGGCTTGGGGAGTTAGAAAATGTTATAATAATTTATTTGCTTGGTTAACTGAAATATGGATTAATAGATGGCCCACCATGAGCAAGCTAGAAATGCCTGATCTCCCCTGGTTTAATGTAGAGGAAGGGATCCAAAGACTTAGGGAGATTTGGATGGTGGAGTGGATTAGTCGCTTTAGACCTACTCTTCCCAGCTGGAAGCATCCAGAAGATGTACCCTTGACCAATGCCTTACAAAATACATTTGTGAGGGCAACACCTGCCTCTTTGAAGGACCCTGTAATTGTTCTTCTCTGTATGTCAGATCTAACAGTGGGAACTGCAGTCACTCAACTACAAAATTTAAATACAATGGGAATAATTGGATCCTGAGGTGGCAGGAGCCAAGTGGCAGCACCCATCCATCAAAGGCAAGGTGGACATCGCTACTGTAATGGACAGCAGAGGCAAAGTGGCAATTAGCGTAGTCTGACTCATGTAGAGCTCTGGCATTGGCTAATTAATCACAGCGTTCCCAGAAATGAAATTGATAAGAAGCCTAATTTATGCAAGCAGAAAACTTCTAGGTCAAATGGACAAAAGACTAATTTGAATTATAAAAACAGAATCATGGCTCCTCAATCATTTTCCAGACTTGAGCCAGTTTACAGACCCAGAACACCTTGAATAAAGGGGAGGCCTGGTCCCCTTGAGCAAGGACCCCACTACATTACCAACAATTTATGCAGTGAATCTTTATCCCATCCTTCCCCAAGGAGACCTCCGGCCTTTTACTAGGGTAACTATGCACTGGGGAAAGGGAAATTATGAGACATTTAAGGGACTACTGGACACTGGCTCTGAGTTGATGTTGATTCCAGGGGGCCCAAAACGTCATTGTGGTACTCCAGTTAAAGTAGGGGCTTAGGGAGGTCAGGTGATTCATGGAGTTTTAGCTCAGGTCCAACTTAAAGTGTGTCTAGTCGGTCCCTGGACTCATCCTCTGGTCATATACAAAACACTGCTGAAAGAAATCATAGATGACACAAACATATGGAAACACATCCTATGCTCATGGATGGGTAGAATAAATGTGGTAAAAATGACTATATTGCCAAAAGCAATATACAAAATCAGTGCAATTCCCATTAAAATACCACCATCATTCTTCACAGAACTAGAAAAAATAATCCTAAAATTTATATGGAACCAAATAAAGAGTCCTCATAGCCAAAGCAAGACTATCCAAAAAGAACAAATCTGGAGACATCACATTACCTGATTTCAAAATATACTATAAGGCCATAGTCACCAAAACAGCATGGTCCTGGTATAAAAATATACACATAGCTACTCGGGAGGCTGAGGCAGGAGAATGGCGTGAACCCAGGAGGCGGAGCTTGCAGTGAGCCGAGATCGCGCCACTGCACTCCAGCCTGGGCTGGGCGACAGAGCGAGACTCCGTCTCAAAAAAAAAAAAAAAAGAACCATGGAACAGAAGGAACAGAATAGAGAACCCAGAAATAAACCCAAATACTTACAGTCAACTGATCTTCGACAAAGCAAACAAAACCATAAAGTGGGGAAAGGACACCCTATTCAACCAATGGCTCTGGGATAATTGGCAAGCCACATGTAGAAAAATGAAACTGGATCTTTGTATGTCACCTTATAGAAAAACCAACTCAAGATGGAGCAAGGACTTAAATCTAAGACCTGAAACTATAAAAATTCTAGAAGATAACATCAGAAAAATCCTTCTAGACATTTGTTTAGGCAAAGATTTTATGACCAAGAAGCCAAAAGCAAATGCAACAAAAACAAAGATAAATAGATGGGACTTAATTAAGCTAAAGAGCTTTTGCATGGCAAAAGGAATAGTCAGCAGAGTAAACAGACAACCCACAGAGTGGGAGAAAATCTTCACAATCTATACATCCAACAAAGCACTAATATTCAGAATCTAGAAGGAACTCAAACAAGAAAAATAAGAAAACAAAAAATCCCATAAAAAAGTGGGCTAAGGACATGAATAGACAATTCTCAAAAGAAGATCCAACATACATATGAAAAAATGCTCAACATCACTAATGATCAGGGAAATGCAAATCAAAACCACAATGCAATACCACCTTATTCTTGCAGGAATGGCCATAATAAAAAAATTTAAAAAATTATGGATGTTGATGTGGATGTGGTGAAAAGGGAACACTTCTACACTGCTGGTGGGAATGTAAGCTAGTACAACCACTATGGAAAACAATGTGGAAATTTGTCAAAGAACTAAAAGTAGAACTACCATTTGATCCAGCAATCCCACTACTGGATATCTACCAAGAGAAAAATAAGTCATTATATGAAAGAAGTCACTGCACATGCACATTTATAGTAGCACAATTCACAATTACAGGAATATGGAACCAGCCCAAATGCCTGTCAATCAACAAGTAAAGAAACTTGGGTATATATATATAATATTTACATATTTTATAAATATGTTTAATATTTCTATATAAATATATAACATATATTTTATATATAGTAGTATAGTATATATAATTATATAATATATGATATATATATGAAATATAGCATATATACATTTTATAATTATATAATATATAATATAATATATAATACTATGTATATATTTTATATATCTATATATACTATATATTACATAGTGTGGCTATATATAGTATATATAAAGCATAAAATATATAAAATATATTTGTATATTTTTATATATATTTATATTGTATATAATATATAATATATTTTGCCACACTCCTGTGCCTTTCTTCCTTCCTTCCAAGCTCATGAACATATAACATATATATTTTATATATATATATATATAAAAAATCTTCCATGAAGGCAGTATGGTATGGGAGAGAGACACCATGAGCTTGGAGGGAAGAAAGGCGCAGGAGTGTGGCAATACGTATTATGTAAAATATAAATATATATAAAATATGTAAATATTTATATATAAAATATGCAAATATTTATATATAAAATATTTTAAAATATATAAAATATATAAAAACATATATTTTATAACATTTTATATATAAAAATATAAATTTTTATATATTTTTATATATTATATTTATATACTATATATGGCCACACCATATAATAGTTTACTATGTACCTCTATATATAATATTGTATATATTATATAATAGTATAGTGTTATATATCTATACATAACATACTATTATATATTATATATTATATTATTATATATCATATATTATATATCTATATATACACTATACTATTATATATATAAATTCACTCTGAGAACTAGAACAAGACATAAATGCTCACTCTCACCACTTAGATATAGATATATAATAGTATAGTATATATAGATATAGATATAATATATAGTATATAGTATATTATATATAACATATTTATAATATAACATATGGATATATTATATATTACATTATATTTTATATAATATATTATATATATAATATCCATATATTACACATATCTATATATTATATATAACATAGTATGTATATAATGTATATATCTATATTGCCACACTCCTGTGCCTTTCTTCATTCCAAGCTTATGGATTTTTTTAATATATATATATAAAATATATATATCATCTTCCATGAAGACAGCATGGTATGGGAGAGAGACAGCATGAGCTTAGAAGGAAGAAAGGCACAGGCATGTGGCAATATATATAATATCCATATAATATATATTATATAAAATGTAAATATATATGAAATAGAATTTTTCATATTTCATATATACTATATATAATGCATACATAGTATATATAATATATAGTATCATATATAGGGTATATATATATAATGAAATACTACTCAGCCATAAATAGGAATGACTTAATGGCATTTGCAGCAATCTGGATGGGATTGGAGACCATCGTTCAAAATGAAGTAATTCAGGAATGGAAAACTAGACATCATATATTCTCACCCATAAGTGGGAGCTAAGCTATAGATTGCAAAGGCATGAGAATGATACAATGAACTTTGGTGACTTGGGGGAAATGATGGGAAGGAGGTGAGGAATAAAAGGGTACAAAGTGGGTTAAATGTATACTGTTAAGTGTATACTGTAAGTGTTCAGTGTATACTCCTCAGGTGATGGGTGCACAAAAAAGTCACAAGTCACCAATAAAGAACTTATATAGAAACAAAAATTATGACAGCTACAATTTCCAAAGTGACTGTATTAGGTCCTGCACACTAGATGCATAGGATCTGGGATTTAGGATGTATCAGTCCAGATTCAATTTAAAGAAAAGAATGCTACTTGTATTAGATAGCATTTGCTATAGTAACAAACACCCTATACATCCTAGTAGCTTTTGGTCATACATATTTTCCCCCTATGGGTCTGTGTGTTGCTAGCGGCCATTCTAGGCTCAGCTCAACTCCACATTTCTTGTTGTTCTGAGTCCCAGTCTGAAAGTACAGCATGAGCTGGGTTATGCAAGTCTCAGGCAGAGGGGAGAAATGTGAGAGTTTCTGATGAACCATACAATCCCAGACACTCACATCTCATTGACCAAAGCATATTTCATGAGCAAGCCAAAGTCAATGAGAGGTGGATACATATTCTTCCTCCTGAAGGCACTGGGAAGTCACATAAAAATGAATGGGGATTTATAATCCTGGAATAGGAAGGGAGTGAATTTCTGGGAACAACAATACAATACCCACTGTATTTTAGCGCAAAGGGATTTATTATATGAAATTGGGTGTTCACAAAACTGTCAGAAGTGTTGAAGACATAGGATCTAGGATTGGGTCTGTATCATCTTGTGCCTTTAGAAAACAGCACCCCACAAGGAGACTGAAACAGATGCTGAGTGCCAATTTACTCATAACCACAGCAAATTAATTCCTGGAAAGAATCCTATAAGGTTGGGATGAATCTCCTGAAGCTGCTGATGATCAGTAGAGCAATCTGTTAAAGAAGCTCTCATCTGTGTCTCTTCTTTCTTTTACAGGTCTGAACATGCATTGGCTGCGAAAAGTTCAGGGACTTTGCACCCTGTGGGGTACTCAGATGTCCAGCCGCACTCTCTACATTAATACTAGGCAACTGGTGTCCGTGCAGTGGGGCCACCAGGAAGTGCCGGCCAAGTTTAACTTTGCTAGTGATGTGTTGGATCACTGGGCTGACATGGAGAAGGTAATGGGGTGGAAAAGAGGCACAAAGTGAGACAATTCGGTTGGCTTTTAAAATTCATCCATTAATTCAGTAAATATTTGTTAAGTACTTATTACATGTAAGGCACTGTAATATGCTATGGACAAAACACTCATCTTCCATGAAGGCAGTAGAGTATGGGAGAGAGACTGCATGAGCTTGGAAGGAAGAAAGGCGCAGGAGCGTGGCAACCTGGTAACTCCCTGACAGCCAACACACAGTTTGTTTACACTGTATGTAGACTGTGCATGCTCTGTTGTGACCTCCCAGGGTGAAATGAGGACTAGTGGTCTGGGGTCGTAGAAGAGGTAGGTTTGAATCTAATAACAGCAAATTAAGCCTGGGCAACACAGGAAGACTCTGTCTCTACCAAAAATTTTAAAACAAAATTAGCCAGGCATGGTGGTGCATACCTGCGGTCCTAGCTACTCAGGAGGTTGAGGTGGGAAGATTGCTTGAGCCCAGGAGTTGGAGGCTGCAGTGAACCATGGTCACACCACCACACTCCACAGAGTGAGATCCTGTCTCTCAAAAAAGTGGGGGGCGAATTAGCACTGATCAAAGACTGAGTCTTCCCAGAAAGTTAGGTCACGTGTCCCTGTCAATACAGGTGTGCAAGTAAGATAGTTATGAGGCAACAGTTATCAAAAGGGCTTCAATATGAGACATCCAAGAAATAAAAAGTTGAAGAAATTTCTGATTTTCCTTCCCAGCCCTGAGCTTCTAGACTTTTAATCCATTCACTGCTGATCCATCAATTGCCTTCACCTGAAGTCCTGTGACTCTGTAGGATGGAAGGATTCATTCTGGCTAGGGGTAGGGGAAGGGGTGGAGCTACCAGCATGGGCTTAATACATTGGTGCAAAAAGTCATGATTATGACATGATGTCCTAAGTTCCCAACACTATGAAACAGTCTTTGTGTGGAGATTGCAAATGCCTTGCCTCTAGACTGAAGACAGCCCTAGGTGTGGGTACTCTTAAAAAAAAACATAAGGTTAACATTTTAAAATTGAAAATTTTCAAACAAAAATTTAGATTTCTGGATTTTTTTAAAGTTATACTTCCTTTAAATATGAGGAAGGCCCTTTAAATATTGAGGAAGGCCCTTACTACCATGACTCACCATTCTGAATCCGTAAAAGTAAACTTGCTATATAAACATAAAAAAATTTATCCATTCACAGATAACACCATTAGCAAAATAAATGACTAATGACAACTGTGGGGAAAATATTCAACTCATATGACAGCAAAAAGTTAATAATATGAAATGAGCTTGTAGAAACCAAGAATAAAAGGGTGCAACTCATTATAAAACTGGGCAAAGTATATGAACAGATAGTTCACAAAAAAGTGAACTCAAATGGCCATTAAACATAAAAAAATTATCACCTCCCTCATAATAAGAGTAAAGCAACTGAAAATTTTACTGAAATAACATTTTTGCACCTATCTTGTTAGTGAAATACAAAAGATTTTTTTTTCTTTCAGAAAAATAGTTTAATTATCACAAGGCCTCTTAGTGGAAGGATGGGAGATATTTCTCAAATCTGCCCCCTTGAGAGCTCAGAGACTAGGGTTATCAAAAGACAATTTGGTGGGCAGGGGGCTAAGGAATGGGTGCTACTGATTGGTTGGGAATGAAATTATAGAGATGTGAGAAATGTCTTCAAGTGCTGAGTCTGTTTCTGGGTAAGGCAGTCACAGGACAGGTAAAGTCAGTTCCTTGCTATAGAGTCATGGGTCTAGGTAGTGTCACTACATTTTCCAGAATGCAAATGTCTGAAAAATATCTCAAAGGCCAGTCTTAGATTTTACAATAGTGATGTTATCTACAGGAGCTATTGGTGAAGTTACAAAGTGTGGCTTCTGGTTACATGACTCCTAAGCAGTAAGCAAGCTAGGGAACAACAGCTGGTTACTGCTTGACTATGCTTAGAGCTTAGCAGAATTGAGGTCCCTATCATCTGCCATAATTCTAATGCCGTGGAATTGCATTAATTTCACAAAGGGGTTTAGGTCCACGAACAAGAAGGGAGTTGGTTTCAGGAAGAGACTATTGTCATCGTTGCTTTAAAGTTAAATTATAAACTAAATTCCTCCCATAGTTAGTTTGGTCTATGCCCAGGAATGAGCAAGAACAAAATACAAAGGTTTAACAACTCTATTGGCAAGGCTGTGAAGAAACAGACACTCTCATGTGTTACCACAAGGTGGTGTAACTCTGATGGAGCCAAATTTTGAAATATCTAATAAAATTGCCAACATGTTTTCTCTTTCATTTTGCATCATTACTCTCAAACTATGATCTGAGAACCCCTGAGGATCCATGAGACTCTTTCAGGGGATATGCGAAGAGTCTATTTTACAATAAAACAGAGAAAATAGAACCCTTGTGCATCATGATGGGTATGTAAAATGTTACAGCTATTATGGAAAACAATATGACATTTTCTCAAAAAATTAAAAAATAGGATTACCATTTGGCAATTCCAACTCTGGGCATACACCAAAAAAACCTTAAAATCAGGGTCTCCGAGAAATATGTGTACACTCATGTTCACAGTAGCTTTATTCACAGTAGTTGAAAGGTTAAACGGCCCAAATACTTACTAACAAATAGACAAAAAATCTCTTTAAAATATATTATTGTATTTTTCAATGTGAGAAGGACACGAGAATTGGAAGGGCAGGAGCAAAGTGATATAGTTTGGATATTTGTTTTCTCCAAATCTCATGTTGAAATGTAATCCACAGAGTTGGAGGTAGGGCCTGGTGGAAGGCATATGGATCATAGGGGCAGGTCCAACACCAATGACTTAGCACCATCCCCTTGGCTATGCATGAGTTCATGAGGGATCTTGTTGTTTAAACAAACGTGGTACTTCCCTATGCTCTCTCTCTCTTGCTCCTGATCTTGCCATGTGATGCACCTGCTCCCCGTTCACCTTGTTCCATGATTGTAATCTTCCTGAGGCCCTCACCAGAAGCAGATGTCAGCACCATGCTTCCTGTACACCCTGCATAACTGTGAGCCAATTAAACTTTTTTCTTTATAAATTACCCAGTGTCAGATATTCCTTTATAGCAATGCAACAACAGCCTAATACAATACCTTATATAAATGAAATCATACAGTATTTGTTCTTTTGTATCTGACTTATTTCCCTTAGCATGTCTTCAAGGTTTATCCATGTGGTAACATAAGTCAGAATTTCCTTCATTTTTAAGGCTGAAATAATATTCCATTGTTACATATATTCAAAATTATTTATCTATTCATCAAACATTCAGGTCAAATCTTGAATGCTTTGTTGCTTAAAAATCTCTTCTGTCAGATTTCCTAAGTCATTACTCTTAAGTTATAACTTCCACAGATCTCTAGACTATGAATACAATGCAGACAAGTTCTTTGCTAAAGTATAGGAAGGGGGACCTTTGCTTCAGTTCCCTAAAAGTTTCTTATTTCCATCTGAAATCTGGTCAGCCTGGATTTCACTGTCCATAATTCTATCAGCATTTTGGTCACAACTATTTAACTGGTGTCTAAGATGTTCCAAACTTTTCCTCATCTTTCTGTCTTCTTCTAAGCCCTCCAAACTCTTCAATTTCTTCCCATGACCAGTTCCAGAGTTACTTCTACATCATCAGGTATCTTTATAGCAATATCCCACTTCTGGTACCAGTTTTCTGTATCAGGCTGTTCTTATGTTGTTGTAAAGGACTACCTGAGACTACGTAATTTATAAAGAAAAGAAGTTTAATTGGCCCAAGTTCTGCACAGTGTACAGGAAGCATGGTGCTGGCATCTGCTTCTGATGAGGGCCTCAAGAAATTTACAATCATAGTGGAAGATGAAGAAAGAGCAGGCACAACAAAGGGCAAGATCAGGAGCAAGACAGAGAGTGAGAAGGTGCCACTCACTTTTAAACAACCAGGTCTTATGTAAACTCATTTATCACCAAGGGGATGGTGCTAAGCCATTCATGAGGGACCTGTCCCCATGATCCAATCACGTCCCACCAAGCCCCACCTCTGACATTGGGGATTGCATTTCAACATGAGACTTGGAGAGGACAAATATTCAAACAATATCATGTATCTAGAATAGTCAGATTCATAGAGACAGAAAGTAGAATGGTGTTTATCAGGGCCTAAGGGGAGAGAGGATGAGGGGTGATTGTGTAATGGGGACAGAGTTTTCACTTTGGATGATGAAAAAGTTCTGGAGATGGATGGTGGTGATTGTTGCATAACAATGAGAATGTACTTAATGCCACTGAACCATACACTTAAAAATAGTTAAAATTGGAAATGTTATGTTATATGTATTTTTACCACAAAATTAAAATAATAAGTAAATAGAGATATAAATAAACCTAAAGCGATATTTGCCTTTTTATTCTAATTCTTTCATGAGTATTCAATAGCATTTTCCAGAAGGTACATGTTGGTACTCACAACAGAGTGAATGCAGAAGCAGATGAGAGGATCCAATGTTATTCTCCTAAAACATTAAAGTTAATTGCAGAATAAATAGATGCAATAAATAAATAAAATAATGCCACTTTCCTCATTATTTTTTCATTTTGAAAAGTATACTTTATCATTATAAAAAATTATGCATGCTAACATATAATGGGTTTATTACTATTATTTCTGAAAGCATGCATTTATAAAAATTCTGTTTTAATATCAACTATGGTAGATATTGATAGATATAATTCACATAAATAACAACTCTTTAGGGTTTTCAATACTTTTTAAGACTGTATGGAGGTGCTGAGATAAAAAAGCTTACTAAGCACCAACTTGGCAATCCCAAGACTTGGAATTTATCCTACCTACTTGTGTACCAGTGCCCCCTAATCAACAGGGCTTCTCTTTCTTCAGGCTGGCAAGCGACCCCCGAGCCCAGCCCTGTGGTGGGTGAATGGGAAGGGGAAGGAATTGATATGGAATTTCAGAGAATTGAATGAAATCAGCCAACAGGCAGCCAACGTCCTCTCGGAAGCCTGTGGCTTGCAGCGTGGGGACCGTGTGGCAGTGGTGCTGCCCCGAGTGCCTGAGTGGTGGCTGCTGATCTTGGGCTGCATTCGAGCAGGTTGGTAACTGACTACCTTGACAGAGAACTGTCTTCCTTGTGAAGAAAACTGATAGCAGAGAAATGCAGCCACCTCTTCCAAAAGAAGTCCCCTCCTTGGAGCATGCTGTCCTCTCTCATATGAAGAAAGGCATCTCCCTTCTTCCACTTATTTAAGCAAACTATGTGCCAAGCACTTATGCAGAGTGAACAACTACAACGGCATAATTTACATATTCATGGGACTTACAGACCTTTGGAGAAAGCTCTTGAACTATTAATTGCACATATAAGTATTTAATCAGAATTATAATAAGTGGCATGAGAATTCTATTAAAATCTATTAAAACAAATTTGGCAGACTGTGACCTGCAGGCCAAATCCTGCCCACAGCTTGTTTTTGTAAATGAAGTTTTATTGTAACACAGCTATGCCCACTTGTTTCCATATTATATGTGGCTGCATTTGCACTATAGTGGCAACTTGAGTGGTTGGAACAAGAGAGTATCTGATCCATAAAACCTAAAATATTTACTATTTGGCCCTTTGCAGAAAAAGTTTGCCAATGCTGGTCTAAAAGAAGACTTGAATTAACCAATATGAGGAGTAACAAAGTCTCCATGGAAGTGATATTTGAGCTGAGATCTGCAGGATGAGTAGGATTTTGCCAAGAGATAGAGAGGGTTGTGCCAAGCAAAGGGAACAGCATATGTGAAGATGTAATCATCTGATGATTTCTGCCCAGAAAAGCCAAACACTGAAAACAGTAGGAGTTGCAGTAGAGAAGAGTTTAATAATTGCATAGACAGCCAAGCTGAAGGATGGAGGATGTTTCTCAAATCCACCTCCCCAGGAAATCAGAGACCAGAGTTTTTCAGGGATGCTTTGGCATGCAGGAGGCTAGGGAATAGGAAATGCTGATATGTTTGGCTGGGGATGAAAACATGGGTTCAAACTGTCTTCTTGTACTGAGTCAACTCCTCAGAGATCACAGAACTGGTTGAGTTAGTTTCTTGGTATCAGTTACTGGTCTGGGTAGTGCAAGCTGGTCCATCAGAATGCAAGGTCTGAAGAACACCTCAAACATCAGTCTTAGGTTTTACCATAGTGAAGTAATCTACAGGAGAAATTGGGGAGGTTACAAATCTTGTGACCTCTGGCTCCATGACTCCTGAACTATAATTCTAGCCTTGTGACCAATTTGTTATTTTTCCAAAGGCAGTTTCAGTCTCCAAGCATGGAGGGAGGTAGTTTCAGGAAGGAGCTATTATCATTTTTATTTTAAAGTTAGACTATAAGCTGGATTCCTCCCATAGTTAGCTTGGACTATGTCCAGGAATGAGCAAAGACAGATAGCTTATGAGGTTGGAAACAAGATGAAGTCAGCTGTGTCAGATTTCCCTCAGTGTCATAATTTTTGCAGAGGCATTTTCAAAGTCACAGGGGAGGGAAGCTTGGAAATTACAAAAGAACCTAAAAGGATATCTGTGTGCCTAAAGTCCAGGCCATAAAAAGAAAGTAGTGGCAATAGAATGAACATGTAAAGGTGGCCAGGTGCTAAATTGGCAGTGCCTTGTGGGCCATGGTAAGAGTTGTAGACATTTATCCAGTGGTGAATGGAAAATGATTGATGGATTGAGTAACACTCAACCATTGATGCATTGAGTGACATGATCATCCTCTGGATGGTCATACTGGATGCTCAATAGGGAATGGGATGAAGAAGGCAATAGTGGGATTGGAAATCTCCAATAAGAGATGAAGGAATGGTGATGGCTTCAATTTGGTTGAGGTAGTGGAGATGGAGATAAGTGGATTTAACAGGCAATTGAGGGGAACGAATAACAGCGTTTTTCAAGGAAGACATGAGGGAGAGAGAGAGAAGTCACAGACATTTCAGCAAGTGGGTGGATGGTGCTGTTTTTCACTGGAGTGAAGAACACAGATATAGAAAGAGATATGGATGTGTTAGGAAAAGACGACAAGTTCAATTTGGGCATGTTGAGTCCGGGATGTCCATGTGATGTTCCAGAAGTGATGACAAGTTGAATTTAAGGGTCTAAAATCTGAGGTGGAGACAGAAATTTGAGAATCATCAACTTTTACATTAAAAGGATGAGAAGTACAGTGGTATAAAAAAGAACCTCAAGAAACTCCAGCAACCTCCTTCACAAACTGCCCTTTCCACCTCTGTTTGCACACAGCCTAACCCCAACTGAAAATTCCCAACCACCCCATATTCTGGGGACAATGGGCTGAGCATGAGAGTGGGTAAAGAGAAAGACATACATGCAGCCAGGAATTAGAAACTATCAGAGGCAACCAAACCAATTGCAGGAACCTGGAAGCCCATGGAAAGAGAGAACAAGTCAGAAAGAAAGGTGACATACTGAAATTATAGCCAGACGGAAAGGAGAACCCAGAGGAAAAGTTGTGTCTATTGTTCTGTGTCTGACTCAATATGACCACCATGGTAGAGAAACATTCGAGGATATTTACAGGTGTGCAGTGAGAATCCCAAAGTGTTGAGAGTGGGAAGAAAGTGAGCTAAGATTAAAAGCTATTTAACAGGAGGGGCATGTGGTTTAAGCTTCATAAAAAATGAAACCTGTGTAGTTTTTCTTTTTTTTCTTTTCTTTTCTTTCTTCCTTTCTTCCTTGCTTTCTTTTTCTTTCTTTCTTTTCTTTCTTTTTTTTTTTTTTTTGATGGAGTCTCCCTCTGTAGTCCAGCCTGGAGTGCAGTGGTGCAATTTTGGCTCACTGCAACCTTTGCCTCCCAGGTTCAAGCAATCCTCCTGCCTCAGCCTCCAGAGTAGCTGGGATTACAGGCATGTGCGACCAAGCCCAGACAATTTTTGTATTTTTTGTAAAGCTGGGGTTTCGCCACGTTGGCCAGGCTGATCTTGAACTCTTGACCTCTAATAATTCGCCTTCCTTGGCCTCCCAAACTGCTAGGATTACAGGCATGAGCCACCATGCCTGGCCCTAAGTCTAGTTATTCTACAGAAGATTTTAAAAATCAAAGGAGTCTCATTAAGATAGTAATGAAGAACTAGAATTTAGGAAGGTGATAATCATGGGGTATAAAACCTCAGTTATGTGCAAGGAATAAGTCTAATTTTTAAAGATAAATTGTACAGCATGCTAAATATAGCTAATAATTGAGTACTGTAAATTTCAGTATCATTAAGAGCAAAAATTTCTAATGTTCTCATCACAAAAAAATGTTAAATACTTGAGGTGATGGATATGTTAATTTGCTTAATTTAATCATCTCACATTGTCTTCAAAAATTATAATACCACTTTGTACCCAATAAATATACACAACTATACTTTGTGTGTGCATGTATATGTAAAACTGAAGGCACTCTCATCTAAGAAAAATGCGTTTAGTGTCCCAGGGTTGAAAGAAATAGCCAGGACCTAGAGCTATTGGTGTTTCAAGACCATGGATAATTCCAAGTGCCTTTCTTCATGATTCTTTAGTTATCATATAAGAGTTTTTAATACAGCAAACTCCTGTAGAAATTTTTTTTTTGAGGGGTGAGAATGGGTGAGGAGAATTGTATGTGTCTTAGACTGTCAAGGGTGTGACATTAGCATTTCAATTTCTTTTCTTTGTCTCAGTAGGGCCCTTAAGACTCTGACAACCCAGGGAATCCTAGGTTAAATTCACTCCCTATTCCTTAGTCCTCTTTTTTGTTGACACTCTCCATTGGTCATTACTTCCCCATCCTCTCCTTCCACACTTTCTCCCTGCTTGATGTTTATATCAGGCTTCTCTACGGACAAAGAAAACCATCCTTTCCAATTCTCTAAACTGTTGGCTTCTTTAGGTCTCGTCTTTATGCCTGGAACCATCCAGATGAAATCCACCGACATACTGTATAGGTTGCAGATGTCTAAGGCCAAGGCTATCATTGCTGGGGATGAAGTCATCCAAGAAGTGGACACAGTGGCATCTAAATGCCCTTCTCTGAGAATTAAGTTACTGGTGTCTGAGAAAAGCTGGGATGGGTGGCTGAACTTCAAGAAACTATTAAAGTGAGTATCTACATGTCTCAGCCTGGGTTTTAACTAAAACTGGAAACAGAGCCAAGCACTTAGGTGCAGGTGCTTTATTGAGGAGGTGCAGGAAGCAGAGCATGGGACTAGGAAGAGTGAAGCTGGGAAGAAATAAAAGCTAATGCAAGAGTTTGGTTTTTTTTTTTTTCTTCAAGTCATTGCAAGGACTAAATAGGGCTTGATCTCCCTGGACCTTCTGAGCAGCACATATAATGCCTCCCAGGATTGTCCTCTAAAGGACTGAAAAGCACTGAGCCATCAGCATCTGACCCCCACAGGCTGAGGGTTGCCCTGGGGGTGTTATTGCCTCCACACGCTGGGCTGCACACTCATGCATGAAAAGTGGCTCAGAGTTCCATGCTATGGTAAAACAGAGAAACTATGGGGCACAAAGTGAATCACTTGTGGTGCACACTGGAAACAACATGGTGTTAACACCAAGTGGGTTGAAACCCACCCAGAACTATTCACTGGAACTATGACTCAAATCAGGGGTGAGGCCAAGGTCATGAGGGAAAACCTAAGAGATGGCTGATACACTGAGTTTCTAGACTCTTCTTCCCACCTTCTGTATCTCTAACAGAGGTTGATGAAGGGCAGAGTCTCTCCATGTGTCCTTCCAAAAGTTGATAGCATGATTGGCTGGATTAATGATTTTCTCTGTCACATGTCTGAAATCTGAAATCCCTCTATGAGGGGCACATATGATTGGAAACTTGAAGGGATAACTTCAGCTTTTCCTTTTTTAATGCCATAGTCTTTAAGGTAGATGTCATAGAAATAAATAATATGATGCCTGCTTTTTCTTTTTAGATGGATTCTCACTCTGTTGCCCAGGCTAGAGTGCAGTAGCACGATCTCAGCTCACTGCAAGCTACGCCTCCCGGGTTCATGCCATTCTCCTGCCTCAGTCTCCTGAGTAGCTGGGACTACAGGCGCCCACCACCACGCCCGGCTAATTTTTTGTATTTTTAGTAGAGATGGGGTTTCACCATGTTAGCCAGGATGGTCTCGATCTCCTGACCTCGTGATCTGCCTGTCTTGGCCTCCCAAAGTGCTAGGATTACAGGCGTTAGCCTCCATGCCCGGCCAATGCCTGCTTTCAAAGGCTCAAAATCAGGACACTGGAGATGTCCAAGAGATGTGTAGGTGCTTCCAGGGAATAGAAGAGAGTGCCAAGAAAGTACTTAGAAAACTCATATTAATTCCACACCTCCGTCCACTTGGTGTCACGCCAGGGCTCTTCACAACAATTAGATTAGCATTTATTGAGTTCTTGCTAAGCAAGTTGCTCATTTCTTTGGTGGTAGAGTTAACTTTCTCAGTAACTCTATTAGACTTGATCTCACTTTTTGCAGATATAAAGTGAGACACAGGGAAGTTAAATAACTAGTTTAGGGTTGCATTGATAACAAAGTGCCAAATTTGAGTGGTTTTCAAACCCAACTCTGATTGACTCAGACTCCCATGATATTAATCACTCAGCAGCCTCTCTTCTGAGGTGGTTCGATCAACTTGCTTTTTTCAGCACAGTGGGTGGTGGGAAAAGATGGGTCACTGTGATATCTGGTGTCCAGGCTAGATCTGAGAAAATGACAATCTCTGTCTCTGTCAGCGAGGCATCCACCACTCATCGATGTGTAGAGACTGGAAGCCATGAAACAGTTGCCATCTACTTCACTAGTGGGACCAGTGGGCTTCCCAAGATGGCAGAACATTCCCACTCAAGCCTGGGTCTCAAGGCCAAGATGGATGCTGGGTAAGCTGAGCTCTCTCTCTCTACAGAGAATTGTATGACGAGGCATGAAGACTTTTCTGAGTTCAAATCCAGTGCTCCTAGGCTGGGCTACCACCTTGTGGTTCTGAGAAAGAAAATTCAGAAGGAAAGCTAAAGAGGACATGGCTTCACGTGCTGGGTATCCAGTGATCTCCAATGGGACACATCTTTTAGATAACACAGGGTCTCAAAACTTCTTCCAGGTGTTGAGCCATATGCCTAGCAGGGTGAATAATTAGCAAAAGGCTTACATGCATTTCCCCAGACTGATCTCTATGTTGTTGTTTGGGGTGCTGGCAATTTGCTTTGATACTGTCCACGTTCCAAGAGGGCAGTTTTTGTCAGCGGCAAATTACTTTGCAAATTCATTGAAGTGGAAGATATAATTGGATAAATTTGTGAACAAAGATCTCAGGATTTCTGGGTCACAGACCTCATAGTTGGGGATTTTTTTTTTCCACTGCTACATTAATCCCATTTGTGGAATCATGAAACACTGTGCCAAGGTCTTCACACAATGATATCTATAAATCATCAGAATTTTTTTAGTAGATCCCTCCTTCCATGTTAATTTTATTATTAGAATGGGAAAATATAATAATGCAAAAAATGGAAAGTATAAATGTTCCATCTATGAGACCATAGTGACAGCAAATTAAATAAGTTAATAAAAATTATACAATAGAAGAGCTGCAGTAAAATGCAGTTTCTAAAAGATAGGGGATAAATTACTTAAATGTAACTAAAATATGAAATTCCTCTTCCCCCAAAAAATTTGGTAGTGATCTCATTTTTCACAGATATAAAGTGAGACTTAGAGAAGTCTTATACTATGACCTAATTTCCCTGCAGAGCTGAAAGCATTAATCATCTTCAGGAAAGAAGATACACTATGGCAGTTCCCAGTCACAAGAAAGTTGTTCATGTCTAGCCTAAATCATTCTTGCTTTAAGAAAGGTCTAAACCTTTTATTCTGCCCTGAAGAGAGAAAACTGATAAGTTTACTTAGTGCAAGACCATCAGCTGTACGGGCAATTCGCAGTACTTGAAGAAAAGAGAAGCAAAGTTCTATTCAGCCAAACTTGAACCTGGCAAGGCATCTGTTAGAATATTTGTCATGCAGATGCCTTGTGTTAGTAGAATTTTCCTGGGTGGTTACCACATGCATGCCACAAACTGTACTAAGTTTTAGAGGTAAAATGAGAATGAGACCCAATTATATATTTAAGTCATGTCAACTGGGGTCCCACCTTCTGAACATTCATCTCCTGTTGATGCAGGATGTGTGGATAGAACACCTTTTCTTCCCCCTTCCTACTTATACTTAGACATATGCCTATAAACCCGCAGGCAGATACACACACACCTCTGCGCACACACCTCTCTTTCCTCCCCTACACCTTAGTGTCCCACACATCCTAAGGTCAGCATGCACCCACCTATATGTACATGTGTTTTGTCTGTGTTTTCAGTTGGACAGGCCTGCAAGGCTCTGATATAATGTGGACCATATCAGACACAGGTTGGATACTGAACATTATAACCTCACTTTTGGAAACTTGGACAGTAGGAGCATGCACATTTGTTCATCTCTTGCCAACGTTTGACCCACTGATTATTCTAAAGGTAAGAGAGGATCCTGTTCGCACCAGTTATTCAGAGTGAGCCCGAGGTTTGCACACTTCAATTTATTGTAGTTTGTTTCAACTTATTTAATTTTTGCTAAACCCCTGCCATGTGGTGAACAGTGTTCAGTAAGCAAGATGGAAATGATCCCTGACCTCGTGGAGCTCATGGTCTAGGGAAGGAGACAGACACATATATAGATGAAAGCAGTATGTTCAGGAGAAAGACATTGTAGGTCATTTGTTCACTCAACAACCGCAATGGGCTTATCCGCTGGTGTCACCTATCAGATAGATGCTGATGAACCACATGTAAAAGGGAAAGCTGGAGTATTGGAGAGGATGCCATCTCCCTCTCTCTCTCTCTCTCTCTGTGTGTGTGTGTGTGTGTGTGTGTGTGAGTGCACATTTCATTTCCTTTTTATTTGCAGCATAAAACACAAACTGAAGGTAGAGTACAGAGTGCCACCATCCTAAGTGGCACTCTATCCTAAAAATAATTTACCTATATTAAGATACTGTCTCAGTCAGCTTGGGCTACTATAACAAAATACCATAGTCTAGGTGGCTTAAATAACAGACATTTACTTATTATAGCTCTGGAGGCTGTAAGTCTGAGATCAGGGTGCCAGCATAATTGGATTCCTGGGGAGCCCCTCTTTCTGGCTTGCTATGGCTGCCTTATTGCTGTATTCTCACATGGTTGAGAAAGACAGTGCTGGTATCTCTTCCTTTTTAAAAATAAAGACATTCATGCTCTCATTGGGGCACCTGTTTCATTACCTTGTATAATTACCCCTAAAACCCCTGCCTCCAAATACCATCAAGTTGAGAGTTAGAGCTTTAATATAGGGATTTAGGTGGGGATACAGCATCCAATTCATATCAGATACCCATGTAAACACCACTAGATCAAGACATGAAATATTCCCACCACTGCAGGTGTTCATACTCCTTCTCTGACAGTGTCTACACCCCATAACTTAATCATTCGTTTGATCTCTATCACCATAGATTAATTTTATCTCTTCTTGCATTTCATGTAAATGGAACCACATTATATATAATCTTTTGCATTTGGCTTCTTTTACTCAAAATATTCTCTGTGAGGTTAGTCCATGTGTTGCGTGTATCAGATGTTTGTTCTTTAACTGGCTGCGTAGTATTCCATTCTGTGAATCTATCAAAATTTTCCCCCATCCTATTGTTAATGAACATTGGGTTATTTCCAATTTAAGATGATATTCTAGAAGCAACTCAGAAGAATAAATGGAATTTTTTCCTATAGAACTTGATGGTACAGCCATTAGGTAAAACCCACAAACTGCAGCTATGCATTATCCTGTAGCAACAAAGCAATAAAAATGACCTCATTTTGCTTACAAAGATACACCCTATGTTGGACTCTTTGATAGAGGGGTTGGGTTATTTCCCTGCCATGCCCCCAGATCTCTGATGGCCCATCCAGACATCTATTTGGCTGCAACAAAGATTCAAGCTAAGGCATAGATGACATCTTCAAAAGTCAAAAAGTCAGGTGTGGTCTGAATTTTCTTAGAAAATTATCTTCAAATGATACTGTCATTCTCTGTTTTAAACAAATTCTTACTCTGTGTCCTTCCCAAAAGGATTTGAACCGGCTCTTATTAAGTTCTACCATTAAAAAAAAAAAAATGAAAACAGAAGCAAAATTATAAAGTCCATTAGGAAAATATAAGTTGGAGGTGTAGGGGGGGAAAGACTAAGGAAATTAAGGAGAAATATAGCAAATGAGTATGTAGTTGCAAGTTGAGCTTCTAGTAAGGCAAAGCAATAAGGAATATGGCGTCATTTTCGTAGCTTATATCTGTTTACCAAGAGCATCTGAAGGAAATGATTGCATGATATTCACATTTGCCATTTTTTCTAGACATTTTGCTTAAACCATTGCCATAGTTTGAATATTTGTGCCCTCCAAAACTCATGATGAAACTTGTAAACCAAAAATAAAATCCTAAGGCCTCGCCACCCCCAACCATCTGAATGACCTTCCTCCTCAGCCAGGGTTCTTTTAAAAATTTAACCTAAAAGACTGTTTCAGGCCATGACAGGAAGTCAGAGTGGGACATGCCTCATTATACCTCTCTGGTATTAACAGCAATACAGATTTCAAGTCTGATTTAAAAAAAAAAAAAAAAACCCATTTTACAACCTATTCTCTCTAATGCCTAGTGCCAGTACCTAAAAGCTTCCTCTGCAAATAAGAACTTGGGTCTCCATAATTCTTTATTTTAACCAAGGCATTCCTTTCTATTGATCCCAGGTCTTTAGATAAACTCAACCAATTGTCAATCAGAAAAAATTTAAATCTACCTATAAGCTGGAAGACCCCGCTTCAAGTTGTCCCACCCTTCTGGGCCAAACCAATGTATTTTTTAAATGTGCTTGATTGAAGTCTCATGTCTCCCTAAAATGTATAAAACCAAGGTGCACCCTGACCACCTTGGGCACGTGTTCTCAGAACCTCCTGAGGGCTGTGTCACGGCCATGGTCCCTCATGTTTGGCTCAGAATAAATCTTTTCAAATATTTTACAGAGTTTGGCACCTTTCATCAACAAACTCAATCCCCAGTGGCACAGTATTAAGAGGTGGGGCCTTTAAGAGATGATTGGGTCTCATGAGGGATTAATGGATTAATGGGTTATCAAGTTAGTGGGTTAGTTTTGAAGAGTAGGTCTGTTATATAAAAAGCCAGTTTTGCTCTGTCTCATGAGCCCCTTTGCCATGTGATGCCCTGAGTCCCCATCAGCAAGAAGGCTCTCACCAAGGTCAAGGCTTCTTGACCTTGGACTCTCCAGCCCCTAGAATTGCAAGAAATAAATTTCTTTTCTTCATAAATTACTCAGTCTTGGGTACTCAGTTATAGCAACAGAAAACAGACTAAGACAATACTCTATTATATTCTTCATAAAGAAAAGCATGGGATGGAGATGGTATTATATTACAGGAATACATGCTGCAAATAATGATCCCACTACTTGCTGACTAGGTGACCTTGGAGCAGCTACTTAACCTTGTACATCATGGGTTTCCCCTCTGAATCATGAGGATGATAGTACACACTCTATGAGGTTATTGTGAAAATTAAATGACATAACACAGAACATGGCAAGTATTCAGTACTAGGTCTTTTTGTAGCACTTGTTTTGAAATGTCTATAGATATAAATGTCTAATGTCTTTAGCTTTTCAAAGACCTTTTATAGCTAAAATATATCCCAAAACTATTTTCGGGAAAATAACGTTGGAAACAAACTATTATAAAGTTGGCTACAGAAGATTAAGGGACTTAACCAAGACAGCTGCTGTGCTCAGGCAGCTGATCTTCCCTTAGTTGCTAGGGGGTGATATACTCCTAGGGTTGTGTTAATGAGGGCAAGTCTTAAACTGGCAGGAACAGACATCCAGGATTTGACAAAAAGGTTTCAAAATAGTCTTAGGCTTTTTCACTACCATAATATGTATTCGTTTCCCTGTTATTTGTGTTTTCAGGGTGCATAAGAATTGTGGGGCTCATTTGACCTGAAACAGACATAGTAAACAAGCTAGCATTTTAATCCAGACCTCTATAACTCCATAGCTCACAACTGTATCCACTGTGCATAGCCATAAGTTGGCATCTGACCTGGTGACCAATGTCTCACCTGGCTCTCTTCTTCTAGACGCTCTCCAGCTACCCAATCAAGAGCATGATTGGTGCCCCCCTTGTTTACCGGATGTTGCTACAGCAGGATCTTTCCAGGTGATGGGGCTTTGAGGATTGGTAAGAGAGTCTGGCCCCGTCCCCCTGACTCCCTCACATACATGCATGCCTATCTGTCTGAATCTCTTGCACACAGATAACCCCATGAAGCCATTTGCATCATCAAAGCACCCAGAAACCAAGTCTAGGCCTGGGTGGACTTTGGTTCCAGGGAGGCTGAGGGGAAACTCTTATTTCTCTTCTTCAGTTACAAGTTCCCCCATCTACAGAACTGCCTCAGTGGAGGGGATTCCCTTCTTCCAGAAATTCTGGAGAACTGGAGGGCCCAGACTGGACTGGACATCCGAGAATTCTATGGCCAGACAGAAACGGTACCTGTTCCCAGGGGAACCATGGGCTGGATGCACTTTTTGGGCTTCAAAAGTCTCTTTGACAATAAAAAATGTTAGCCACCATTTATCATTCATTTATTTGAGAAATATTTATTGAGCCTCCATGAAGGGACAGGTACTGGGTATTGAAAATTCAGCACAGAACAAAACAGGCAAAGCTCCTGTTTTCTGGGAGATTACATTCCAGTGAGATTTGGGAAGAGAGACAATAAAGTAAGAACTATCTAGCATGGCAGGTGGTGAGAAATGCGATGGAAAAAGTAAAGTAGATGAGATGGGGTGAGAAGTTGGTAAATCCGATATGGTAGTCAGAAAGTTCCTCTGTGATAGGAAAACATTTTAGCAGAGACCAAAGTTTATCAAACATGTCAAGCACTGTACAAAGCTGCTTAGACTGAAGTGAGGAATGGGAAGAAGAACCCACCATGACTTTACTGCACTTCCTGAGATATCTTCTTGGAACTCTTGAGGTCTCATGTGCACAATATGAATTTATACTATTCTATACTGTTTTATTTATCCAAACTACATGGGGACTACTTTCCCTCAACTCTTTCTCTCCTTTTTCCGGTGCCTCTTACTTGTAACTCTCAGCACTTCTTGCCTTTTCCTCTCCACTCTCTTACCCTGCATCCTTCTTTGGCTAATGAGTACCCTTGGAAGAACTTCTGCAGAGGGTTGATGGCAGCTCTGTGGTATGAAAGAGCTAGGAAGAGTTCTGCAAATACGAATAAGGACAATGGAGTTGTGGCAAGCATACCCTGGCAGGGGCCTCCAACCATTCAGAGGAGGACATGTTTAGGATATGCTTACAAGGACACTCAGACTCCCATGATCTTAATCACTCAGCAGCCTCTCTTCTGAGGTGGGTCGATCAACTTGCCCTTTTCAGCACAGTGGGTGGTGGGAAAAGATGGATCACTGTGATATCTGGTGTCCAGGCTAGATCTGAGAAAATGACAATCTGTGTCTCTGTCAGTGAGGCATCCACTACTCATCTCTTATTCTGTTGGGAACGTTCATTTCAGGGTTCAAGCAGAACTGGTGCTGCCATGGGACATAATTTAAAAAGTATATTTTACTGCTTGAGGAAATGGATACCTCATTCTTCATGATGTGATTATTTCAAATTGCATGCCTGTATCAAAGCATCTCATATATCCCATAAATATATACACCTATGTACCCATGAAAATTCAAAATAAAAACAAAAGTCAGTATATTTCAGGCCTTACAGATTGCATATTGGTGATTCCATATAGTTTGAAAGGACTTTGGGTATCCATAGTGTCATATAAAAATGTGGCTCCCCCTAAAAGAGATTATAATGTGACTGTTAGGTCCTCTTCCTGGGGAGTGGTAGTTGGGTTGCTTACTGAACAAACAATTTGGCAAAGCCCCTAGGATTGTGGTTCCAGCAATGGGGAGACAGCCAGGGAATGAGGAGCGGGACGAGCCCCCAAGTGTAGGCCAAGTTCAGGACCTGCTCTACAGAAACTTTTTCTTTTTGTATGACCTTGTACCTCCTCCTGAGGTTTGCTAATCTGTCTGCTTCTTTCCACAGGGATTAACTTGCGTAGTTTCCAAGACGATGAAAATCAAACCAGGATACATGGGAATAGCTGCTCCCCATTATGATGTACAGGTTTGCTCGGGACACTAAGGAGGGAGGAAGTTAGGGGAAACACTGATTTTCAGTAATTTATGTATTCCATTGTTTACTGAGTCAAAATAATAGAAAGTACCGATATTAAGATAACATAAGGAAAAAGAGAGGGAGGGAGGGAGGTTAGGGGAAAGGAGAGAGTGAGGGAAGGAAGGAGGAAAAGGGGAAATGATTTATATTGTTACCATCCAGAAGGACCCACTTTGAATATCTAGCAAATTAGCTAGACAGTACGCAAGTATATATGCTTTAAAAACAAAACTAGGGGTGAATCCTGACATAACATTTTGTAACTTGCTTTTATCATTTAACAATTTAGGTAAAAATCTTTTCCGTTCAATTAATGCCAATCTACAGCATGATTTTTAATGATGATATAGTAGTAAATAGTAGGTATCCACAGCTATTTATGCCTTTTATTGGACCAAGGGATGATGTCCCAGTTTTCACTAGTAAAAATACACTATAATGAATGCGTTGTAGCTAAAGTTTTATTGTTTTTGGAGAACTAGAATTTGTGTTTGTGTATCTGTGTTATGTGTATAGTTTTGTATATCTAAAGTGTAACTTAGACTCTATTCAGTGTCATATCCAGTTACTTGCCATGATATTCACTATCATAACCATTTGCTAAGCCCCTTTCTTAGTATCTTATTTCATTCGTATAAAAATCCTGTGAAATAAGCTGTCAGTATCTGTTTTATGGGTGAAAACACTGAAGCACAGAGTTTAAGTAGTTCAAAGTCAGCTAGTAAGGTAGCAGAGTAAATGTGAGTTTTGATCTGCCTGATTTCTAAGTCCACAGGTGAGGTAGGTCTCAAAGATAAGGGGAGGCTATTATTTTATCTGAGCTCCTAAAGCCAAAAGCATCTCCCAGACTCATCTGGGCCAGTCTCAATAAAAGGATTCACCTAAATTATTCCAGGCAGATGGATCAGAGATCTGAGTTTAAGGCTCTTGGGTTCCCTTGGTTTCTGGTTGTTGTTTTCATTCTCCATTAGAGCAAGAGGGTCTTTCATTTGACCAACTCAGTAATCTCATGCTACCATTGAAGCTATCTCCTGCTCTGTGCATCATTCTTCCAACCTGCTTCTTTCTCCAGGTCATAGATGATAAGGGCAACGTCCTACCCCCTGGCACAGAAGGAGACATTGGCGTCAGGGTCAAACCCATCAAGCCTATAGGCATCTTCTCTGGCTATGTGGTGAGAAACTGTGCTCCTCCTCCTCTGTTCCTCAGTGAGGATGGGGAGCACTAAATGGGGTGAGGGAGGCCAAATGTTCTGAAACTTCCAAGAGGCATTAGATGTGAAGACAAAGAGTGTCCAGTTTTCAAGAATATATGCTTTGCCAGTGCAAGGAAAGACCGTCTATTCAGCCTTGCCTTCCTCAGCCTATCTCTGTGACCTCATTGGAAGACTTATTTTTCTTCAATTAGCCCTCAGACTTCTCAAGAACTCTCTGTTTCATGCCCAAAATATTATTGACCCTGAACTATACACAGCACCATTCCCCCAAGGGCAGCCTTGCCCCCTCCCATAGGTATCAACCCCATGCTCTATGCCACTGATCTTCTTTAGAGCCTGCCAGGCACTTTACATTGAGACTTTGCCATCCAGCTGGAGGAATCCCTATCTTCAGATCTTGGGAAGGTAAAGACAGATAATCCTTGAATCCGGCCACCTCACTTGACAGGTGAGGATGTTGGAGCCAGAGATTACAAGACTTGCTCAAGCTCACAACCATTAGAAAGTGGACAGAGAAGACCCCAAGGGCATGCCTTCTGATCCCTGAGATAATTCATTAATAAAATAAATAAATAATAAATCAAATAATAGTAGTTTCCACCACTTATTGAATGCATACCATGAGGCAAGCATTGTCCTATAAACACATTTAATCTGTAAACTTTAAACTTATTTAAACTTTAAACTTGTTTAATCCTCCCAGCCACCCTATAAAGTTTTTGGACTCAGCTTGCTCAAGTTCAAAACCCTGTACTGCGTGATCTTAGGCAAGTTACTTATCTGTCATGTCTCAGTTTCCTCATCTGTAAGTTTTGTGTTGTGAGTGTGTTCAATAAAATACTTGTTGTAGATGTGAATGATTATTCCTATTTTACAAATGAGGAAAACTGAGCCTCAGAGATCAGGGCAGGGCCACACTGTTCCCTTCTCCAAGCATTTCCTATGTGCAGTCCCACTCTATTCTCAAATGCCAGTGAAGTACTAAGTCATGGGCTTCTCCCCATTTGACAGAAAGGGAAACAGACTCAGAAGTATCTGTTGGGCAGACTTCTGAGGCCACAGAGGCTCCATGTGGCCATGAGAAAGTCGAGCCAGTGGCCAAGAAACCTGGCTTCTGGTCTCAATTCTACCTTCTGTCATGGCTGTTTAGCTTCAGACGAGCCTCTTGGTGTCTCTGATCATTAGCATCCCTCTATTCCCAATGATGGAGTGAGGCTAAGAATTCTTTATGCCACCATATCATCCAGTAACTGAATCTCCAGTCTGGAACCCATGCCCCCATACCAGAGTCATATACGAAGATGCCCTGACAAGGGATAAAGCTCAAGCCTTTTCGTTACTCATAAGCAAGTGCCTCAGCTTAATAGAGGGATCCAGCCATTGTAGAAACATGCACATTAGCCAGGGTCCCGGGGGCTTCCCGGCTAATGTCCCTAGAACTTTCAAATTTAACAAAGAAGCCAAGAAAAGTACCTAATCAAAACGATAGTTTTGAGTGGTGCCATGGAGTGAGCAGAGATTAGGATATCTGTGAAAGGGGAGATGGAAACAACTGGGGGAAATGCCCTAAGCCTGGATGAACGAATACATCAATAATATCCATCAGACTGGACCTAGAGGAGTAGCTGAGAGACCCTGAGTGGAATAACTTCAATAAATGGGAAAGATCCAGTTCTACCTGCAGCCTAGGGTTGGCTGGTTCAGGGCACGTCTGCCATGGTCAAGTTATACACTGCACACCTGCAGTTTTAATAAGACTTATGACATCCGTTCATGGCAGCCCCAGGGTAGGGGATTTAGGCTTTGCAGGCACAATCACTCTGTCTTTCTGTGGTCACCAGGACAATCCCGAGAAGACAGCAGCCAACATTCGAGGGGACTTTTGGCTCCTTGGAGATCGGGGAATCAAAGATGAAGATGGATATTTCCAGTTTATGGGACGGGCAGATGATATCATTAACTCCAGCGGGTGAGCTTGGTTTCTGGACTGGGAGGGGAAATTTGGGTCTTTACTCTGGCTGGTTCCAGACTTCTGGGATGGCCTAGAGGTTGGGTGTCCAGTCTTCTCTGAAGGACAGGTTCTTCTGCAGGTACCGGATTGGACCCTCAGAGGTAGAGAACGCGCTGATGGAGCACCCTGCTGTGGTTGAGACGGCTGTAATCAGCAGCCCAGACCCCGTCCGAGGAGAGGTGATGGGGAAGCAGCAGTCTGGGGGTGAACAGATATCAACACAAGGGCAGTGTAGTATGATGGTTTAAGAACAGGGACTGTGGGGCTAAACACTGTGAGACCCAATCTTGGCCCTGCCACTTACTAGCTATGTGACCTTGGGCAAGCTACTTGGCCTCTCTGTTTCTCAGTTTCCCCATTTGTAAGATGAGGGATTGTTATGAGGGTTAAATGTGCTAATATTTGTAAAGTATGGTGATTTCTCAAAAAACTAAACAGAACTACCATACGATCCAGCAAACCCACTACTGGGTATTTATCCAAAGGAAAATAAATCAGCATATCAAAAAGATGTCTACAATCCCATGTTAATTGCAGTACTATTCACAATACAAAGATATGGGATCAACCTAAGTATCCAATGAACGAATGGATAAATAATATGTGGTATATATACACAATGGAATGCTATTTGGCATTAAAAAAGGATGAAGTCATGTCATCTGCAGCAACATGGAGAGAACTGGAGGTCATTATGTTAAGTGAAGTAAGCCAGGCACAGAAAGATAAATATCACATTTGCACTCATAAGTGAGAGCTAAAATAGTTGATCTCATGGAGATAAAGAGTAGAGTGATAGATACCGGAGGCTGAGAAGGGTGTGTGGGTGGCGAAGTGGGGGATGAAGAGAGGTGGGTGAATGGGTATAAACATACAGTTAGATGGATGCAATAAGTTCGAATGTTCAATAGTAGAGTAGGGTGACTATAGTTAACAACCACGTACTGTATATTTCAAAATAGCTAGAAGAGAGGACTTGAAATGTTCTCAACACATACAAATTATAAATACTCAAGGTGATGGACACCCCAAGTATCCTAATTTGATAATTACAATATATGCATGTAACAAAATATCACTTGTACCCAATACATATGTACAAATATTATGAATCGATACAAATTTTTAGAAAGTAAAGCACTTGGTTGGGAGGCCGAGGCGGATGGATCATGAGGTCAAGAGTCCAAGACCAGCCTGGTCAAGATGGTGAAATCCTGTCTCTACTAAAAATACAAAAATTAGCCTGGCACAGTGGCAGGCACCTGTAAACCCAGCTACTCAGGAGGCTGAGGCAGGAGAATAGCATGAACCTGGGAGGCGGAGCTTGCAGTGAGCTGAGATCGCGCCATTGTACTCCAGCCCTGGCGACAGAGTGAGACTCTGTCTCAAAAAAAAAAAAAAAAAGCTTGAAGTGCTTGGAACAAGGCCTAGCACATAGTAAGTACCATATAATGTCTATTTTGATGAGGCTGGAAGGAGTCTATCCTGCTCTTTGGTGTTTGAATCAGACTCTGATTCCTGACCAGAAGAACAGAGGAGGGATTTGAGCCAAAGGATAAAGCCCCTGTGCCACAGGGTTTGCAGTGAAAATAAAGGGAAAAAGAAAGACCCCTATAAAGCCAGGGTTATAGAAATAGGCTCAGATGGGGTCTAGTGGACTTTGATGTGTGTGTAGGAAAATATTAAGGTGGGATGTGTGGATCAGTGTCCTAGTACATTTCCACAGGGTGTAAGCCTGGCACTATCACACCTCCGGTACCTACAGAACACATCGCACAGAAAATGATGGGAACCACTGAGCAGTGAGGCCAAAGGGGGATCCTCTGCTGAGAAAACCCTGTGTGTCCAGCTCTGAGCCAGCCCTGCTGTACACGATTTCATTTTATTTACCATAAGTTAAATATGGCAGTTTTATACCCATTTTATAGATGGGAACACTGAAGTTTGGAGAAGTTAACACATGGTTTAGGGTTATGGTTTTCAGTCTATTTTTCTCTTTTCTCCCCCTGTATCTTCTTTCTCCTCATCTGTCTCTATTGTCCTTGGAGTGTGAGGCGAGCCTGGTCTCAATCTATTGTCCACCTGCTCCTCCAATAAACAACTTCAGAGAGAGCTGGAACCTCATTCCTGTCCCTAGTTTCTCCCTTTCCCTTGACCTGGATCACTGGGGATGCAAATGAGGAGATACAAGGGTGATGGAAGTCTTAATGCCAATTTCACATTATTCCAGGAGATGACTACACACTCTAATCCCTTCTCTCTTGGCCCTCATCTTTTTTGCAGGTGGTGAAAGCATTTGTGGTCCTGGCCTCGCAGTTCCTGTCCCATGACCCAGAACAGCTCACCAAGGAGCTGCAGCAGCATGTGAAGTCAGTGACAGCCCCATACAAGTACCCAAGAAAGGTAAGGCCTTTGAGATCCCAAGTCACTCAAACTTGAGAAATAGATTGTTTTCCTGTTATATTTATCTTCTTCAGGAGGAGGACAGCCCTCTAATTTTAAAAAGTCTTCCTGGGCCAGGTGCGGTGGCTCACGCCTGTAATCCCAGCACTTGGGGAGGCCGAGGCGGGTGGATCACTTGAGGTCAGGAGTTTAAGACTAGCCTGGCCAACATGGTGAAACCCCGTCTCTACTCAAAATACAAAAATTAGCCAGGCATAGCGGCATGCGCCTATAATGCCAGCTACTCAGGAGGCTGAGGCACGCTTGAATCTGGGAGGTGGAGGTTACAGTGAGCCGAGATTGTGCCATTGCACTCTAGCCTGGGTGACAGAGTGAGACTCTGTCTCAAAAAAAAAAAAAGTCTTTCTGACTATGATCAAGAAAGCCCAGGAAGACAATCTAGCAACTATCTTGATGCTTGAAAAATGACCTCAGCTTTTGACTCACTCTGAATTAAAAGCAGAGGGTGAAGTTGCACTGTGACTTAGTCTCAATGGGAACCCCAGCCAATCCCATGGGAGTTCTGAAGCTAGCATAACCTTTCAGTGTTGTCCTAAGGCAAGGTGAGGAAGGGAAGGGGGTCTTTACAGTCACAGGTGGATCAAGTATGGATGTAGGCTGCCCTGGGAAGGAGCGTGACCTTGGACAAGACAGCTGTCTTTGGCTGAGGCAATTCCCACAGGGGTCTGGCAGTGGGGAGGGAGTTCTTTGTCCCTGGAGGGGGATCTCAGCTGCATATCAGAGTCCACTAGGTGGACTTGCAGCCTCTGAGAGTGAGGCAGCACAGCACAGTCTCAGGAATCAGACTGTTGGATTCAACATTCACCTCCACCACTTACTCAATAACCTCTGTGTTCCTCAGTTTCCTTATTTGCAAAATGAGAATTATGCTGTTACCCCTTCACACGTCGTTAAGGATGAGTTAATTTAAGAAGGCATCACTTAGAAGAGTAGCTAGCACATAATAAGCATTTAATAAGTGTTTACAAAGGAGGTTAGAAATCCAGGCACACCAAAATTATTATGAACGTTTAAGTATAACTGAATATTGTAGAAGGCTGAGTCAAGGAGTCCTATCACACAGTGTGCAGTGTCTTACTCAAATATCTCACTAGATGTGTCTCTTTCCGCAAGTATCTCCTCTAGAATTCTCAAGGCAACAGGTTATTTCCACCTTCCGCCTCCTTCCACCAACTACATCCAGTCCCTTCTGCTTCTCTCTTCATGACAAGCAGAGTAGCTTACTTCTTAGCATTAAATCCGGATACCTCCTGTGGCTTTCATCCACTCTCTATCTACCCTTCGGGGCACAAATAGTAAATATTTTAGGCTATATGTTCTTTGTTGCAACTACTCAACTTTGCCCATGCAGAGTTAAAGGTTGACGGTTTCTAAATGAATGGATATGACTGTTTCAATTAAACTTTATTGATAAAAACAGGACATGGGCTGTATTTTGCCTGCAGGTCATAGTTTGCTGACCTCTGCTCCATTTCATTGTGGTTTGAACAAACCCTTCTCAACAAAGTCAGTCTTGACTTATAGAAGAATTCTTATATCAGCCACTAAGAAGATACTTTTTCCATCTCAGTATCCCTATTATTAAATTAAAGTTAAAAAAGTTAATTTTTATTAAATTCAAGACCATCTGATGCTTAAACCAATGCCAAGGTAATTGAGCCACATCATTGGAAGCCTCAATGAGGCGTCTTCATCATCCATGTCTTCAGATTTGGGAATATTAGAGATAGAGGATCCTCAACTTCAAACATTCCTTTTAACAAGAGCAAATTGTGAAATTGGAGAGATTTTATAATTTTGCTTAACGTACATCGATAGGAAATGATTGATATGGAATTCAAAATAAGGTATCCTAATTCTTAGATGTCTTAGATATCTAAAGACCTCAGATTAATCCAGATTAATAACAACGGCTAGTATTTTTCAGTGCTGACTCCATGCCAGTAACTTAGCCTGCATAATTTCCTTTTGTCCACACAATCACCCAATGAAGTTGCTATTATCCTCCAGCTTACTCAGTAGGGAAACTAGTCTTAGCAAAGCCAAGGACCTAGTTAAAGCCAGGTGATTGGTAGAGGAGGAGCTGGGGTCCAGAGAGTCTGATGTCAAGGCTCAACTGGCTGACTGCTGTGCCATGTTGTGTCTGTTATGCTGCTCCTCCTCTGTCTGAAAATATGTCAAAGACCTTTATGCCCAATTCTAGCCAACCTCTTATTGTCCTCATCCCAGAGCACTTTCTGAAGCTTCTTATTGCACAGAGGGGCTGCCCTGAAGTGGCTCCAGCCTGAAGGACTTCCCCTCACCCTGTGGCAGTACTGAAAAATGCAACCCACTGTGGTCACAGACAACCCACCCTGGACCAATTTTTTTTTCAACAGATAGAGTTTGTCTTGAACCTGCCCAAGACTTCCACAGGGAAAATTCAACGAACCAAGCTTCGAGACAAGGAGTGGAAGATGTCTGGGAAAGCCCGTGCGCAGTAATACATCTAGGAGGCATTCATTTGGATTCCCCTCTTCTTTCTCTTTCTTTTCCCTTTGGGCCTGCGGCCTTACTGTGAAGATATGATATTCTTTATGAAAGAACATGAATGTAATTTTTGTCTTGCCTTGGTTATTAACACAAAACATTACCATGTTAGATGTTGAAAGAAGAAACGGAAGGAATGAGAGAGAGTGAAAAGGAGAGGGTAACAGAAAAAGAGAAAAGAAAAGTAAGTCAGGGAAATATTAAAGCTGCCAGGGAAAGCAATTGAAAAAGAAATAAAGTATGGAGGAAGGGAGAGAGGAAGCAAGGGAAGGAGGAAGAAAGGAAAGAGAAGATGGAAGGGGAGAAAAGATAGAAGAAAAATAATTGGAGGGAGAATCAGAAAAATAAAGAGAAGAAAGGAAAGAAATAGAGAGAAAGAAGAAAGCAAAAGAACACAAGAAAGAGAGGGAGAAAGGAAGAGGAAAAAAATTTAAAAAATAAAAATAGTAAAAGAAACTGATAAAGAAAAGTAATGGAAGACAGGAAGAATGGAAGAGAGGGAAGAAAAGAGGAAAACATAAATACTCCCACAGATAGACAAAGGCAAGCATAAAACTGGAGCTTGAGAAGGAAATGAAAGGCCGTGGCCCCTTCTTTTACCCTAGGAGAAGACCTCCATACAGGAAGACTTGTGTGTGTGGGGTTGGGACATTAGAATCATCCCCAAGTCACCCCAAACCTTGGAACTCTCAGGGTCAGGGGGGAACCACCATTTATTAAGCATTTGGTATATGCCAGGCACTGACCCAGATGCATGATAAATACCACATTGTTTCACCTCTGTATGGCATCTACAGACCTCAGATCATAGCTGTGAGAACAACGTAAGCACTGCCAAAGTTATCAGCTACCCATACCTTGTTTTTGGTGTTATCTACTCTTCCTAGACTCAAATATTAAAATAATTTTAAAACCAAGATCCTGATAGTAGTCTTCGGGAAAAACAAAGAAAGGCAGGGATGAGGTACGTGTATGCTTCCAACAGCTTGTGAGTTGGGGAATCCATGGAGAGAGAATGGGGAGGTGGTTTTATTGAAGGAACAACAAGCACCTCAATTCCTGGGGCTTCTGGGACACCAGATCTATGGTCCAGGAGATCGAGAGAGGTGAGCACTATGAGGACTTCACCTACAACCCAGAGATGGAGGATGAATGCTCCTAGCAAGTTCAAGTAAGTAGGAGAAGAAAGCAAAGGTTATCTGAGAGCCCATGACTCTTCTTAAGAAGACTTGGTAATAATAACAACAATAGTAATAATAATATTGATCGTTCATCAAGCACTTGCCAAGAGTTAGGCACTATCCCAAGTAAATGCACATATTAATCCTACTTAAGGTTCACAATTACCCTTTGGTTCAGGCACTATTATTTTTTCCATTTTACAAAGGAGGAAATTAAGACTTAGAGAGATTAAATGACAGAGCCAGATTCTAATACAGGCCAAGCTGCATACAACACCTGTGCTTTCAATTTCTATACTCACTCCATCAATTTGCTTGTTTTGGCTTCTGGACCTTGGCAAAGCCGCTCTCTTAATCTGTACTTGTTAGGGTAGACATGCAGTTTATGTAGACATGCTAAAGGGATCTATTGCACTTGGCAGCAAGAATATTAGATAAGTTATTACCAAAACCCAAACAAAAAATAGTTCAATGGAGTAATTATGGGTAGGAGACTGATAGTTGTGAGCTTATCAGTGAGAAGTGAAAAGAAATAGAAATCGCTAATGTAGTTCACTCTTTTAATAAACATGAAGGGGAAAGAACAAAAGAAAAGATACAGAATTAGAGAAGCAACTTGCAAAAGAGGAAGGAAACTGAAAAACTGCTGCAAACTCATTTTTCTCCTACCCAACAGCCACTCCCCACAACCACCTACCTGTACTACACCTTGTTTCTTGCTAAAAGGACTCTAATTTTGGTCAGAATAGCAGGGAGCTCACCACTAGGCCATAAATTATGATTGGTCTAAGGCAGTTCTTTTCCAGTTCTTTTCAATTATACCAGAAAGTTTGTTTTGCTATTTCTACACCTTTTCATCCTTTGTGGTAGAGTATATTTGTTATTCAGCAAATATTTAATCTCCATTTACTGCACACCCCACCCCATGGGAAGAAAATCGTTCTCTGTTCCACTGAGGTTGAGCTGGTTTGACAGCTTTTTGGCTACTGGAATGTTTGTGAGCATAACACAAGGGGGCTTTTTAAACATGTGTACATGGTTTGTATTTATTTGTGAGGCATCTGCCGTCTTCACAAGAGGAGCATGCCTTGGAGAGTCAGAAGTCTCCCAAAGAAAGCCTTCTAGAAAAGACTTAAACCTGACCCTTAGCCTAAAGCAGAGCCTCCCCAGACAACCTGCAGATCCGTGAGAGAAAAAATGAGTTGGCCACTGAGATTTGAGAGTTGTTTGTTATCCAACAATATGATAGTGATAAGTAACTGATAAAACATTACTTTTTTCTTTAACAAAAAGAGAACAAGACTAATCTCAAATAATTGGCAGGCAACTATACCCAAATGAGACATAATAACATTAGCATTTGTGATTTTATTATATTCACTTTTCATTTTATTTGTTTGTGGCATGTAAAACTTATGTTTTAACTATAGTAAGAATTCAGAGCATTTTCATTAATGTATTTTTTCTTTGAAAATATGTTTAAGAGAAGCAATGTAAAAAACATTGAGTAAATAAAAGGAGAGGTAACAGTGTATGATTGTAGCAAAAAAAAAAAAAAAATTCAATGCAGGTGAGGAATCAATGGCTGAAGTTTGATAAACATTTGAATAGGAGGAGAAGTGAAGGATGGAACCATGAGGAAAACCCAAAGAGCAGGGCAAGTAGTATCATTTTACCTAAAAGGAAGTAGTCAAGGATCCATGGGAAAAGTAGCTAATTTTAGAGTTGAAGGCTACGAGTCTGAGTTCTAGTTCTGTTACTAATGGGAAGTGCCTGCCCATACTGAACTTCAGTTACCTCACCCAGTCAATAAGAATGATCCGGCATCACCACCAAGATGCAGTAGAGATTGCAGCAGACCATGTCTGTGGAAGCACCTATCAGGGTTCAGGTAAACAACTAGGAAGAAATGAATGTTTAAGAGGTGCTAGTGTGAAGGATGGGTTGGGGCAAGTGAATGAAGCTGCCTCTGCAATTTGGGGGCTGTGAACAGAAATAACCCCTTGCTTCATTTTATATACCTTTGATCAGTCAATCAAGAGAGGTTGCCTGCCCACAGAAGAGGATGTGAAGGGGAGAAATTAGCAGACATTGGAGGTTGGGCAGGGAGAGGAGGGTATGCACAGATATGAAGATCCAGCTTTTTGATGGAGTCAAGATTTTGTTTTGGTCATTTTTTTAATCCAGTCTTGGGTGACCTCCCATCTCCTATGTCCATACAGGAGCTGGATACTCTAAAAAGAAGAGGGTCCTGGAAAAAGAGAAACAGAGATTATGGGACTGTGAGCTGGATGAAGAGCCCATCCAATCAAATGACCCACAATTTATTTGGGTCAGAGGGAGGATTAGACACACCAGCAAGCTAAGCAGAAGAATTTATGAGAGAACATGATATCTGAAACTTGTAATTCAGAAAGAGGCCTACTAAGTGATAGCACCATCCTCAAAGAACCATCATTGTCTTCTCTTGTCATTTTGTTTACCTTTCATATGCCTAATACCAAAGGATGCTCAGAAGCTGTTAAAGAATTTTAGTAAAAACACTCACCCACCACTATCACAGTTCTCCTCCCCGGCAGTAAATAATGCTGGCTATTTGTGAATCTTTCCAGTGATATCTGAGGGAGAATATGGAGGGAGCCAGATGGTGGAGAGCTTAGTTATCGTCTCTCTTCTTACTTATGTGTGCTATGGTTAACACTCTGTTGGAGCTCCCTCTGGCCTCTGCTGCAAGAGAGAACTCGCTAGCTGTCAGGTCCTTTCTTCATCTCTCCAGCAGTCTGAGCAGAACAGGAAAAGCCTCAGAAATGTCTGCCACTATGATTCTGACCTGGGCACATAGATCAGCATTTCAGCTGGTATTACCCTAGAAGCCAGATGCTGTCTTGGTGTCCAGGGGCTCTCTGCCAGGGCATGGTCACCTTGGAAAGAGATAGGCCCAGGGACTCTCACCTCTCAATAATTGGCTTTTGTAACAGACTTGGGTTTCCTGAATCACAGTATGGGGTACAGAACAGCCCAGACAGTGAGCTGGTTCTTGGCGACTCCAGGGCCAATCTAGTAATAATGTGATTAAATGGCATGAGGACAGATCTCAGCTTTAGCAACTTTATTATTTTCTGAAAATGAAATCTTCATCTCAATGCCCTTAGCTACCTTAGTACAGTGCCTTAACACTGTAGAGTTTCTCGTTTGCAGCGGTCCAGTTGATTTCCAAGTTAACTGTTTCCTTCTAAGGATGGTACTAGCCAAAGATTGAGCTTCTTCGGCAGAGCCAGACCTGATAAATATAGCTCAACTAGCCAAAGGTGGCGACAAGGACACACCTGGCCGAAGGTGTCCTGGTCACTACCCCCACCACTCCTCCAAGATTCCCAGACACACCCAACCAATATAGCTACAAAAGAAAAACAGGCAAAACCCAATTACTAATAGCTGCTTTTTCCACCAGGTGGCACCCAAAATCTTGCTTTCATTTATCTGACAAGCAACTGCTAGTGCCTGATATTACCCTATGCCCTGGGACACAGCTTTTTAAACAACAACAACAACAAACAACAACAGTTTCCGGCCAAGCATAGTGGCTCACCTCTAATCCCAGCAGTTTGGGAGGTAGAGGCAGGAGGATCACTTGAGTTTAGGAATTGGAGACAAGCCTAGGCAACACAGGGGGCTCCATCTCTATGAAAAATAAAAAATAAATGAAATTAGCCTTGCATGGTGGTGTGCATTTGAGCCCAGGAGGTATAGGCCACAGTGCCACTGAACTCAAGCAAGACCTGTATCTCCATTTAAAAAAAAAGTTTTCTACCTCACAGAACTCAGTCTACTTGTAGGGAATGTGGGAGGCAGAGGCAGAGGCACACAATAATTAAGATTTATAAGCAAAATATAAAATAGAATAGGCTGTGATAAGTAGCATGGAGAAAATTAAGCAAGTAAGAATCAGTAATTGCTATTTTTTTCTATTTTGAGGGATAGAATATTTCTG